TTCAGGAATGGTAGATGTGACAATGTATTGATGGTGAATGGCAACCATTGGAAGCTCATGTCCTGCCATTCGACCAACTTCGCGACCCCAGAATCCTACATGCAACAACAATAAAATTATAAGTAGCATAAAATAGAATAGCTGATTAGAAGAAACTCTTGAGCATCTTCTAATCAGCTGTACCTACACTAAAAACTTTTGGCTTTCGGTTATTTCCTGGTTAAATACTTACAATATGAAAATTGATAAGCTTGATGAGGTAACAATCCTCTTTGGTATTTCCAATAATAACCCTGGGAATTGTTTGTTAAATCACATAATCATTCTTGGAAAATATACCATTTATTCATGCAACAAAACATCTGATAAAAAAAAAGAATAAAAAAGAATCTATTCATTATAAAAAATGGGAAAACAATTGTTATTGTAACTCAATAGATGAGTATCGGGTATTAACAGTTATAGACGCAGTTGTATATACAGTCGTTCTACCAAAAAAGGAATTTGATGTAGAAGTATTTGTACAAATTAGGTTTATATTATTATATAACCACAACATAAAATCTAGCCGACTGTGAATGTAAATTAGTGTTAGTGAGTAGCGTAAGCGTTAATGTAATTAACTTTGTATTTGTTTGTATTATTCTAGTATTTGTGCTTTAAGCGAAAAAATAAAAAATAAATAAATAAAAATAAATAAATAAATAAAATAGAATAACAAAAATAAAATTAGGTAACCACTTGATGGTGTTTACTATCATGCTGTAAATGCATTACATTCCAAATTGCATGCATTGTGACCTCAGACCTCACCAAATTAAAGTGGCTCTGCACCCTAAAATACTTACACTGAGAAAATAATTAATATTGTTTTGACAGACAATATATCAGCTGACCATCATAACGAAATGTCTTATCAAGCAACTTGAGATTTAAATTTTATGCAGAGATTAGGCATTTCTCGCATACTACTAATTTTTGCACGTGTGAGCCACCCTAACCATCAACACTCTAACATCAGAATGCATATTCTCCATACTGTTCTCTATACATTTCCTAAGGTGCTGACAAGGAGAATTTGTTTAACAATCAAGAACTATTTTATTTGGTGATCATTTCCTTTATTCTTACAACCGTATGTTTGATTCAGGGATGATATGTTGTGCTGAGAAATAAGACAGTGGTCACTCTCAAGAGTCAAAGGGTTAAAACAACAATTGCAGATGTTGAGTACTCTGAAGGAAAATGAGAAAATGTCATTTCATGTACATGACTTGCAGACATTTCTATTTTCATTTTTATTACCTGCAGCATTAACCACTTGCTTGGCTTTGATGGTTCCATGTTCAGTGTGAACATCCCAGCTGCCATCAGTTCTATGGTTCAGCCCTGTGACAGGTGCTGGCAGGTAAAGACTGGCTCTATAATTTCTTGCTCCAATTGCCAGGGCTTGTGTCAGTGAGTAAGGATCAATGTGGCCATCATCTGAAGAATTTTAATATAAATTACAGCCTTTATATCTAGCCTGACACACCTGACTATCACCAGATCTAAATAAATGTAATAAAGCAATTGAGCATGCTTATCTGCCAAGTTAAATACAGTCAAACCCGTACTAAGTTATCACCCACAAGAAATGGCATGGTGACCCCTTAATACAGGATGAATGCTCAATAAAGGTTCCATAGAATAGGGGTAATATAAAAAAACATGATTAAAAACATCATTTTATGCCATAATTTACCACTAAAAATGTTGATTTTGGGAGATAAAAAACTTGGATTAAATTTTGCTTGAAAGATAAGTCTTAGTTCTTTTTTAGTGGTTCCCTTTGATTGGCTCTTCAATACATGTGGAGGACAATACAAAAAGCCAGTTGGGACTCCGCAAATGGTGACCATAACTGCTTAATTAAAGTGAAAATTACAGTAATTAATGGGTAAATATATCTGGACTTTGAAAAGCGCTGTTAAATACAGGGTTCCACAGCAAATAATTTTCAGATATACTGTAGTCACTACAGTAAAACTAACCAGGATTAAATAAGCCACCCAAAACATCATCCATTTTAAGGAGTGGATGCATCTTTGCAATTTCATCAGGAGTAACCAACCACTGGGGTGCCTTATGCCATCCTTGTCTCTGCATCTGGTATTTTGCTTCATCCATGCGTTCAGGTGTTGTACACAGCCGCAAACTGCCTGGAGTATGGAATCCTACATTCTATGAGAAATACAAACATAAACTTATTACTTGTTGTTTTCACAAGAGCTAAGATTTTCAACATTTCCAACCTTTCATCAATATTTTCAAAAACCCATTTCATTAAGTAAGCCTTTTTCCCCATACTGTTCTCTATGTAATTACTAAGGTGGTGATAGAGAGAATTTGTTTGATAATCCAGAGCCTCTTCACTAGATGATCATTCTTATTATTCTTGTGACCTCAAGGTGTGATTCAATAGTGAAACTGTAAGTAAAAGTAATTACAAGCTTGTCTTTTATAGAGATCAAAGGGTAGGGACAATTTTATTCAAACAACTAACCAAAAAGTATATATTACCAAATAGATTCCAAGTTGCCGTGCTTCTGTTCAGTAATAGATCACAGATGATGTCAAAATGTGGTAAGATCTGTGGTAAGTGATCTATTACTGAACAGACGTATGGCAACTTGGAATCTATTTGTTTTATATAATAAAGAATTAAAAAAAAAGTTTTAATGATGATGTCATCTATACGCCTGTCCTTCAATAGATCATAAGTGAGAACCAATCAGAATGCATGCATAACTGAGCTTATTATATAAATATATATACACTTTTTAATTACCAACCTCTTGACCAAAAAAACTGAAATGTGATAATGTTGACCAAACATTTATAGTTAAATCTTAATTACCTGCCCTGTTTCTTCTTCTAATTTTGAGTAAAGCTGAATGCTGTAATAGTGAAGATGTTTGACATTTATTCCAGGGTTGAAATATGTTGTCAGCCCAGCCTGTTAACAGATATGAAAACAGAAAGATGTTATTCAATCTCAAGCATGAGTTCCCCTGAGGATTCAAACCTAACATGTTCAGATTTTGTAGTCAGATGCTGTCCCATTGAGCTACAAAGGACCTCTCACTGAGATAATGCCTTGAACTAAAATTATATGTGTCAGATACCTGTGTGCAAGAAGGCTCAGCCATGCCAGGAGCATAAACTGAAGAATGATGGTATACTATGGCTAGATTCCCTATACTCAAGTCCATGTATATCAAATTTTTTGCTACCCAATGTGTAATTACAGTTCAACATGCAATAATTTACTCTTGCACAAATATGCAATCTACTTACTGCATGCCATGTCGATCCTGCTGTTAATTCTGATTTTTCTAAGAGCACAACATCCTTCATGCCTTGTTTGGCCAAATGGTATGCAATACTGGTGCCCAGAACACCACCCCCAATGATAACAACTTCTGCATCTTCCTTCAAACGTTTGCTCAGTTTAGAAGAGCTTAAATGGAAAAATTAAAATTAAAGTACTGCACAACACATTAAAATAAATATCACTTTTTTTTTGTATACAATTTAATTTTTTTCCAATTTTAGTGAAGCTAGAATGTCAGATAGCAATGTTCCTACCAAACTTTTAATCAAGGAAAGAAAAATTCTATTAATCCACATTTAGCTGAGGCGATCGCAAGTTTTGTATGCTGCTCCTCTTTTGTGAAGTCTTCTCAAACTTTTAGAAACATTTTACTTTGTGTAGGTGTTCATTCAATAATAATGTGCAATAAAATACAAAATTTTTATTGAAACGTTTCACTCTTAGATGCGATGGTCATCGTGTAAATATTTCGTGAGTTAAAAACTAAACTTTTACTCGAATCGATCTAGAAGGTTTGACGACAATTTTCGTAAATTAATAGAAAGACATGGAAATGTATGACATTGACGTGACCAGTGATCAGAGACTCTCTACGTGCCTGTAGCAATTTCGCCTCCGCGAAGTTTTGAAAGAACGAACCATCTACCTTGAATCTGAGCTTCCACGGCGTCGCGAAATAGAAGATAGGTAAGCACATCGCCTTAAACTGATTTCAGCGCAACTACTTCGAAATATTCCACGCAGTAGATTACCAGCATTGAGTACGCTCGCCATATTTACATCCTCTGCTCTGTTTCCGTAGAGCAAGTTTTTAGCCAGTGTAGTACTTGATTGGATTAAATACCGTCATTCATCACAGATTGACCAATCATGAGGGATTTCTAGAGCATCAACCAATGAAAGCATCGCTTAACGAGAAACCTCAAAAACGCGCTAAACAAGACAAAGAAAAGCAGGAGTGGAAACCGGACAAACACGTACAATTGAGCATAAGTCAACCGACAAAAATTAACCAGCAACGTTTGCCCACGAGAGTCTTAGAAAAATACGGCTGTCTGTAGAGTGATTTCACACATGCATATTTATCCTATTCAGAAGTACGGAAATAAACGCAGGAAGCAAAAAATGAACTGAGCAGCCTTTCAAGAACAAATAGCAAAGTTGCACAAGAGAGTATGGGAGTAGGGAGCGGAAGGACTCAGGAGAAAATGAAATAAGAGGCAAATCACGACGAGTAGTTGTTATAACGAGTAAGATGAAATCAGAAAATTAACCATTTCGTCAGGCGTTGACTGTTCAAAATCTGTACCAGGAACGTATGCCCTCATTCAAATCCAGGCTTCAAGATTATTGTTCGCGTGATTTGAAGCTGTTTTGTTCATTTTGGTTGATCTTTATCACAATCTCTTTTGGGCTTATTTTACACATTCAAGGTTTAAACCGAAAAACGAGAGGTTTCATTTTTTACCAGCCACTGGTATATGATGATAGCTAAACAAGGAAAATTATGAGCCACTGAGTCGAAAAAAAATACTCATTGGCCTTGCAAATAATCCATCTCTCTTATTGGAATTGCAAAACACAGCGTATTTTTTCGGTTTGCGCACTCTGATTGCGTTACATCATGGTCGTAACACAAAAAGTGAGTTATTTGCATCCTGTCACGGTCGAGTGAACATTCTTGGTGGCTGCGAAGTAGCGTGAATATAAGTGGATGTAATAGGGATTCACTGTTTGTTGCCGTTTCTTCGAAAGTTTAAAGTGTTTTCGGGCCTGCGCTATCCCTGTCATTCCTCCTTGACGAATTCGTTTTTAGGAGGCAACTGACGAGATTGAGAAAGAATCGAAACTGCAGTCTTGCCTAAGAATCTACACAAATGGCTGCAGTTACACTCACAGCCGATGGCTGTGTGAATAACAACAAATTCATACCTAGGCGCGAGTTATGTGTTAAAACGCATTACATTTCTAATCTTTGAAAGGCTTCAAACTATGACGTTCATCGAACGCTCGAAAACGGGTTTCAAGTTACAGAGTAAAAAACAGTGATTGCGTTTGTCCTTGAGAATTATTGAATACGCGACAAAAACGTGCAAAAAATACTTCTACACATTCAGAATCAATCAAATTTCTTGTAACTATGGTGAAAGGAAAAAGGAACAGCATAACTTTTACCGTCAAGTCAAACTCTGCCGATTTCCTTCGCGTTCTCACTGCCACATTGAAAAAAGAACGCTACCACAATGCAGCGCAAACGGAGTGCGCAAACCGTCCGTCTTGCATGCACGAAAATATTCACCGAATCATCAGAAGGTCAAACACCTTGAATAAATCATGTCAGCTGAGAAGATTCGCCTACCTTAAAGTAAATTTTCTTGTGGCGCTTGTTTTCACACTAAGATTTATCTAGCTTCTTATCTAATAATCCACCCCGCAGAAGCATGGAGTTCTGAAGAGATTAGACACTGTCGAGGTTGTCATTGGGGATGGCGGCTTCCTTTACTGCATGGAGCGGCGTGGTTATGTTAAAGCAGGCGCCTGGACACCAGAGGCTACTGTAGAACACCCAGAAGCTGGTAAGTAAAGGGAAATAAGTCAAATGTTACCCTGCCGTCGAGCCTTGAAGCTTGAGGTTTGATTAAGATGCAAATGACCTCATCACCTTCAACAAGAGGCGAAGGTGTTACGGCCCTTGCTGCCTCTCTAATCATCGGATCAGCAGACAATATGTTTCTCCTCTTTAGACTGTTAATCTTTGTTTTGACTTCATTGTACGAATGAAAAACCCTCGTGTATTGCCCTTGTCTTCCAATAATTTCACAAATGCAAATTTCTATCGAATCGTTCAGTCATGACCCCGATCAAGAGATTGTAATAGAACAAGAGAATATCAGTTGTTGATACTCTCTTGGATGTAATCTCTTGCCCCGATAGACGACGAGTAATTGATCTGGGGGAATGCGTGACCAAACATTTCACTGACAGCATGAATCTCTAATTTGTTGCAGTTCGACAGCTTCACAGTGAATTTCTGAGAGCCGGAGCTGATGTAATGCAAACATTTACATTTTATGCCAGTAAAGACAAGCTGGAAAATCGCAGCCATTCAGCTGGACAGATCGGGGTTAAAAAAAGGGTGTAACGCTTTAAAAACCTAATTCATGCAGTTGTGTGATTATTCCATTGTCAACCGGTTCTAAGCCCGACGATCCGCCTTCCCCATAAGATCAAACCATTCACGCCAAAAACAAAATAAATACATAGATAAATGAACATGTTAATAGATAAGGTAATAAAATTTAAGAAGTAAAGAACAGTGGGCTAAGTTTTAATCTTGGACCTAAAAATTTAAGAAAAACCTTTAGGAACTTTGAAAGAGCTTGAACCCAAACTAAACACTTCAGACATGACTAGCACATAGTGAAAGAACCGAAACAGCCAAACACCTCTTGATTCTGTACTCTACATATCTATTTGATTTATAGTATGAAGCCATAAACCAATCTGGGTGCGTACTGGCAAGGGATGTGGCCAGCAAAGGAGATGCTCTGGTGGCGGGGAACATCTCACAGGTGCCGGATTATCTAAGCGGGCCTGGAAAGGAGGTAGTGCAGAAAGAAGACAAACGGATATTTTTGTCCAGAATGACGTCGATTTCTTGATAGGGGAGGTATACAACTAAAACTTCCAACTATTATTCCCAATCGATGTGTACGCAGAGCCAAGAATTTCTTATTTTGGCACTATGTAATCGCCATAGACAATTACAACTACGTTATTTTTTGTAGTATCTCACTTTTTTATTTTTGTTATTTTGTTGTTGTTCTCATGGAGAAGGGTAGGGAAGGGGAAGGTGAGATCACATCAGAACAACATCTCTCCATTTCAACTGATAAGGAGAAATAGTTTCCAAAGCGTTGAGTTTTTCTCTTCTCTTTTTCAGTTGACTCTCTTGGTCGCACAGGAATGAGTATATTTCAATTTTGTTAACAGTTTAACTTGTTGTGGTTCATTGTTTCATTTATCAACTGTTTAGGTATGTTGAGCAAGCCGAATGGGCAACAGAAGTGATAAAGGCCACAGGGAAACCAGTCGTTGTGTGTCTGTCCATCAGTTTAGCCGGCGATATGACTGGTATTCTGCCTGGGGAATGCGCTGTTAGAGTAGCACGTGCTGGTAAAATCCCAGCATTTGTTTAGCTGTCATGAAAGAAATGAAGACTGCTTTGGAAAAAGAAGGTCTTCAACGCCATCTGATAGTGCAACCTGTTTGTTATCACACCCCTGAGCTGACATATGACCGCATAGGATTGTCTGGTCTGCCTGAGTTCCCATTTGGTATGGTATAGTTTCCAAAAAATTGATAGTCGAGATAGCTAGGAGGTGAACAATCGAATGCCACATCTCAAGAAAGGCGTTGGCCCATGGTTATCGCGCTTTTTTTACGGATTTAAGCCCTGTATTACTGGTTTCGCCAGCTTGAAATGTCAAGGCATCTCAAAAATATATTGGGTGGTCAACGGAGATTCAAAGAAATTTTACCTGGTCTCAAAGAGTAATATCATGCCTTGTTAATTAATGCCATGCTAAGCCGAGTTCAGCTCTGGTTTTGCAGTGCGCTCGCTTTTCCCTCCTCTTTACTCACTTCTCTACACTTTCGTATGCTACTGATACCTATATATGATATCAAAACATCTTTCTTCATTCCCTTGCTACCTAGCTCTTGAATCTCGCCTAATGAGCCGCTGGGACGTGCAGAAGTACGCTCGTGAGGCGTATGACATGGGAATCAGGTACATTGGAGCCTGCCGTGGATATGAGCCTTATCGTGTTCGAGTCATAGCGGAAGAGGTGAGACAAACATCATTTGCCATCAGTTTTTTTCTCTTTCATAACTTTTAATTTAGTTCTACTCGGTATGTTTAACTTTTAATGTCACTTTTTTCAAGCTCGCTAAAGGGAGGGGTAAATTACCTCCAGCTAGCGAGAAGCATGGCCTGTGGGGAGACGCCCTACGGCAGCACACTCATCCGTGGGTTAGAGTTAGGTGAGACAATGACCCATCGATATAGCTAAGAATAAATATAGTGATTTACCTTAGAGAAAAGCCAATTATATTTAGAATCATATTATTTGAGAGAGACAGGAAGGTTTTAAGTGTCATACGAAAAAAACTCTCTAGCTAATTAAACCAAGTCTCTCCCAATCTCCTGAAGTCCATGCGGCCTACGTATGAATGCTATTAGCTATCCAGGCTGGCAGGAGATAAGGATAAGGCAGGTGACCCTCCTTAAATCTCTGCTTATTCCTTTGGGTTATTTTACTCGTGACTTCACCGTCCAGGTAGTCGTGGTATTTCTGAAGGACAGATTTTCCTTTTTCCTCCGGGAATTTTGGTACGAAGTCTAAGAGACGGTCGTAATGCATTGCTGCCAGAGTCATGGATAGGGCTGATTGAGTCTGTAGACAAAAAAAATTTAAAAAATGATGATCACAGAGTCAGCAACGCTCTTCAATCCTGAGTAGAGGCGCTCAGTAGCTGGGCGAATGAATCGGAAAGGAGCACACTGCAAGGACACGAGTGTTCAGCGTTGTCTTTGGTATACAAGTAGGCGACTTATGTAAGAAATACTCACCATACAAGTGAAACTCCTAGGGAGGTTAGTGAAGCCGTAATGACCCATGGCTGTCATCTTATCTTTGTACAGTTTTGTCGGCGAGTTAAACGTCAAAGCACCGTAATGATTCACGGGATAATTGATCACACTATGTTGTGCACTTGTCATCCACATAATGCGAACTAAGTGACTTGCTAGACAAAACTTGGAAGTAATTTTTGTTGGAAAGCCCTTCACCTGCGGTAAATTTGTACAGAAAGCAGAATACAATAATTTGTAGGAAAAACCAAGAGTCACAATACCTCTGTATGAAACAAATATATACACCTAATTCGATGGTTTAACTTATGATACGTGCGTATATTATGCGAGTTGAAGTGAATCAAGCGATGATCTTTTCCTTTAACTCTTGAGAAGATATGATATACATTCAAAAAGGTTTTGTACTAGTTCCAAACATTAAGGGAAGACCTAAACATGAAAAGACACACGAGAATATCTTTGACGCCCTTCGAGGTCCTTGGAAATGTTGTTGAAGGATTTGTTGTCAATGGAAATTTTAGAACTGACGACAAGAACGGAGAAGAAAGATCGTGAATTCATTGAATAACTTTCAGACAATTTTTTTCATTTCCTCCTCTATTTCCTTTTGCCATTCCTCCTCTCCAGTCACGTGACAATACCTTTCCAGATCCAACTGAGACATCACGTGCGAAATCTTGCAGCTCTTTGTCAATCATAACTTCTCTATTGGATCTGTAATACCTTCAACCACACCACGAATGTTAGAGATCGATGGAATAAAACTAGGAAATAATCCAGATTGACCTACTTCGATTGAAAATTGTTTCTGTACGCAGAAACCCCAAAACTAATAGTTGAAAATCCCCAATTTGATAGTTTCCATAGCATGGTGCTGGCACTTGGTATTTCGTTTGTTAGATCTCAGATGCAATTATAGCTTTTCCATCACACTGCCAATAAAACTGCAATTTCCTTTCGTTAGAATTTTAACCCTCGAAAATCAAGTTCAGTTATGAAAAAAAATAGCGAATTATTGATTGCCAAAAACATCACGGTACAAGGACCTTAAAATTGCATTTGAATGTTCAGTCCTAAACATTAGCAGTGACACAGACTTTTGTACTTGAAACTCATACTAAACCTTCGTAGTAACTTCTGGAGGTGACGTTTAGAGATAGAAGGGCCTTTTTCCCTACCTTTTACCTTTTCCAGGGATGAAATAACCCTTAAAAACTTACTTCCCAACGAATTCTTTGACCATATTCGACAGCGAATGATAAATCAGAAGTCCATCATCTCTGTAGGGAAAGTAAGGCAATTTCTCCTTGTCTCCTAGGCCTCGTTTCTTTGAAAAATAAAAAATTTTTTCAGAGGAGTTTGGTGCAGTCTTGTTAGATTTGCTTTCTAGTTCCCTTTATTAGAAAATGTCTCCCGTCTTTCACTATATTTTAATTCTCTTTTTTTTCTTTTGTTTTTTTTTTTTTGCCGTAAGTGCTTTTTACACTTTCTGCAGTTATCCACTACAACCGATTTGGTTTCTTTGTTACTATTACGTTTTAAGGAACAAAATTCTAATTAAAGCACCAGATAGATAACTCAGCACCAACCTTGATATTGACTAAAAAGTCTGTTTTTTCCCACGAAAGGTCATTATAGGCTCTTCTCATCATTGTCATAGCCCCTTGTCGACCAATTAACATGAGCTTATCGATGGAACCATTACCCGGTGCCATCAAAAATGGATATCCAAGCGCGTTCGTTCCAAGCAACCCCCTACAATGGTGCTTTAATAGCTGGTGAAGAGGGTGCAATTTTGACAGGCGCCGATGCACGCAGACACAAATGGGCTCCATATACAAATGAATCTTGAACAGATGTTCTACGATTTGAGTTTGAGCGTAGTCTGCAACTTGGAGCACATGTTTTGCCATCTGCCATAACTGGCTATCTTCTGGGGTATAAACTGGAGAGTCTAAAGGGAATACAATTAAGAAGTGATAGGCAATTTTTGCATGCCTGATCTCAGCAATGTAACAGAACACAGCTTGCTGAGGGTTTTCCCTATTTCCGCGTTCAGTGGTGTCATAAGAAATCTTGTCATGTGTTGAATTAACGACCATCATTATTTGGAACAAAGAATAGTAAATTATGGTCTTTATGGTTGGAACAAAGAATAAGACAAGAATTTTTTTTTTGCATATACTTTAGTAAAGTGTGAAATCTATCCTGCATCTTTGTTGTGATCTGTTGTTCGAAAGTTTTTCACAATAATTGCGTGGTAATGTAGTAACTATGCAAGTATAAAACTCTGTAGATATGATACCTGGAGAACTGTTTATCTGAATGGCCACTGGTTTTAGTCTATTTGGGAGCCGTTGATGACTGGGTTTAGATGCAAATATGGCGATGGGTGAGTTTGCCTCCATCAGTTCTCCAAAGGGATCGTCAGTTATCGGATTCAGTCCGTCGTATAAAGGATAGTTTACCACATAAATATAACCTCTGCGTATTGCCTGTTCAAGGTGCAAAAGCTTTTAATTAATCTTTGTGGCTGGCATATTTGAGACAAAACGTTTTGAACAAAATTTTAGATTTAAATTTCCCCATTGGGGGGGAATTAACTCATTATTTCCGGGATTAGGCGGCCAGATACCACCGTTTCTAATTTATTGAATGTCGAGGAGGACATTTTCAGCTTTAGCGGTTAAAAATGGGAGTGATTTAACTTCTAACAAAGCTTCGGTCGTGACGCGTGCATCATCATGCGCACTCAATCTCGTCCCAAGCACTGAATTTTAGAGAGATGACACAATCAAGGGAAAGCACCTTAAGGTTGAGTTTAGCGGGCACCCCTAGGAAATGTAAGCCGCGAAAACAGGATTCGTTCCCTAACCACGTCCAAACCCAACCCCATTCCCAGCGGAACAGAGCTATAAAGAGAGACGAAGACTTCAAAGCCCATAAATAATGTCCTAAACTGGTGCACGTACCCAATACATTGAAATGCTCTTCCCAAGCACGTCTTGTATCGCTCCTTGCCAGTCGAATGTTGGATTTAACTTTCTAAGCAGTGTTCTCCAGCTTACTCCTCCTCGCCTGCCTGAAAGGTTCAAATGAAAAGGAATATCTGCGAGGATGAAAATCCTCTAAAAGGAAATGATTAATGCTATAATCTCTATGAGTGCACATTGTAAGTTATCGCACAGGCCTAGTCACCTGAATCCAATGAAACCCTCTGAATGGCCATTGGATTCATGCCAGCCAATCGCTGATCAGTAAAGACATCATCATCTCTCCAAAGAGACAGATCAGATACATCTTTGAATGGGCTGGTTGTGTCTTCAAAGGCAAAACGAAAAAATTTTTGGTCTTCCTGCAGAAAAAGGAAATAAGCTCATTAGACACCAAGACAAAATTGCTGAAGAAAGTATATGTAGACGTAATTAACGTAATGAAATTATGACAGTCATAATTGACAACAAATTTAAGCTAGGGGAGCAACTCCTCAACAACATGGCACAACTTACTTCCTTTGGGGAATTTTAAAAGTCAGCTACACGAGGCCCAATACACAGGTAACTGCGGGTGGTTTAAACTATCAAAACTCGATTTAAATACAGAAGCATTATCTAAATGTTTAAAACTGTCGCTTAAAGTGATCCATACCGGAAGAACAAAGCGTGGGTCTCGTTGACCTGCAACGAAGAACTTGTATATTTTGTTGTAGTCAATATCTTTTCCTCTAGTTAAATTAACGAGAATTCGGAAGAGGCCGAAGTTTTTGTAAATAGTTTGGTTGTATAATGAAATCCAGTGATTATCCAGGAGGTCTTTTTTCAGCAAGAGGAACACTTCCCTTATGTTCTTGTTAATGCGTGGAATCGGTAGGTAGTCATTGCCTTTGTCGAGCTCGTAGTCTTCTCTGGTTTTAGCTGTTTCTTGTTGTCTCTGGGACTGGCATTTTTTACTGGCCTTGTCGGAAGACTCAATTGGACAGGCAATGGCTGTAAGGGAGGAAATATCAGTTTCGAGAATTTCATGGACCAAGTTCTTTATTATTTAGAGGAACGTGTTTCAGTTGTTCCTTAAAAATATTCGTTGCTCAACACTTTTTCCTTACAATGAAATGTTTGTATAGCCATGATCTAGCTATGATAAGGAGCACTGAATCTAACTTGACTTTGGATCTTCCATCAATTCAGAGGCCATTTCCCACAGAATTACATAGTTAACCAAGGTAAGTTAGGCCTGGAAATTTCAGTTTTTCGATCTAAATTTTTTATATTCCTTCATACTAAGACAAGCAATACAACGTCGTTCCTAATCACTTTTCAGTTCCATTCTACCACTTTCTTCCTGTTTAACAATCATACTGACATATCTCAGGATAACCATAAATCCCACATTGAACTAAAGCCTTGAGAGAAAAGGCTAAAACAAACTCGTTTCAATACAACAACTCAATTTCACCAACGGCAGTTTTCAAACGTCAGTTGGAACAGTATTGGTTTTATTTAAGTTGTCACATGATTGATCTGGATGACTGGCGTCATTTCTTAACTAGTCAGATGCCAACTGAAGGCATCGCAATTTGGTCTCGCGAGTTTTCTTACGCTTTAGCCAGTCATGTGGGTTATCAGTTATCTTTGTTTTAATAGCGTGGTTATCGGACCCCTTCTTGCGATTATTATTATTTTGTTTATTGACACCCAATCAGAAGGCGCTTTTAACTTCGTATAGGAAAACAAACTGAATTCTGACCTGACGGCTTAAGCGAGTACAGTTCCACAGAATCCTCTCCTCCCACACCATCTCTGCAGGTTACAGAAGTTTCAGAAACTTTCCCTTGCAGATTGTCACCACCTTTACACAGACCTCCATGTAAAAGACCAAACTCGGCGAAACCCTTTTTTAAGGCAAGCTCAGCGCATTCACCGATATCAGAAGAACTAAAGCGTCCAAGATTAACACCAGCATCTTGTATTGACTTTGCTCCGTAGCAGCCTTCACTTTGGAATAATTGTGGCTCTAAAGTAAACGGAAAAGATTTCCTGTTTGTCAGCGGAAGTTTAAGCTACTGCTTTTGACTGTTTACAATGCTTGACAGCCTTGTAAAAATGTAAGATTACACAGGAACAGTAAGCGACAATGTCTCTATTCTACCACTTTGCATTATTTGTGAGAATATACGACGTGTTACACTTAGGGTTAAAACGAAAGAAATTATGGGCTTAATGAGGTGCACTGGCTATTTCTGGCCAGAAGAGCTTCTAAAAAACCTAAGCCTCTTCACTTCTCAGCAGTTACCATTTGAAAACTAATTTAAGATGGTGAAAAGAGCTCATGAATTTCATCAAAATTAACCGGATACAATTGTGTAAATAGCTCAAGAACCCCTGCCTTTTTTTAATCCAAAAAAGTTGTCTACTAATTACAGAATCGGTCAATTTGAAAGTTCACCATTTTCGAACCTGGATTAATATTTTTATGTTCCACTGACGGAACAATGTGTCGATAGTCAACTAAGATAACAATGGGGAAGTGGCCTTACCCACGAATTAAAAATTTAGTAAAAATTTATTCTGATTTTGATGTCAATGCAAATTATGAAAATGAAACTGATGTCCTTTCCGAAACATTCATGAAGTTAAAGTTGACGCACTGAATTTTCCCCAATTAGAAGAAAAAGCGGTCTGATTCAAGTTACATTTCCATTCGCAGGCTATGTCAAATTACCTCAGGTCTTGGAGAGGATTGCGGCAAATTCTCTCGGGGTATACTGTTAAACGTTCTTCTTGAAGAAGATAATGAACACCCACAAACATTTTGCAGAACTGTTTCAGTGAAATTGTCCACTTGCCGGCAGATGATATAAGGCGGCTTGTTATACTAGAGAACAGGTAACTGATGTTTATTCAAGTAATTTTGTCTTATCGAATGAATGCCAAGGCATTAAAAATTCACTAAGGAAACCTTGAAGGAAAAAATCTAAGTAAACTGTGCGAAAACCTGAAATTTTCAATGTTTGCCTTAAAAGTATTGTATTGCTTTTTTAATTTTTTTACAAATTTGGATAAACGTGCCATTGTTCTGTGTTGAGATAATATGCTTAGTAATTGATTCTTCTGCTTGGAATCGTAACGGTAGAATTTATCAAAATCCAAAGAGCCGGCTATCGTTGCATGCTCTTTTTACGTGATTGCAGGTGACATTGGAGAAAGTTTCATGAAGTAGGAAGCAGTCACGAAAATTCAAAACAAGTATCTTTCAAACTGAGGGTGGAAATGATGGGACAAAAGGTCACGTTGGTCGCAGTTAAGGTAGACGTGTACCCAAGGAATATTATTTACAGTGAACAGATGCATCCAGCATGGAATAATCTAATAAAATATCATTTCTTAGTTTTCTTTGACCAACTGTTATTTCCAAACCGTTGATAATGCAAACAATTTCGGACAGAGACAAAGTCGGTGTTTTTCACTGTTACTATCTTTGAAAAATTAAATCGTGCGGTTTTATGGAAATTAACATGTTATAGTGACTTTCTGGTAACTTCCTAGGTCGTTTGTTTTGCTTTTTGTGTTAGGTTCTATGTTTCAATTGAATAGCGGCGGCTCGTTGGGTTCTTGGCAACGTTGTAAAAGAGAATAAATAGTTATGTTTTGCGCAATTAAATAAATAGAGACGGCAGGTTTGATTGCCGAGGTATCTCGAGTCGTACACAGCTAAGTCGTAGAGACTCAACCTTTCTAGAGGAGCACGAGTTCGACCCTTGCCTGTTGCGCATAAAACTCATTGCGGGTCATTATGACTCGAATGATATCGAGTGGGACTCACGCACAGTCTTCGACTGAAGAATCTGTTTAGTTTGATTTTCTTCCCCTACCGTGAACACTAACATGAAACCCGCTTCTGAAAACTGGTAATGCACGCAATAAATAACTTAAGCGTGACTTCTTGAAAGGCGACCAAAAGTAGCCGAGTTCCCGAGAATGATTTTTGGTATAAGTATGACTAGATATACTTTTGAAAATGACAGGCTTTCAGCCATTCACTAAACGATTGGAAGACAAGTAAGGAGAAATGCGTCAAAACGGGTTTTGAACACAAGGCATCATGAAATAAGATCAATTACAAAAGCGAAGTAGCACGTTCTGTTTTGACTCGTCCTAAAACTACAAATCATGATCCGAGATCGTTGTGTTTGGGTTGGTTTTCATATGCGTAACTAAGTAAAAAATTTGATACAATATGTTTTTTCCGTTATTGAAAAAAAAAATCAAATTCTCGTCTTACCCGAGTCTTCGAGAGCTCCTTTGTCGACAGTATTAGAAGTTTTTGTCTGGGACACTAAAATGAAAAACAACGTTATCTTACTTAACATGATGGTGGAAAGTAAACTGGAGCATGGAGGACTCGAGAGTTTAATAAAACTGTTTGCCTCTAGTGTTCGCTTTATAACTTTGACAACCTGTCAAGGACCAGAGGTACTATGAAAAATTGAAAGTAGACTATTGGTTTTTGTCGTCTCCTTTGTTTTCAAGGCCCGGCGGGTGACAAGTTTGAATCTATTTCTTGAAGAATCAGCATGTTTGAAAAATAATGAATGACTCTGCATTTACATATTTCCAGGCCTTAGTTTTGCAGTGCAGTTGTTATGTAGAATTCTGATGAAAGTAATAAAAGGTTTCCGCAGAAACTTAACAGTCGTACTTTTACTAAAACTCGACAGCGTCAATCGCTGTAGTCAGTTCAGCAAGAAATTTAGGGTAGCTTGTAGAGGAATTTATTTTTTTATTTGTGAGTATCTTGCGTGCCTCAAAAATCAGTAATAAAGCGACAGCCACCAACGTTTAGCTTTTTTTTCATTTCGCCAGCTGCCCTGTCATCTTCGTTTCTTTAACTCTCAGCAAACAAAGCAAAACAACATTTCAAAAATTAAGTTTATCGTTTCATGAACTATTTCTACTACAAGGTAAACATTACACCAAATTGTTACCACAGAAATTTCGCTAGCTCATGGTTGGACAAGAAATGATCACAAATCCACAAACTCTTTACATCTTGCTGGTCTGCTGCGATCCACAATTTAATATCACTTTCAAAAGAAAAGTATAATCGTTTGTCTCGCGATGTGGTCACTTCGAAAATGGATCACGACATTTCGACTGCATACTGCTGGTCTTTTTCAGGCGATGAGGTCCATTGAGCACACGTCACTTATAGATTGGATGGAATTCCATGTCTGTGGTTGGCGCATCTTCGGAAGGTTCCCTTAGCCGTGGAATTCCATCCAATCACAGCTGAGCACAACTCTTTATGGGTGACGCGTGCTACTCCCCACGGTGTCAAACCCTCCATTTTCTCTGTCATTGAATTGCATTCAGCTTATCGATGTTCATCGTTCTGTCAAATTTTGAAAAAATGTGTATATACGGTTCAGAGCCACCTTAACTTATCAAAAATTAAGGTGGCTCTGACCTGTCTATGCAGATTTTCAGAGAGACACATCCTGATATGCCACTCCTGAGCACGCCAACAAGACCGGTCACCACCTACTTTGGAACGAAGTAAAGTTTATTGATCGAGACTCACACTGGTAAACCAAAAGAGTCATGGAAGTTATCCACATAAGACTTCACCCTGATAACATTAACAAGGATAACGGAATCGATATTCCTGAAGCACGGATACCAACGATCAAGAAACACAACGGGAGACCGGTATGAAAGCAAACCGCCGAGGGAACAACTTGGAGTCAGACCTCTTGGAAAACCAGAACTCACTGGAACAACGGGGATCGAAATCCGCCAATCGCATTAGATCGCCGTGATGCAAATGATAACGCGCGAGCAGTCGACCCCATCGTCTGATGAAGACTAACAGTAAGCAGTCGAAACGTCGCGATCTACCTCTCAAGTGACTACCTCGTGAGACAAACGATTAAACAGTTTGATTTGCCTTAAGGTTACTTTCCACCTTCGGAGGCCGAAAGAGTAGCCTACGTGTAGCCGTACCCTCCCCCGCAAGGTGAAACCTACACGTAGGCTACCGAAAGAATAGATTTTTCTTCTATTTGACTAGACTGAATTCAAACATTCAACCTAAGGTTTCCATACAAAATTTTTCAGAAATCTTTAAAAGCGTCCGAGTTATTTAGAAAAACGTATTTTCAAATAAAAGGTAATCAATCTGAAGGTTGCCATCGGACCTGGGCGAAAAATCTTTTTGCTTTTTCATTGTTTACATCACGCACATTACAAAATTCACACGTGGAATTTTTGCTCATGGAAAAATCTTTGCTCATGGAGATCAAAAGGGGAAGAAAGTCCATGGTACAAAGAGAAAGGAAAAAAAACAGGCCCAAAGAAGAAAGAAAGTACCATTCTGTCAAGAAAAGAAAAAATTTCTTTGTGAAAGTGACTGGTACTGACGGAGCTCCACGCTGGGGTCCAGATTTCGAACAAAGAAGTCGCCGTCAAACCAAAACTTGCCATACATGATGTTTAAAATGAGGTTTCCTCTTCTGTATGCAAGTACCAGCCTTGAAACAAAATCTTTAACAATCACCTCGAATTGTGATTTTGAAAGCTGTATGGCGATTCGTTGTCTCGCCTCTCAACACATTTTCCGGTTTTACCATTTTTGCCGCGGGTTTTTCCTTTGCTTTTGGCAACTTTGCTCATTATTGTGTCGTCCTCCTCAACGTTCTTTGAGCGATCGAGATAAAACAATAAACGTGTCTGCTATAGTTACTTTTCCCAGGAAATCTTGATCCATCGTCATTGGCGCCAAGAGGTTCTGTTGTCCTCTTGGTTTGCGGTTTCAGGAGGCGAGATAATCTCCTGGCCTGGCGCTATTGTTTGCGAACCTTTATGAGGTAAAATCTCGCATTTCTTTTTGGGAGGAATACAACCACTTTGAGCGAATTTATAGGATATATAGATTTGACCGATTTTTTCACATTTCGCTGAAACATTCTAGGAATAATGGCAAACGAAATTGTGTCGGGAAATTTTGATATTTGAAATATTTTTCCTGTGGCGTTTATTTTCGCAACACACCTCGCATATTTTTAGCTACTCCAACTTTAGATGCCCATATCTAGACAACTGATCAGAATACCGAGAAAGCGCGACGCACTTTCGTTGATTGATGCCTTGTGAATAAGACTGGCAGCCATTTTGCTCGTGCTGCGGCGTCGTTTCACGCCTTCCCGGCTCCTGACACTTTCTTAAAAGAAATGTCGCTTAAATTTTATTTTCATCATAAACTGCAGTCAATAAGCTTTCTTCTGATACATAGTTTGCTAGGATTCTAGTGAAACCAGCGCTTACGAATCTTTTCCCGAAGGACACCCACGAAGGTGGGAAGTAACCTTAACAACGAAATTTTAGCTTTTCCGTCTCTAAATATGCTGCCCTTTTACCTAATTATTTTGGTCCCTCAATTCAATTTTGTTTTTTAGCTTTCTTATCAAAAGACAAGAATAATATGTAGAAATTTATTTCTCATCTAATACAGCAGCACGAGGCCCCGAGAAAACGATGCAACTAAATAGCTAAACAAATTTTATAAACATGGACGAAGAGTGACCGACCCATGGTAACCTATAAATTTCCCGCCAAACACCTAAATATACAAAGAACTGATCTCATAAAAAAAAACCCCGACCCTGGTGCGTTAGTCAGAATATGATTTCACACCAATTCATCCTCACAAATTTCATATTCTCAGCTAACAGTTAAAATTTTCGCTGACACTCGCCCGTCTGGTAAATTATACTTTGCTCGTAGAGTCTTTGATTGTATTTTCGATTCCCTTCAGGCTCGTTTTTAGGTTAATTGCATGTCAATTTCCTAATCAGGATAAAAATTCTTAATTTTTTATTCAGCACGTCCAACACCTCTTTCTTTTAAGGTGACTCTAACTTATACCATTTATCCTCCGCACTAAATTTGTTATCAGGTAAATTAAACGAACAGCACGTAGCTCTTTGAGGGGCGGTACCTTGGGTACGTACGCTATTTCTTTTCCAAATTCTCTTTTCATTCTGTTGTTATTTAACAGTCTCCAAAGGCTAGATATCCGTTTAAATATCTTTTTCGGTATGATTCTTATTCTGTCAATAAGTTCACTATAGTCTTTATATCACCAATCTTGTGTTTGTTTTACCTGAACTAAACTGAAAATGCAAGCCATATAAGGTAGAAAGTCATTTTGAAAAGAGTCAATACATCGAAGGAAAGTAGGGTTAGAGCAGAACTAGATCGCAAAGTTGTGCGTTGAGTGAAGTTGTAAAATATAAATCAAATATTAGTCTAATAGCAGGTGAAGAAAATGTTATTTTTCGTTATTCAAGTCCAGTATTTGAGAATATCTTCTGGTAACTCATAAGATGATGTTTTTTTTTCAATTTCAAAGCCAACTGGAAATCAAATCCCCATCAAATGACGAGTCAATACCTTACGCTTTTTCATGTAATCTGCGTAAAAAATCAGAGGTACAGAAAGGAATTTTACATTATCATGATTAAGTTCCAACAAAATACGCTAAAATTACGTTTTTCGTCAAAAGCTACCTTTCCTTTATTGCTGAATTTTGATTGCATCCCAGGCCTCCACCGGACAATCAAGTCGACATCCGTGTTCTCGTCGTCATCATTTGCAAAGGTCCTTTATCGACAAAATGCGATCTACATCCTCTACACAGCCTAGCTTTTGTGATGCTTCTCTTGTTAAGTCTTGCATAGAAAAAAGCGATCATTACAGCTTTAACCCTACTTTGACCTCATAGCATGATAGTAAAGAAAAAACTATCAACCAAAGTTTAATAGATATGGCAGATATGGATTAAAAGCCACTAGAAAGACAGATGCTGTAATACAGAATTAAGTGAAATCGCTGTTATCCGGGACATCTGTCTTCCACTTGCTCTAGAAGTCGCAGTCTTTCTGGATCTGTTCCCCAATTGATGGCGGTAGTTTTAATTTTGGAAAATGTGCGTTGATTTTCTAGCTGGTGTGATGTTGTGGTATCTCTAAAATTTGAATTACATAAACATCAAGAAATCTATCGAAGTCCAACAGTTAGTTCAAGTTTTAATATTCCAAGTTTCAAAATATACTTATTTAGCTTTATCAATATTCCTAATGAATTCGGGACTTTCGAAGACGAGAAGCCAGATTGGTGAAATTATCTCGAGAATGAAATCTTAGCTAGAAATCGAGGTGATCAAATGTCGAGAGAAGAATGACTAGTGATGATTACATGTAAACAAATTCCTACAGCTATCTAAAACCCGGTGTTTAAAGACTTCTCACTATTTCAAGCATGATTTTTACATTATTGCTTATTTCTATATGTTGCATAGTATCATATAGGGTCCATATTACATTAATTATATTTGAGAATTCTGGATTTTATTGAAATTCCTGGATCTGGTATGTTTCAGACGACTTTCAAGGGGTAAATTGTGTTATTATTACTAGCTACTAAAATGACCTTAAATGATTGCTGGTAACATTCCCAGAGTCAGTGTCAAAAGATTACCACTGCTACTTGATCCTTGATTTGAGAAACAATTCTACATCAAAACTTTCATTTATATTTCAAATGAACCAACTGCACAGTGTACTGCAGAACACAGACACTAGCACAAGTGATATATTTCAGGCCATTCATTTCAATTCTTTTCTAAAGAACTTCACCCTTTCATTAAAATGGTAAATTTCATTCATTAAAACAAAACTCAAAGGTTAAAAGTAACAGTTTCAATACCAAATTATTTCTCCACAACTACATGGAGCTCTAAGACTACTCCTATTGACACTATTATAATACAGACTTTCCTTTTTTGTACATTCTCCCTGATGGTCTGATGGTAAAACAAGATTTAACTAAATGGTAAATCAGTCGAAATTATCTTTTACCCACAATGGGCAACATGCAACACTAAAAACAACTAAAATAGCAAAACAAAGATTGCTCCTTCAAAAGGTAAAACACTATCAAGATAATAATTAAGTCTTGAGAAAAATCTAGAAATGAGCTTGCTACAACTGAAAAGTGTTCTACTATGAACACTACTATCAAGGATTACTTCAAAGTCAACTGAAATAAAATCGAACAATAATTCCACATGTGTTGGCAAACACTTAAAACTATAATACTTGTGTGAAAAGACTAACTCTACTCATGATCCTGCTTGTTTCATTTTTTTTTTAATGCCAACTATTCATATAACAGAATTTAAATGAAATTAAAATACCATTCCCTTAACGTTTGTCACTGATGATTAAAAAAAAATTTAAAATTAATTAGATTATTTTAAATTCACTATTTCAATACAGTGATCTCTGCACTTTGACTTTCCAAGGCTTGTCAGGAAAGCTTTTCCACCCATAAGGGCCTTCATGATATGATGCAGGAATGTGACTCTCAGCTTGCTGTGGGATATCCACCTGGCTCCAGTGTAAAATACTCAGGGGGAGGTACCACTGGGTGTAAGAGTTTTTTGTGTTCAGCTCCTCGAATGTTGAGCTTGTTTAGGGAATAGTAGTGAATCATTTCAGGTACAGTGTTGAATGGCTTACTAAATTGTCCCAAGATGTATCTATTGCCTTGGCAAACAATCTTTAAATGCATGAAGGAGTTGTTATTTCTAAACAAAAATAAAACAGAAAAATATTTAAAATGATGAAGAGGGCAAAGAGCTTACACTTGGGGTAAATCAAATTAACAAACTTGTTTAGAATTCTCTCATGTTCCTCTTGAAATAATGACTTTAAAAATGATATTAACTTTAAAAATAAGAACAGTAAATTTTCAGTTAGTGTGAAGCAAAGTGAATTCTTATGGTGTATTGAATGGATAAAGTTGTACTGAAAATAACAAATAGGCAATAATTGATATAACAAATCCTTACTTGACAGACAGAGAGAAGTCATTTTTACTACTCTCAGATTGTCGCAGTAAGAAGCTGCAGTCTTCAGCAGATTGTAGGAGTCTCTCTGCTTCCAGTCGCTTTAAAGGTCCATGATACCAGCTGTATTTCAAGATTTAAATATGAAAATTAATGATCAGGACAGATACAGTACAAACAACCCTCAAAACTTGCACTTCTTCTAGGCTCAAAGCCCATGCTTTCTTTAACAATCAAGAACTTCTTAACTTGGTGATCAATTCCTTTATTCTTATGACCTTAATGTGTGATAGAAATTAAAGAGTCAAGTCAAAATTTGGGGATGTCATCTACATCTACATGTCATAGCAAACACAACATTCACAACCTGGGGTTACTTTTCTTGTACATATGGAATAACAATTCAATTATATAACTCACCCCTGTCGTGACAGTGGCAAAGAAGGGTCAATGGGGGATCCATCTTCAACAAATGTTCTTGGTGGCTTAGAAGGGGCAACTAAGGCCATGCCCTGTGCCTCTCCTTCCCTTGGACCCTTCACCTTTGATGTAAGGCCAGATTTTGACCACTCCCAGGGTGCATCATAATCATCTGGATGCCGAGCGTCAATTTTAGGTGACTGAACAGGTTCCTGTTGTCTTGGCCCTTGTGTATGGCCATTCAGATTAATATTCTTGTTCCACTCCCATGGTTTGTCATAATCATCAGATGAGCGTGTATCAGTCACAGGAGCTTGAGGTCTCTCTTGGGGTAAGTTTGGAGATTTCTGCTGCATTCCCAGAAAAGATTTGCTTTCCCAGGGTGAGTCATAATCATCTGCTGATCTTTGATCCCTGCTAGGAGACTGTTGTCTGTTGAAAAATGGATATTGATCAAGATAAGATATTAAGTACAATTGTACACACAATGTGTTTCTTTGATTCAAAAAAAGGCAATAAGTCTTATGTTTCAACTTTACTATTTAGCTAATATAGGATTCTGACATGTTATAGTTTATCAAAACTATAACAAAAGCAAAAAATAATTTGCAATGAGCATTGAGTGACAAAATCAAATGAATGTGGCTGATTTTCACATGGTTTGTCATCACAAGTATGTTTGTTATTATGTAATGAAACTGACAAGACCACAAATAAGAAAACATGTTCAGTATGTGAATCTAAGAAATACTCACATAGCTAGCTGTAGGAGTCTTACCATGCAAACACTTCAACCAGAGTCAACATCTTTCAGACAATCAAAAAAACAGTTCCAAAGGAATTTAGGTTCAGTTGTTTTATGGTTCAGTTGGACTTGACAAAAAAAATTGTTTTGTTTTAAATTTGTCTGATGACTGGCCACAAATACTGAATGACACAGGCTGAATTTATTGCATTAAAAATTAAATGTACCATAATCTGATGCTAGAAAAGGACAATTAGTTACAGATCAAAATTATTACTTTTTTGCTCCAGTATCACTGTGTTTTCTGAATCTGTTTTCCTCCTGTTCAGAAAATGTTCCGTCTACAGATGATGGACGCATTCCCCTCAGAGACATTCTCTTAGCTTGCTCATCTAACAATGTGACTTTGCCAAGGTCATAAGGTTCAGAATAACTTTCTTCATCTGAGTCTTCATTACTCTGATGCTTAACTTTCTCAACTGTTACCCTTTCCACCTGTGTTTTTCCATCCTGCTTTGCATCCCAGGGGTCTATATAGTCATCTTTTGAAGTCTTTCTACCAGCCTTAGTGGGGTCAGTGAGTGCCCCTGGTTGGGTGTTTGTAGCATCCCAGGGATCGGAATAGTCTCCACCAGGGGACATTGCTTTTTTGGCATCCCATGGATCTGAGTAGTCATCAGGCATCTAGGAAGTAGCAAAACTTGATTTAAAAAAAGTGGTAGGTTAACCATTAATCATGTTGTAACAAATATTATCATTATAGAATTTTCAATGTACAAATCTTCAACTTCTCAGGATACATGGCTTGCTACAAAAAAATATTTTCATTGAGAACTGTTGTTGCAAGGAACAGATTAGAGTAACAGGAGAACATACTACACATCTGGATAAAAAATTAGAACTGAGGCCACATAAATTTAGCCAAAGAATTTTCTGATTTACAAAGCCTAGTGAAAAGCATCCTACCCAAAGATTCTTTTGTACAGGAGATTTTTGGTAAGGCAGGTGATTCAGTGAAGCACTTTGGATTTTCCTCTCTTCACCGACCAAATAAATATGAACAAAGAAAGAAAGAAAAGTAAAAGATGACCAATAGAGTCTATGTTCTTTTACACCATTTTACAACACACAAGTACAGCATAACACAACATGTGCTGTTGTAGCAAGTTATTCATCCTAAACATTAAAAAGAAAGCCACAAACACCTGCATAGCTGAAACAATGTTGTCCTTTGAGGAAAAAATTGTTTCTACAAGATTCCTATGCTTCCAACCAATAATTCTAAGAAGTAAAAGATGTGCCTAACTATAAAATAATTATCCACCAGTATCCATGTGGTTTTAAATTTTAAAAGGGAGTCAGAGTGGAAGCAGTAATCAGAGTAAAGTGCCACATGTTGTATGCAAATTATGAACAAAGCTCTTTGACATAAAATTATGGAAAAAGTCAAACAAATATTTGAGATCAACAAGGTCTGGCTAAATGGAAAAAATATCACACAAGCATGATGAATCAATTTTAGTTTGAGACATTCTAAGCAGATAAAAAATGTAGCAAACTCTATAGAGTATAGAGCAAAGAGATGAAATATAAACTAGTCAATATAATATACAAAATACAATTTGAACTCTGTCTGATAAAACATGTATGCATGCATATAATAGCTTCATGTATGGTCTTGAAGCAATAAACAGAATATTGTGAAACACTAGGTTCAATTGAAACCAGAGCCCCTTTATGAACTGGATTGAAAATACGAAACATGTAGAAATTTTTCACTCTTGTAAGACTAGGAACGTAATTTATCTGATGAGTGTAGGAAAAAGATTTATTGAAATCTCAAACTCAATTGAAAAATTTATGAATGAGATTTCATTTTAAGAGATAAAAAGTGTATCATATACAAGTAATATAAATGCAGCCAACTGTCACTAAAATATCATGGAGCTGCAAGTATTTTGTTTGTCACGGGAAGGTTTATTCAAAAAATAATTATTTTGAAAGAAATTAAATGACATTAGCCCCTGAAAATTTTGCCAAATAATTACCAACGTGCCTTGTAGTCCTATACTTTCAACAGTGGTTGAATACAAAACATCTGTGATTATAAATTACTACTGCAATAAAAATGTCTGCCAAAATGCTTGTGAATCACCATTTAACCGCCCAGAATACCCAAACAATTTTACCAGAATTATCATACAGAGAACCTAAATAAAGAATTCTTTTACCTTTTTCTTGAAATTTCTGTCCGATGTACAACTTCGCACACAGTTACATCTTTGAAGGAACATGCTGATGAAGAAGCCGAGAATCAATTGTCCTTCAGCCAGGGGGCAAAATGTATTGTCTCTTCTGAGAACACGTCCATCAATTAAATAACAGGCTATTTACATAAGGTTGTGGTTTCAAACTGAATTCCAATTACTAACAACAGAGGCTGGCTTGCTGCTTTCTCTGGTAAATTTTAACTCAGGTATGATCCAGATCTAACTACAGAAACCTTCAGGTACTTAAAAAGTATTTCTTTTAACCACAAAATGGTTTGGGAATTTCTTATTGAATGACTGACTGCTTGACATAATAAGTAATTAAAAATAAAAATAGTGCCACCTGAAAGAACAAATTTACCAAAACAGACTGATTTCAAATATGCAAATTTTTAGTGAAAAACTGAAAGTCAAATTCACATAATCTCAGTTAATAATGTAGTCCAAGCAGTTTAGAAGGGACAAGGAAGGAAGGAAATCCACAGAATACACGAGGTTTACTTTGTAAGTCTTGCTTTAGTAAAAATATGATATGATCAAAGATTTTTTCAGCTCAGGTTTAAAGGTAAATTTAAAGATAATGAATTCCCCTAAATTCAAAGTTATTCATCTTCAATCTCTAAAATTATCAGCTTTTGATGGCTTTTTCTGAATACAGGGTATGGTTTCATTAAGGGAAAAAAATTATCAAGAACAGAATTAACATTTGATTGGTAAAACAAGCTACCTAGTTGAAATTAATTTTTGCTACCATGGTAAAAAACTATAAAATGCTTATTCAAATATTCAGTGTCTCTTGAACAATATTTGCCTGTAAATTTATCATACTTGATAGAGTTTGAGTCAATTGTCAAACTACATACAGCTGTACATGTATGATGTAAGCTGGGTGTTGTGAAGCATGTGTTTATGAAAAAGCAACACATGTTGACGCAAAGACTGATACATTAATAAACTTTTACAAAAAGACTTATCACAGCCTACTCAGGTAACCTTATACACTGAGTATAATTCATGAATCCTGTCATTGCTTTGCCTGTGTTGGGTCAAACTGAAATAAATTTATGCTCACAAAACTTTACAATCAATTTGTCCACCATTAAAATAAAAAAAATTTCCTGTTGAAAGATTTTTATTTCTTCTGGTACCCTCAGGAAGAAATATGCTGTTACCTGCATGACAATAGAATCTCTATCTTAATTTACCTCTGCAAAAATTCTCAACTTTTTCACTCAATAGTATGAACAACTCAAAGCAACTCTCATATCAAACATTAACTACATACCAGCGCAAGTCAAATATTTAAATATGGTTCTGGGTTTGAAAATAGCAAATTAAGGAAATGGAGGGAAATTTCCTATTAATTTATTCTGATCAAATTAAAAGTTTTACTTTTCTCTATTGTACTGTCACTGAAAAGAAGTTCTAATAAATATGTGAAATGCAAATCAAAAGCATCTTACTAAACATCAGTACCTTAAAATGTTTCCTAATTCCAAATCAAGGTTTGTATCTCACGCCAATAAAGAAATAATTTTCCTGTGAGGAAATAAGCCTTTATTATTCACTCAAGACGTGTTCTAAGATTATTGAATGTGGGAAATGGCATGTTCTTTCTCTCTTGTTCTGTCTCTTACCAAGTCAAGGGATGTTTATGGCAAATGTGCTGGCTTAGATTCTTTCTTTTCCAAAATAACCATTATTCCATGTAGTCTGCACAATTTTATACATGAAAATTTAGGTTAAGTCACACAGCATCCTCAAGTTGCATATTTTTTTCATCTAATCACTAACTGCTGGAAAATACATTGATATTTGAATAAGAAATTCCAATTTTGTCACTCCTAATAATGACAGGGTTAACTTTGTCCGTGGTGCAGATATCAGTATTGTTACAGTTAGTATATGAAATGTTAGGGCAAAAACTAAGGTGAACAGAGAGAAACCTTTGCAATAAGGGCTTGAGTTTTCATATGGAAGAATTCATAGCATGGTTGTAAACTGAGATCTTTAAAACTGGGCTAGCCATGGACAATAGCAGTCAGAGAGGAAGTTGCATGCCAAATCAGCCCGGTTGACACAGCTCAAATGCTGCAGCAATGAGGAGACAGGAAAGTTACCATTTCTACCACTAATCAACACCTAAATTGATGTATTTCAGGGGCAATGACAATGCAATGAAACTGAATTCATCCATATTTACATTTACAAAACATAGTCTGGAAAGCTTTAAAATAACATAAAAAATGAAATAAATGTTATTTTTAGTTGATATTTGTCTATGACTAAATATGTCAGTGGAAATACCTTTATATTGTGGAAATTTTCATATCCGTTTGAGAATCATTATCGTGTATAATATATTATAATTATAATATTATATCAAATAATGGAAAATAAACATCAACCTCGTCTGAAATTCGTAAACAGACACAAGAAGACAAGTACATCCAAGATGCATGTGACATTGAGTTGTGTGGAATGTTCCATTAATAGCTATATCGTGTGTGGAATCATCATAGGTCGTTGTACACATTTATAATTGATATTTACCCCCACATCGCCCACAAAAAAGTTAATGGATTAACTTATTTAAGAAGTGAATGTGTGCATGCTGAAATCTGCGAAGAGGTGAATATTTCGCAACTGCTCCATGATCAGCTATTCGTTCATCAAACTAAAGTACGCTACATGGTGTCAATTCTTAAAATATTTCGTTCAAACTTTACATTAAATCTCGCTGGGAAATTATTTACATTTGAATGAAAAAAAAATGATGAGATCGAGGAATTAAAATAATTAAAATGATACGAGCAAGCTTACATAAGGCTTGCGGGCGGATATTAATAACAACTCAGAAAATAATTTCGTACCTTCGAGCCGAATCTTGGCCCAGGTACAGGCATTTTTCCCTGCTGCAAAAGCTCTGCACTTTGTGGTCTCTGTGATCTGGTAGGTTTAATCGACTGGCCAAACGTAACAGGCACTGAAGCCCTTTTTCCTGCATCGTGAACGCGGCGATTAGCGGGCGAATGGTTTGGTCTCGGAGGAGGGTAACTGGGCATTACAGGACTCTCATTCGGCGATAACGTTGGATGGACAGTGGCCGGGTCTGAATAGCTTTCATCGTCTTCAGAGCAATCACTAGAACTCCTATTCTCATCGTAATCCCTCTTCGGTGGCCTAGGAGGTCTAGTTCCTTTAATTTTGAATAGTTTTCCAATATTAGACATGTTTCACCCGAGCTCCGTGATCATAATGGCTACGAGAGGATGTGACGACACAAGCTCGAAAGCTGCCTTATCTCACGTGACTTTCTTGCTAACTTCCGGCTGACGAACTCTTGAAATAATGCTGCATCTATAAAAGGAATGGTAGCTTAAAAATGTGCAGTGCTATATGACGTCAAAGGGGAAAAGTCGTCATAACATACGTGCAGTTTCATACGTAAACAAATTGTATGTGAACGAGAAGTAGTTGAATAACTTTCGTAGTTTCTGAAGTAAAAATGACGGTTCCCCTGAGAAAGTTTTCGTTCAATTTCAGGTTTATTCTTGGACAAAAAGAAGCCTGTACTAAGTGTTCCATGAAAGACAATTTGTCTCTCTTTACGCTTGGTGAAATTTAATTTTTCAGTTTCCGTAAAATATTAACCCTTATAAGGAAATACGTATCGAAGTTTCGGATTCTGAGTAATCATGATAAGTGTTTTGTATGTTTTGTTGTTCCTTTTGGCGATCAACTTCCTGACTTTCATAAATAAGTGGCGGATGGTCAAATTTCAGAGGTCTAATGGTACGTTGAAGGGTATTGGGAATTTGGTTTCAATCGTTATGATTAAGGTTCTTAGCGTGAAATGCTACGCACAAAGTGATCTGAGAGACTGCTTCTACGAAAGATCCCAATGATGCATATTAAAAAGAGACTAATTGAACTCAGTGCAAACCATAATACAAAAACGAATGTCTGCATACTTAAATCTTTTATATTTCCATGGTTTACCGTTGTGACTTGTTTTCACTTTCATGTGCTGACCACAAAAGGATCAAGGTGCCTAGAATTTTGACTCATGGTCTATTGTAGAGTATCGACCATCGATCTATGAAGTCACAAGATAATTGGACACTTGGTCAAAATGAAATACTGTATGAAAGTGCCAACCTACATTAAAAAAAAAACAAACAAACAAACAAACACAAAAACTGATTTGCATCCTGCTATTTGGATATTACCACAATTTCAGCATCATCTGCCGAAAATGACAGCGAATATTTCACGTGAATGGTGAATGGGGATGGTTGTGGAAGTACACACATAAACAAACGCGTCTGTTTGTTATAAATATCAGCATACAACGTTCTGTTCTCCGCAGCATTGGTTAAACAATGTCCTATCTACATTTGAACATTAGAAGCGAGCATAAGAAAGGCGAGAGTACGATGTTATCAATCTGTGTTGTCCATCCCTCGAGCACAGACCCGGAAATTATCGCCATGGATACTGGTAACCATCGTTCTTCTGGTAAAAATAGAAAACCTGGAAAAAAAAACAAAAAAAAAAACATGATTTGCAATACAGAAGAGAAAATGTTGATATTTCCCGAAGGCGAGAGAGGGGTGGGGAACCTTGGGTAGCTCACTCACATTTTCTTTCGATAAGAACTTGAGGGCTCTAGTGGAGAAATCTCAGTTTTGCCTTCTTATTGTTGCGGAGAGCTTCATAAGTTTTATATTGCTTGTCTGATCGGGGCCTTAATCAGACAGGATTCGCCGGGAGAGAGAAGTTTATAAACCTCGCAAACGTCTCTAACAGCTAATATTAAGCAAAATACAAGAATTTAATGTCTGAAATATGATACGAAATAGATAGTGTTTAACCTTTATGATGGAGACTCCAAAGAAACAACATTTGCGATGCGATACCAGCTAATGTTCCTTCCACAGTTTTCACTCCACCTTAAGTGAAATAAGGCAAATTTTTAGCCCATAAACAGAAACAAAGGCGCATTTAAAGCAAATCTTAGCGTCTTTAGGAAGTTTTAAGATACTCACCCGGCCAGCGACAGCGTCCAAATCTTTTCCCAACAACGGATGCCATCGTGTCGCCAATACCAAGGGAAAGGATCCCAGAATACAGTGCAAGCTTGCAGCCTGTGATTGGACAAATAAATTCACAATAACCTGACGAGAATAGATCCCAGGCCAACCGCGCCCTAACAAGCATTAATGGAACTTCCATGTAATAGTGTAGTTTGATCGTCCGGGTGAGTGTAGTCCTGAGAAGGACTGTTGTCGGAGTGATGACTGACGTTTCTCAGGTTGTCCAAACGTCAGTCACCACTACCGACAACAGTCCTTCTCAGGACTACACTCACCCGGACGATCAAACTACACTATTACATGTTACCCCCGGGTTCAAACCATTTACTGTAATGGAACTTCCGTTCTTTTTTCCTCTATCGGAATGGATCTTATCGAGAAACTGAACTTACCAGTGGAGTCACTCTTCAGGTAATCGACAGGATATAACCACAACGGCACAGCAAAGCCCAGTAACAAATACAAGTGGGTTAGAATGAGTGGCCCAGAATCTTTCTCATCTAAAAACACCTCAAGTGCTGAGTGAATTGTTTCACCAAACGGTCCTATTCTGTACAATCGGATGTACTGGGAAACAAAATTCAAAACATGTTCACAATTTTTTTTCCAGGGTTATGTTCTGATATTTCACGTCCAACGTATTGGCCTTGACACACGTTATTTCGAGTTTGTTATGGAAAGGGGGGGGGGGGGGGCGGTGACAATACTTGTGAGCCACAATTTGGGATAAAACTCAGTAAGGTTTGTGAAATTAATGTTACAAGGCAACAAGTAAGTTGAGTAATTATCCACATTAGATTATTCAAAGAAGATTTACAAGAGAGTATCTCTAGAATGAGAAAAAATGGATTTACCTCCATGTAAGTACTGAAAGATTTTTACCCGTTTTGTGACTGTTATCTATCTGAGCCCTGTTCTTTTGGATTCTACGTGAACGAAACAGGTTCTTAGCCGAGGATAAGTCAAGGAAAAGGTGATCAAGGACGGCACAACAAACCAACATCCTCCTTCACTTACCTCTATAAATAGAAAAGCTGCAACAGCGACGGATGAAGCTAAATGGGTTATGTTTGGCTCGTAAATCACGCCTGGTATGTAGATCGCTAACGCCAAGAGGTGGAAAACTTTACGAGTTATCGTGCCAGAGGCATTTGGCGATGATTGACGTCGCAGACTTTTCCATGCAACAAACCCTACAGCTACAAAAACGACACAAAACCAGTAACGAACTAGCGGCATCTGCAAGAAATACAAACACAAATTTAATTTTTTTAAAAAAATAGAAATAAACAAGATCGGGAAAAACTAGGTGTACTTTGGCATTTACGATTTAGAAAAAACGGTTTGAGGCTAAAACCTTGTTCTGTGTCTGTTTGAAAAGTCAGTACTAGGAGACAGTTTGCGATACAAAGTGATCAAAAGAGCAAACGCAACTCAAACTCCTGTTTTTCTTGAGACTTGTTTAAAACTTATGATTATTCCCCGCCTCATTGCTCTCCAACAACACAACGAACAAACGAGACAGTGAATCTGTCTGGGAATCTTAAATGATAAATTAATTACAGACAAGTGTGGAAAAGGAAGGTTTAGCATTGATTTACATAAATAAGGTCCAAACAAAGCCACCGACGCACCACCGACACACCAGCGACGCACCACCGACGCACCACCGACGCACCACCGACGCATCTTGTACGGAGGATAAACAGAAGGATAAACAGTGGCCAACGCGTCGGTTGGATCGGATTCTTTACCTTTACTTTTTTTTATTTTTATTTTATTTTACATTTTAATCATTCAGCTATGAGATTAGAATCACATTACATATCACTGTTAATAATTTAGTGATCATTAATTAGGATTAACAAAAATTCAAATTTAAAATGCTTTGTTTGTCCAAAACAGAATAGACTTTGTAAGATTTTTCATTGCAGTTCACATACAATGACTGATGGATACAATTGTATTTAAATAATTTGTAGAAGTTTAACAGGCAGCTTTACCCTAATGTTCCCAGTGTCTAAATAGTCCCATAGCCACACAAATGGATTGATACCACCCAAAATTAGCACAGACCATGGCAACAGGAGAGCAAAGAATGTAAACAACAATACAGCATAGAAAGCCATGTAACCAGTTAATCTCTCCCAATAGTCCCTAGAAAGCAAACAGTACATGTGAATAACTGATCAAAAATCAAGCTCACCCCAGAAACAGAGGCCTGAACTACCATAAGGATAATGATTTACTGTGACTGCTAAGTAAGATTATGTAAAGACAATCATCTATATGTGACAGTTACTATCAGGGTGACACATTTCTCTGTTCCAAAAGACCTTTTTTTCTCTCTCTATTCTTGAGATTCAGAAGCAAACTCAAATGAACCACACAAATATGATGCTTAACCCTTTAAGACCAGAGAATGTCTGGCTTCTCATTTCTCCTTACAGTGTCAGCCTTAAATCAAATGTAAAGGTCATGAGAATGAAGGAAATGGTCACCAGGTTAAAAGGCTCCTGTTTGTCCAACAGAACAGTGTGAAGAATATAAATACCAATGTTGGGGAGCAATTAAAATAACCTTGGACAGACTATCTTCCCATTCAGCACTAGAAACAGTACTTCCAGATGCAACAGATTTTGTATAGTAAGAAGGCTAATTTGATGTGCCTAAGTAACTTACCAAACCTATGCTGTTCCTATCACAAGCTTTTCTTTACATCCAGTTACAAATTTTACCTCATATCAAGACTCACCTTACTAAAGAGAGATAGTAAAACACTGGTAGAAGGAGAAGACCAGTTGTCAATGATCCAACCAATAAAAGCTGAATGTCAAGATAGAGATTATTGAGTATAGAGAGATTTCTTAAGTAAACAATTGACACATAAAAGTAATCAGTGGACACGATAACAATCGGTAGACTTGTCTGTATTCAGATTTTTACACAACCCCTGATCATCTGTTCTCCAGAAATAAATTTTATGTTGGGTTAGACAACCCAACCTATATTCAGAGGAAACTTGCCTTTGTCCTAAAAGTTTTCCCTGAATGGAGATTCCACTGTATTTAATTTGAGCCATGAGGATTGATTAGTACTAGTATTTGGAGCCAAGTAAACAAACACAACATGAATAAGGTATATGTTACCTGCATCCACAAAGTAAGAGTTCCTCTTGCAACCTCAGCATGAATTCCAAACAGATTATAGAAGGTTGGTGAAATGTATACTAACTGAAAACAGATGATTCTGAATTTCAGTATGAGCCTAAAATTCCAATGAAAAACTTTGGTCAAAACTTTACTTCCTACACATATAGCATTCCTAAAACTGTTTCTAATGACACTTAATCTTTTACTTGCATGTTTACCTTTATTCCTAGGTTTGCATATGAATCAATTGCCACCAAAACAACTGCTTGTGTCACAATCATGGCCTCACCAATGGTAAAACATCCTGGTATCCACCACAAGATGGCAAAGAGAGCAACAAAGTATAGCAACACACTTATGGACACCCACATAATATCAACATCTGTAATGAAAAAGGCCATAAACCCCATATTACAAAATAAATGCAGCCACTTTTGGGGATTACTTGTGTACAATATAGCATCAACACACATTTACTTACCTGACCCATCATTCTTTGCATTTTTCCCTTTTACAGTACCAAAATACTGCAATTGGCATTTGGATCCTACCTTCTAAATCTAATGTTACTTTAGATCTGTGTCCCAAACCCTCATAAGCAAGTTCAAACACAAGAAAGTTTTTGCCATGATTTACAATGTTCCTGTAAAAGGTTACCAGAGGATATACCTCAAATTAATTTTTCAATGCTCAATGATGGATAAACTAAAATTGAACTGTGCATACCCAGCTGAACACCTATTGTAGCTGCTATACAGGCCGTGACCATAAAAAAGAAGACTGATGACATCATAGGTTTCACATGATTTATAATCAGCAGAATGGAGGCAGTGAACATGCCCATCAACTGAGAAGCCAACAGATAAGATCTTTCCACCTCTAAGGGAAAAAATTTGACAAAAACCATTTATCAGTAACTTTGCAAAATAATACAGACAAGACTCTGTCAGATTATGTATGTGGTAAACTTGGTTGTTACCTGTGACTTTGAGATACATGTATTTACTGTCCCATTTCTCGAGAAATGCCATTTGACTTGTGATCACCATGGGAACTAGAAGTGAACCAATTTCCATGCCGTCTCTAGCAATTGGCCTAAATATTGTACAAAGTGCTCCTCAAAATAAGCGATTAAGATAAGATCTAATTATTCAGTTTGAATCCATGATCAAGACAGGCAATCACATACTGGATAAAAAACCAAGAGTGTTACTCACCTTAAATCAAACCATTTTCTTATCCCTGCGGTCCACTTCACCGATGGAATACAAGCGACCAAAAAAACTAAGACAAAAACAATGGAGAGCATTTAAACGCATATATCAGAAATTAAAATGAAAGTTAAAATTCTTCCGACTTAGTGAGAGGCGATTAAAATTTTATATATATAGGCCAACAGAACGACGAGATTTGTGATTATCATACTTCCCCATATATTTACTCATATGATCTTTAATCTTTAATCGAGATACTCCTGAAACAGTAATAACTATACCAGGAGGATGATGAGGGAATGCTGCTTTCACTCGGTATGACACTTACCTGTTACATGGAATAGGATGTAACCAGCGCTTTGTTTCAACTCAAACTGACTGCAAAACACGTATAAACTACATCCAACCACTACTGCCGACTCCCCAATCATTCTCAATAACTTATCGCTACCGAAAATCTAACGAAACCCGCAATTTCAATCGTTGACCCCTTGGATGCAGAATCCACTGGGCACATAACATCACCAAGGTTAGTTCCAGTCCAATAAGATGAGGAAGATCTGGGACAAGTGTTACACCGGAAGGAGAATGAGAATGGTTGACAAAGAAACAGGTGTTATCCTTTGGCTTGAGCATGTGTGTGGCTCTTCTTTAGATTGCGAACGTTTTTCTGAGCATTTTTCGGGACGTTTTTCTGCGAAAGTAAGTTACCTTTGTATTTACTCTCATCTGCCCTCTAGAGCGGGAAATCGGGAGAAATCGAGGTTCCAATGCACTTCCATGACTTTCGCCCGATACTTGCAAAAGTGTTGCAAAAAACGAGCATAGTTCGTGCATGTCACACGAGGGAATTACATTTCGGAGTAGACAGAGGGTTATGTGTGCTTGAATTTGTGTAAAAGGCCTCCCCCATTCCTCAGTAATCCTTAGCCAGATGCTTTAAGTAAATGTCTTCTATGTAATGTCGACGTTGAATAGTGCTGATATGGCAATTTTTCCACGGGTTAATTACGAAAATATGTTATCGCCTTTTCCTCCAACGATTGATTTTATCAGCACTACAATTAGGAGACTTCCTTGCTGGCGACTGGCTGATATAGTTAAAGTCTTAGAGGCCGATTTGCCGTAACTGTCGTTGCCGTTGACATGTGTCATAGTCATGTCATGGCAGGTTACCCTCTTAACAGTTACTGTACCAGTTCTCATCCTTAGTACTCCCCAGTTAGTTGCAATGACACTGTATTAGGGCCATTATAAATCATCCTCGAAACATGAACTGCTCCCAATAACTTTCTCCATGCTATACTTTGACACATTGTCATAAGCACTTTGTTTATTACTCTCCCTTCTACTCTTACAGGCTGTCATTGGTACTCTATATGTTACACACCATTCATGGCAGCACTATCTTAGCAAGGTGTCTTTCCTTAAAAATACAAAGGCACAATGACCTTGGCAAGAGTTTAATGAAGGGCTCTTGATGCAGATTCTAGTGTTTAATCAAATCATTTGCAAAGTTTCCCTCACCCAAGAGTGCATATACCCTATAACTGAGATGTTGACCTGTGATATGTGCATTCATTGATCTGATTACATATGGCATCTTGGGCCGTGCTATTTGAATCACAAATAGCGATTACCCAGATTTAATTGCCTTGGTAACCTGTGATTAATATAGGTATTTTACTCAGGGTTTTGAATAGCAGATCTTAATGGGAGGGGTGCTGTACTTCACATCAAGAAAAATTGTAAGGACCTGTAACAGTCATATGGCAAGGTCGTTGGGGGTCCGGGTGAGTTTTAGTACCCCAGGATTAAAGGGAAACCTTCTCAACAAGCCAATTTGCTGTAAACACAGTTTGATTTTATTTATGCCATTGTAATTCTTAGATTGCTACAATTTATTTTGGTCATGATTATGTCAAGATCAGAGCAGTTCTCTAATTCTCTTATGAAAGTTCTATGGAAAGTCATGATTGTTTCAGGGTATGTTTTATCTAACAGTGATTTATTAATGTATGTATAGGTATGATCACAGTATTATCCACAAATGAAATTCTAGGCAGCCTTCACTTTGTAAATTATTCTCCTAATTTTTTCATTCTTTTCTTCTGTCTCTCACTCCCGATCATAAGTTTAACAAATAATTGAAAATGTTCCAACAGAGAAAAAAACCTTGCTGGAGAAAACCAGCTGAATTACAGAGTCATTTTTAGAGTGTCCTTTTTTTGATAGTCATAAAAGCGAATGGTGTAGTGATCTTTATGAATGTCGATAACATTTTTGTCTCAATTTATTTGTTTTTTTACAGAGTATTGATCTATGGATCTCATGCTATATTGATCAACTTGTGTAAAAATGAAAATGGGAAAATTCCATTCAGTTCTGCATCAGTGGTCTTGTTGAGTGAAGTCATGAAGGTACTTAATTGCATAGAACTGTATGTTACAGTTGAAGAAGCATTTTTCTTTTCAATTTTATTCATTAATGTTTGTCATGTTCATTGCTAATTATGTTAGCTCTGATTTTGTGAAATTTCCTCTTTCTACATGTAGTTTGTCTTCTCTGTTGCCTTCCTAATTCCAGAGATGCTGCGTGGTGCTGTGCATTTTCTGCCATTAAAAACCCTTGTGTTCTTTTCCATCCCTGCTCTTCTGTACTGCATCAGTAACAACACAGCAGTACATGTGCAAGTTTACCTTGATCCAGCAAGCTTTCAGGTATAGTTTAAGTATAATCCTCAAATTCTTCATTGAAGTAAAGATTTAGTATGAGATTGTAATTGTAAAAATGAACAATAATTCTCATTTGCCCAAGTTTATAAATTGTATAATTTTTTGCCTGTTGGAAGATGAAAAACATCTCCAAAATTCTTGAATTTTGTTATGGTTTAGGTCCTGTGTAATTTTAAGATAGGAATCGCAGGCATTCTCTACTGGCTTGTTATCAGAATGTAACTTTTAAGGAATATTTTGAATGTTATTATTATGCTCTTGTTTGTCCTCCTCATCATCAACAAATGAAAAAAAAAAAGTAAAGTAAAATCAAAATTTGAAACTTTTTATCAGGAGCATTTCAGAGAAGTAGTGGATTGCACTTGGACTGATTACTTTAGCTGGGTGTTTTAACAGGTCAGTTTTAACTAACTTAAACCTTACTTAACTTTTATGGGGTTAATTCATGAAGAAATGTGGTTGCAGCAGAGTGTGTTAAATAACAGAAGAATATTCTCTATATTTGAATAAAAATAGGTTGGCTCATCAAAATTCAGCTGTACAGTATAATATTTTGGAGTAGCCAGATAGTTCTGGAATCTTTAGTGCTTAATAAACCTCAAGTAAATCTTATTTTTAGCTTGGGTTTCATCTTGTAACCTATGCAATTTGAGTTAATCAACTGTTACAAGAGAAAAGGTGTAAACTTGTGATCTCAGTCAATCGTGCTAAATATTTCATGAGATAAGTACTTTTTCTTGCATAGTTATGGCGGACTGAAAAATGCTCAGGACATAATACAAGTGCGTAACTATGTTAAAAACAGTGGAAAGCAGATTTACGTTACTGTTACTGGCATCCTCTTGATGATATTTTACTGCACAATGTCAGGACTGGCTGGAATTTCAACAGGTTATTTCCATTTGAGTCATTAGATGCAATGTACTTATTTTATAATCATTCCATTGAGTTTTGTCCATGTAGCTTGCTATCATGTTAATTTTTTTTTTAAGTGAATATTTTTTCCCTTTCAAAAACAATCATACATTAGATTATAGTCCATTAATCATAAGTATAAAGTATGTGTTCCCTTTCCCAAAGAGAATTGGAATGACTGTGAAACTCACAAATCATGGCCAGTCAATTTGAGTGAGTGTGTGTGGATCTTTGCGTGTACCAAGTAACAACTGACATCCTATAGCAAAATGTTTTCTTTATCTATCAGAATACATCTTGAAGAGGCAGTATAAGGTAAGTTTGATGCTTAAGTTATTTGCATACAAGTGTATTATACCTTAACATTAAAGCCACTTTCATTCTACGTGTCAAACTACCTGTCATTACTAAGTATATGGATATAATTCAAACCGAAAAATCATAATTTAAAAAAAAAAGATTAGAAAAGTGAAATTACTTGTGTTTTGGTTTCCAATATTCCAAATTTCATATTTCAAATTCCATATTTCCTAATTATAAGCATGATTTCATCTTTTGCCAGGTTTCTATTCACTTGCAAAACACTTTGATGTATTTGTATGGAATCATTTTCAATCTTTTGGCTTACACTTCAACAAATCACTCAGCAGGAACCATCTATGACACATCTGCGGGTCAGTTTTATGTTGTTTGCAGGGGCTGTGCTAACTAGTATGGCAGTGATAGTTTAGAGAGAACAAGCAGTGGAATCCAAATTTTTGAAAGATATTTTTTTTGGTTGCAAAAGTCAGAACTGGATAATTACTTCATGATAAAATTGTTTGTTCAAAGCAATTAAGAAATATTGAGAAAACCACTGAAAGTTTTGAATTGATTTGTCAATTCATATACTTTTTTTTTTTTTTTTTTTTTTTTTGGAGAGATGGGTATGAACTCATATTATTTATTGTCCAAGCTTCTCATTGACGTTTTTTTCTGTCTTTTTGTGTGTTAGGATTTTTTCATGGTTATTCAAAGTGGACTGTGGTGATCGTTTTCTGCCAGGTAAGTTGTGTAAGCTTTTACATGACGAGATTAAAGCAAACGACAAATGGATAAACAAATAAACAAATAGATAAAAAAAATTAATAACTAAAGTCAAACCAAGGGGCACTCATCAAACGTTTGTACAAGGATGTAACGCCTAAAGCTTCATATCGTTACTTACCCCTTTCTCCGACATATACCTTTCAAAATGTTCACACAATTACTAGCTGGTTTTTTCCTCTGGTTATGGAGAGAGAGCTTGATGCGGGAACAGATTAAGATGATGCGGGATGAGGGCTGTAAAGGGTGTGTCCTGGCCAAGAAGAAAACGTTTTTCTGCGGTCTCGACCCAGTCTCTTCCCGTTCGTGTGTCAACACGTCAATGCGTAGGACCGTGAGAGAAAAAGAAATAACCTTTTGTTAGTCAATTTAACTTGTAGCACATAAAAAGCAGGGATGAAGAGACGCGTTTTATCCAAAACTGAGAGATTTGTACTCACTTCTGTTCTGAGCACTCCTTTAAAAAGAGCGGTTGACCTTATAAAAAATACATGAATGACTTTACTCCACGAAATCCTCAGCCTTGTAGTATGGCTGAAAAGGGTTCCACTACCCGGCCGAAAATCTCTATAGTGGAAAGGGGGGGGGGGAATGGTACCTTACAACTACGCCAAAGAGTTAAACGATGACAGCCTTTATAAGGAGAATAATTCTTGCTTCGTTAAATTTCAGGCCACAAATGGAGTTATTTTATCAGCGGTTATGAAACACTCCAGTAACCTGATCCGTTTGCTAATCATAGCTTGTGCAATGAGCGTCAATAGCCTTGTCCATGGCTATATTCTCACTACAGCTCAACCTCTACTTCAATGTTGCTTTCATTTTAGTCATTGTTGCTTTGAAACTCTATCACAGCTGAGGTAAGGGAGTAAAATTAACAACTTGTGAAAGAGAGTTATTTCATAGGGTGTGTTTCTTAAGCTAGTGAAAATAGCAGAGTAAAAGAACGAGTTTAATTATCCGAGAGAATTCCTTAAACTGAACCATGCAACAATTTCTGATGATTAATTTTAATGTATTGTAATGTATTATAAAATATTCGTAGCTTGTATAATTGTTTTGTTTTTTTCATCTCTGTAAGGAAGCACTGTGAGCTTAAAGAATTTTGTTAACAAAAGAAAAAACGACTGTACTTCTTTATCGAAACATTATAGATGAGGCGGTGGAGTTCGAAAGTAGTCATAAATTTATCATTCTGTGCTTTTAGTTTGTACATATTTTGCCACTGAATTAGTGGATTGTATGATCTTATGTGATATAGTGAAAAATTTGTAATTATGTTCATAAATAAAGGTGTACAGTAGTTTCAGTAAATTTAATATATTTAGAAGTAACGATTTGGTTGTGGTCGCGCTTTTCGTACTTCGTGACCTCGAGCCAAATATTTTACCTTATGCCGCCCTTCGTGTTTGGAAAAGAACAAAATGTTTAAGCTACAGAGCTAAGTAGAAAAATGTCCACGGGGAAATGATGATGGTGATACTTTTCGCTGTTGAGATAAAACAGTTTCTGAGACGGGGACTTAAGAAGGAAAGCTTGCTAGTTTTCTATCTGGATGACGAAAATGTATGTTAATTTTATCCCGCCCGTCGGTCACGGATCGCATATTGTTTAGTTAAGTTACCCGTGTGCATCTTGATAAGCTGATTGTAAAGACACCCCAATATTTATTGTCTTCTAAAATCAATATAGGTACAAGTGTTTCTGTTACTCGGCTGAGAGCAGCGTAGTTTGGTAATTCAAAGAATAACTTACAGAAGCTTTCCAAGCGAATTAGAGATGACTATAGCGCATATTGGCTGTCCGGCGAAAAGATTATAGCAACGCGGAAAAACTGGAGTGAAATCATGCAAGGTTATACTTGAAGTCGTTTAATAGAGTTGTTTTCACAAACATAAGCTTGACGTCGATGGCAAAGGAAAGCCTCTTGGACAGTGACAAGGTCGTATACTCATCGGAAGATGAGGATGAAGAGACCAAAAGGGCTCGGGGGTGCGCTACTTCATATTTAGTCGACGAACGTGAGACTTCGGGCAAGTTGCCTCCGAAGTTTCGTCAGCGCTGGTTTAGAGCCGCTTCAATGCTGGCGCTAGTTTCATTTATATCGGCCGTTGGATTTAGCATAGCGTCGATTATAATTTCACAAACAACTGAAAGTTCAGCGGTGTTTGCAACAGGTTTCGACGCATTCTTTGCGGCTATAAATGTGGTAGCTGTCTGTTGGAGATTTCGTGACGAACTCAACGGAGAAATCGGAACAATGAGAGAGAAGAAAGCCAGTACAGTGATAGCGACTTCATTCATACTTGGTGGAATTGCAACTATTGTTATTGCTCTTCACAATCTCGAAATTGATGACCATCCCACCAAGACTGACGAAATGAAGGTAGTTCTTGGTGTGGGTGCTTTATTGTACGCAATTCTTACTTTTCTCCAGTGCTATGTTGCACAATTGGTAAACAGTCAGTCCATGAGAGCGCTAGCGGTGGATTCAGCCCAAGGTGCGTTTATGTCTGTTGGAGTGTTGGTATCTACTTACGTTTATACCAAATTTAAACAATTTTGGTATCTGGACCATGTAGTTGCGACAATAGTAGGTGTTGTGTCTTTAATATACGGTATAAGTTTATTTGTGGAAATACTTGGGTTAAGTATAAAGGAAAGATTAATGTTAGCTTTCCAGAGAGAATTTTAAGATTGTTTGTTCAGCTTTGATATAGTTGTTAAAAATTTGCATTAAATAAAATTATCAAAGTATATTTTTAATCTTGGTCAGTTAAAGTTTTCTACTCTCAGAAATATTAATGAAACAACAACGAATATCTCGTAAAAAGTAGCTCAGAATTGCCTTCGGAGGTAAACTGTTGTTATCAAAAAATAACCTGACTTAATTTAAGAACGGCGATGGGAGACGTGCTTTTGTGAAAAACAAGTAGATGTTTTATGACTTTTGAACTCGGTTACTCCTAATGCATTTAATTCGAACAAGTAAGTTAATAAGTGGATTGTGCCGGACACACATTCCACAATCACGTCTTTATCACATGTCTTTAACACATGGATTCCAAGATATAAGTATTGTCATATATATTTCACTTGTTGTGCCGAAGATGTATGTTCATTTTATTACAGCAGCAAAAATTTTTTTGTCACGTCATTCATAGGCGTGCGTTAAGATTTTCAGAGTTTTGACTACAAAACTGTGCAAAGTATGATCGCATCGCGTGTTTTGTGCCGGGGCGCCGATACCGCAATAATCAATGGAGGGAAAATTGAAGTTACATTTAATTTGCACGATAGAAAAATTTCAGCAACAAATGCCCTCTGGGGCCTTTTACCTTATTCAAGTAAGTAGCAATTATTCGTCAGAAACTGAATATGTTAACTTTGTTTGTATGAATCAGGGCCTAAAAAAGTTAAATAAGCTGATCACGCTTTTTCCTTTTATTTATATGCGGAATCGGTACATCTTTGCCACTTTTCACAAAAATCATTACGCAGGTTTTAAATTATCATTGAAAAGTCACACAGTGACAATTTCTTTTATTCTGGAAACAGCCTTGCCGTAAGACATACGCAAAGACTTCATTTAACAATAAACAGGTTTTAACACACCACAACGTTCGCCTCCTATGCTGAGATGTCTACTGAACTCGGAAGGTAGAGGTGAACAGATTTATGTGGCAAGAAATCTACTATGAACATAGCTTTGGTGCTATTCTCGTCCAGGTGTGCGAGAAACAAACAAACAAACAACCAAACAACAATAAAAGCGATTTTAAGAAAGTCCATGTGAGTAATTTGCACGCACATTCAGTCTCGTGCCTAGACTTCTTTCGCTGCAAACAAGAAGGCTACAGTTTAGCAGTTTGGCAACTCAGCTGTTTTGGTTGAGAGATCTTTAGGCCATCACTTTTCTTCAAGCCAGCCTCAGTGAAGATTTCTCCAGGCTATGATATGGATCCCACAAACACTTTTGAATCGCCCGCGCTGGGTAGTACTTGTGACTCCAAAAAGATTACATTTTAGTGTTGAATTGGAAACGTAATAGTTCGTTAAACCAGCAACAGTGCTCAAGTCTAACCAGTTATTTCGAATCGCTTGTCCACAAACATCTCAGAACAAAGAAATACACGTTATTTATTGTGCATATACGATACATGATAAGACCTGATTTGCATCCTTAGCAAGCCATGGAAGCAAGAAAGACATAATTGCAACAATAAAACTACGGTACTTTTAACTTTTCATTCTTTTTTTTGAGCGACGATGCTGTAAACACAACAATTAACCTTGAAATACTTTTGCAACTCTCATTTTATAGAATGAGTAACTAGCATGTTGATTTAATTCAAGAATTTGATAGCGCGAAAATAAACAAAACAGTCCTTTCTATTGACCAGCTGAACTCGGAGGCCTGCGAACGCAGTCACCCCCTCTGTTCTCGTCAAAAGAACAAGATACTTCACATTGGTTATTTTAATTTGGTATCTGGATGTAAGGTTTACGCGAAATCACAATTTACCACAAAAAGGAGCGATTTCCCATTACATTTCATTGACACATAAGGAAAAAAAGGGGGCCACTGAAAAAGTAACCTTTGGAAAAAAACTCGGTTTCTCACTCTTCAACAAAGTTTTGGGTGTTTCGTGCAAAATGCTATTTGGACTATTAGATGGATGCCATATATGACGGATATAAAACCAATAAATACCGCCACTGAATGATCCAACATCCAAACGCTTTTTCCGACTTGCCTGTAGATGAACGTAGAAACCAGCACTCCCAGTGACATGCCTGCCGCAAGCCATGAATCGATAGCGAATGCTTTTAATGAGATACTCTCAAGTTTCTTGGCGATGCAGTCCTGAACGAGAGCAAGAAAGAAATAACATGTGAAACTGGAAGCTAGAATAGCAATAAGTTCGGCGGGTTTCTCAGGGTAGTCTTTTGCCATAAGATGTAGAATAGCAATTGAAGTGGTTGCGCTTCCACTCAACATGAAAGTTACTGCGATTCCAAATGCGGCGATTTTCTCTCGCTTTGGTGCAACTTCACCATTGGACGCATCTCGAAATCTCCATGCCACGGCCAGAGAGTTGAAAGCCCCCATAATCCCATCTAATGCGCTGGCAAAAATGGATGAACTTTCAGTGCTTTTGGAAGCCACGAACGAGAGTACACTGAATATAACAGTGACGAATAATGAAGCAACGGAAGCCATAAAAGCTGCACGACTCCATTTTTTGCGAAATTTCTGAGGCAGAAATGTTTTGCTAGGCGCTTTAGTTTCCTCCAGATATGACACGCAATGTTTGTCTTGGAGAGGTTGTTTGTCTTCTTCGTCCTCATCAGAGAATGCCTCCATTGTTAAGCTTCGTTGAGATGATGGAGAATCGCTGCCAGTCGCCATTTCTAATTCAGGGTGGATTTTTAAATCAGTTGTTTCAATTCTTGTGCTGTTTTTCTGCTGTTCTCACCATTATGGCTATTGGTTTAAGCCATCTTTACCAGGAGGGTACTTTTAAAGTGGTTGCGTATCAACCTATTTCGGCATTCATTCACCTGAATTAAATCGATTCTTTCGGTTCAAGTGAGCGAAATTCTAGAGCCTCTCCGTTGTAATGCCCCGCTTTCTATAGTTCCTCAGTTGCCATTAAATTGATCAAGAGCGGCTCTTTCAAACTTAAAACAAGCCAAATTTACCAAACGTCTCCGGTAATTTACTGTTTATATAGAAAACTACATCCGGCAGGCAGCCATGAGGGATGGAAATTTCGAGGGATTAATATTTGTTTTCGCCCAAGTCAATGCTAAAATGGTAAACATTTCGTCAACGTAAATACCCGATGCAAATAAGAAAGGCTGTATGACAGGGTTGCCATCGACGCCCTTACTTTCAAGAGGAATGTTTATTCAATGCCTTCCCTTTTACAAAGGCATAATCACGAGACTTCGATCTGTAAAACAATGGAGGAAAATGTGCTTTACACAGTGGGAAAATAGTCAATCAAAATACTCTTAAGAACTGGAATATTTAACTTAGATGTTGATCGCCTTTTTAAGCGCTCCTACAAAATGATAAAAATGGATTTAAAACTCGTCGTAAAATCATGTGTGGTGTGAGTTGCGGTGAAATGGCTGTCTCATTTGAATGTTATTTTTATACTAGCACCGTATATTTCCACATAGGTGATAAGAAAAAAAGCTTCTCTGATTTTGATATTGCATAGTACGTTTACAGAACTGTACATTGTACATCTAACTTAGGGTGGGTGTATATATGTTGCGCCTCATAATTGGGGCTTCTGAACAGGTTGAAGAAATGACTTGAAATGATTTTTGCCGCATCGGGATGCTTCACACATCAAAGAAAAAGCGAAATGAGTTGTTACTTGGATCCTGGATGAAGTACTTTTTAGTGATGACTGTAGTATGGATTTTATGGTAAGCTTATCAATCTCGATAGTTTAATAGAAGATAGAGCGAAAAGGCTGTGTAAGAATTAAATGCGGGATCTCACTGGCTTTACCGTTTATTTAAAAAAAGGACTGAAAACCAAATGCAAGCCACTCAAACCGCCATGTTTGACAGCCGCGCAAAGTCTTCGCTCGTCAGAGGTACGCCCCTGACGATAGGTAAACTTCCGAGAGGGTGTGGAGAGGGTGGAGAGGGGGAAGGTAATCTGCTCCCCTGCCGGGTGCCTAGCCGAGTCGAGCTTGAATTCAGTATTAATTAACACGCACACGAAGAAGAGATACACTTTGAAAGTTTTACGATCGTGAGTGACAATGTTTACACGCAATCGAGTTGATAGAATTGCGTTTCACCCCCGGCAAACTCTCTCTGCCTGCTCTCAAGCCATTTGACGCCTATTTATGTAATAATTTAGATTTAATGATTGATTGATTGATTTGTTCTGTGGTTGATGAGCGACGTTAGCCTATTGTTCAAAGGGGCGTTTGAGGTTTCCCATTACACGGGTAGAACGAAGGTGTGCTAGAGCATGATAGGACATAATATGGCATAGTATTTTTAGTGCCGTGAGGACCTGGCGGTTTCTGTTTGTGCATTTAATAGGAAGCAAATAAAATCCTTTTTGAACTGATCATTTCACGCCTTGATATTGAACTTCACGGACGAAAATTTCTCAATGAATGCTTTCGTAAGGGATATTGGCGGTTCTCACCTCGTAGGCGGCGGGGATTCAGTTCAGTTGAATGGATGAACACTGATCGATCACGTAAAACACATTTCGAACTTGCTTCAGCCAATCTATTTAACCTATTATAACAGAATTGTGAAGTTCACGAGATTGATAAGGTTTTTTTTAGGGTTTCCTTCCAATTTCAACTTATGAATAAACACTCGAAAGACATGTACGTCGGAAATATAGTGTTTACGTGATATTTTCGCGCCATAATTTGGAGATATTTTGACCAGCGGCGAACCTCTTGCTGACTATTCGCGCTCACCAGCAATTAGGGATCCGTGGAGTTTGATATTTTGAGTTTTAGCTGATTTGATCGAGTTAAGTGTTCTTGTTCACGCTGTTACACGTCTTGTTGTGTTTGCTGCTATTTATTTTGCCCTACAGCGACCTAAGTCCGCGAGAAATTGCCCCATGAAGTTTTAAATTCCGTTAAACTGCAATCGACAGCGAAATGCAACGTGCGTCAGTCATTCACCATGCCTTGCTCTGTTCTTTACTGGTAATATTTTGGGATCGCGGATCCAGTCATACAGGTGAGTTTTCAATTTACGATTCATTCTCATAACGGGATGTATTTCATCAGAGACATTTGTTCGGACTTGTTGTGGCGATCAGATCAGACTTGCTATCCATGTGTTCGCTTTGAAAAACGGACAGGTCCGTTCGATTCTCTGTACTTTTTTATGAAGCACAATGTGCGAATATGTTTTGTGCGCTACGTTACTTGAAAGAAAAATCGTATCATCACTGTGCCGTAAAACGTATAGCTGTTTAGAGATCAAGCCGTGTTTCTAGTTGCATGGGATAATCAAGCTTACATAATATAACACAATTTAATTATAACGCTGTGTAATTTAACCTTTAATTGTGGTCAGGCAAGTGGAATAATTCTCTGATGATGAACTCTCTTACTTCCTTTCCAAAGCTGTACGTGTGCTTCGCGCATTAACGATGGAGTGGGACATTAGAAAGCATTTTTAACAGGGTCATATCTGTTTATGCAAATCAAGAGAACAAAACATGTGACTTCAGTCATATTTTAAGTGGTGCTATTCCAGTAGTTCCATGAATGAATCGCCCGATTCTAACCTTAAGTGAGGCCCTTTCTTATTGATCAAGTGTTCCACCGCTTAGATCTGACGAAGTTCGCTCGTGGAGTCTGTTAATGAATTTTAGAAGCATATAAGGCCATTTTAGTCGCTGAAATCATGCCTATGCTTGAAACAGGAGCAGCTGTCAATTCTCACGCTTGATTGATCAAGTGAATCGAACACAAAAACCTTCCGTTGAATACCTTCTCGAAGGATGACAATATTTTTTATTTCTATGGTGACATATGGTTTTCACATCCTGTCTTCCGGCTCACCTCACAAACAGTTAATTGTGTTTAATGGTTGGTATTTTAGTCAGTCGGGTAAGCATTTGAAGTTTCATTGTCTATTTTACGCTGATGTCTAGAGGTTAATTTGTCCCTTTAAATAGGGACAAACCGATGATAAGAAAATTGAAAAATGCCATGGTAGTGCGTGGAAAGGGAAAAAAGGTTGATTTTGTCGCTAATAATTTCCACCAAAATACAAACCACTTGATAACTTGGCGGAAACCACACTAAACCGAAAAAACCCGTGTGCCTTCTTTTTTCGTCATATTTTCTCGTTTTCGTGTCGTGTACTTCCTTTACACGCCGGAAGGAGATATCTACAAAGTTCGAAAAGGGCAAGTCATTTAACCAAAAACAGGACGAGTATGATGAAATAAGCATTTATGTTTACGAGATACCCCGGAGGATGACCCAAGATAAGAAAGGAACAACAAGCTTAGGGTTGGTGACCGCCCAAGCTTTTCATGTCTTTCTAAATTAATCTAATTAAGCTAAGATTAAGAGGATCTTTTATTAAAACTGCGAGAGACTTCAAGACTGGCTCTGTAGAGTGTGAAATCTGAACTGAAATGAACGGTTCATCGAGCTGTAACTCATCCACAGAAAAACCGCATGGCATGAGAGTAGCTGGAGAAACCTAGCACTAAGCCACTTGCCATATGCGTTGTAACAAAAACAGAAAAGAAGGAAGATGTTGTTTAAGACTGAAAAGTCCACACGAGTCCGTATTTTCGATTTGAAAATCCTCCCTTTTCTCTCCCGTAGCCATGAATCGTGATGTCACGCAACACTTTCTCAAATTATATGACATCGTACGGTTTAATCTTGTCATTCTAACGAAGCCCAGACATTTGGTACAACCTTACAGTTGTATGAAAGAATTTAAGAGATAATCCTTGAGCACTTTATGTCCGCATAAAAACTTGAAATAATCCACCTTATCCGTAGCTAGGTATTATTGTAATACTGGAACTGAATAGAAGTGGAAAGGAATCAATACTATCAAAGTCCACCAACAGTAAATGCAGCAGCAGCAATTTACAACAATTTATGGATTTTCTATCTTTTAGTGATCGGTTCAATTTTTTGTGGGGAAAATTTTTTTCACAAGTCTTACAATATCTAGGATGTAGAAAGCACAAATTTTTTCTCTTCTTTTTGTTCAAACTGACCAGACCAAAGAAGAGGGAAGAAAAAGAAAAGTAAAAAGCTTTTAAAAAATAGAAATACCTTTTACTCGTGGGCCTGCTTTGTATTAAAACAAAAGCGACTACCGTGAACATTTACATTTCAAAAAAATTATTTTTATTGCGTTAAACGTGCCCCAGAGACAAGTAAACATAATGGAACAAATATGTGTAAATTTCTTTTGCGTAGGCGGCACCACGTGGGTTTAGCCGTGGTTCCTTTCATGTCACATGACCATTGTTATTATAAGTTGTGTTTTTCGTTTTTTGTTTTTTGTATTTACTACTCTTGACTGATAGGAGTCTTACTCGATTTGTTAACATCGTCAACAGACTTAAAGTTTAAGAGCATTTGTTCACATTTAAGCAAAGCTTTTGTTGGTTTATCAAAGATCTAGAACAGAGAACAAAATCATACGGTTGTGTATGGTTGACGAATCACCGAGTTCTTTCAAGGCCTCAAATCCACTTACATAACTTAGGGTTTATCTGACACAAAATGTGGATTTTTCCGAATTCTTTGTACATCTGCAACTTAGTCTTCCTTGTTTGGTTATTTTGTGCGAATGGGGACTCAAGAAGTCGACGGTCTCCAAGCGGTAAGACAGTGCAAGGTTTTTTTCTTTGTCAGTATTATTATTTTTTTTAGTTTGAGATGAAGTTTTCCAGCACGTGCTCCCTGTTTTGTCGCGCTCTGATGCGTGTATCCGAGTGCTGTCTGCTGAATACTTTTTTGTAAGACCTAATCTTTCCCGTTCAAAAATAAGACATTGGTGTTAACGCATTGTCGATCGAATGGTATGTACAGTGCATGTAGCAATAATTTTCCCCATCTTTGTTTCAGTTTCTTCAGCCACATTCAACATTCTCTAGCGTCGGTAAAAATATATTTCATGCATCTTTTGTGTTGACGCAATCATTTGAAATTAATTATGAAAGAAAATAGCTTTCTTTTGCCAGCTGAGTAAACTTCACATTCACATGACGTATACTCGATATCAGTTGCCAAACTCTTTTAACATCTTACGCCATAGATAAACCAAAACAACTTGTCGGGTTGCGGTGGTTGTTTGTGTTTTTTTTTTGTTATCAAAATCCTGAATAAAGGTCAGTTAAAAATACCTTTACTCATTTTTTAGTGAAATTAAAAAGATAAATATCTTCCCGTTAAAGCCAATTGTAGAGACATGATTGATTGATTCGTTATCAAAAGAGACATCGAAATTAATGTGGCTACGAAGTATAGACATTACAAGCAGTTTATTATGTACATAGTGCAGTTTGTTTAGGCCTCTGTTCGCAAATGTAACAGAACTATAACTCGCCTCAGATCATCAGGCAAATTCAAGAGGGAATCTAACCACGAACTGAAAATTTTATTGTACAAGGGAGTATTTTGTTCTTCTCACAGACGTTTTTAATCAGACGAGCTTTTTTTTTTTTTCCTTGTAATGAGCTTGAAAACCCATAATGATGTTGCTCCTACGACAAAGTGTCAAGGAAGAAATTATTATGCCCAAAAAGAAATGACAATATGTACCAATTGAAAAAACCGAGGAAAACCCTAAGAAAAATGAAAGCTGGAAAGCTTTTTAGGATATGTGAAGAGGCGGGCAGTGTTTTGTGAGAGATGTCTCTAATTTGGGGTTAAACGTTTATGGGCAAAATATTGAAGTAATTACCTGCAATTGTATTTCCTTTTGTCTGTTTATGGGTCGGTCTTTCCACCAGGTGTTTTTTTCCTCAGTTCATTTGGTCTTCTTTCTGTCCAACTGTCGGTCTGTTCGTGTTGAAATCAATCAGTCTGTGTTTCAGTCATCCTTTTGAACTCGTTTGTTCATTCTGTCGTTCGCTCGGTCAGTCGATCCATTCGTTCTTCTATCAACTGATCAGTCTGTCTGACTGTCCGCAGTCAATCAATCCGTCAATAAGTTAGTCATTCAATCAAGACTGTTCATCTGCCAGTCAGGCAGTCGGTCGTTCAATCCGTTTGAACTCTTTCATTTTGTCGGTTGCTCTGTGTGTCTGTCGATCCGTCCGTCGGTCCATCGATTAGTCACTCAATCAGTTAGTCTAACTGTCTTTCTGTCTTTTTGTATGTCAGTCTGTCTGTCAGATTAAGTCTTTGTATAGCATTGCCTTAGAGATCAATTAATCTCACTTAAGCTGAATCGGAGCTAAAGCCCAACTTGCAGGCAATTTGATCATAATATGGTGAGGTATTTTATTTTGTTTGCCCTTTTTTTGTTTTTATCATGATTGTGTCAAAATAATTCTTTTTTAGCTTTGTGTAAGCCAGGAAGGTTTGTGAAGAACTCACTCTGCGTGTCGTGGTGTGGTTCTGGTTACTATGGCGACGACGAGAGTGGGAAATGCGAAAAGTGCGATGCCAGTTGTAAAACATGTATCGACGGAGCAAAAAAATGTACGAGCTGTTATCCACCGCTATACATCAAAGGTGAAGTAGCTATGAACTTTAATGAACTATAATAAAGGTTGATGAGTTCTTACGCGGTTAATTTTTACCATTGACTCTTAGGATCTTAGAGTGTCCTTTTTATTGTTGAAATTAATTTGGTAACACAGTAAATGGGCTGTTCTGGTGCAGCGCCAGAATTTTAATAAGTTTAGTGCTCCCTGTTATAATTGGAAAGTCACGTTTTTTCCTCTCACGCAAGACTGCTGGAATAGTTAATTTTTGCTAACAACTTAAAGTTCAAGGCGAACAAAAAGTAAAATCGTTGCATTCATTTTTTGAAACTTAACATAACTGTTATAAAATTGCTGGTAAGAAGCGCAGCTTCCTATTTACCTGAGACCGGGTCGGAGGTTAAACCCACTTTTTTCGTGACGTGACGTTTGATATAATTTCTTCCCGTTAAGGAACTTTATGTGTGCCGTCTTGTGGTGACCAAGTTGCGAAAGGACCTCCAGATCGCCAAATAAGGCTTGTTGGGGGAAATAGTCATTTTGAAGGCCGAGTAGAGGTATTCTATGACAACCGTTGGGGTACAATTTGTGATGATTCATGGGATATCAACGATGCTAAAGTTGTCTGTAGAGAGCTGTTGCTAGGTGACGCTTATGTGGCGGTCACATTTGGAAGACTGGGAAAAGGTTCAAGCAAGCAGCCCATCTGGCTTTCAAAGGTTAGGTATCCTGTGGGGTCCTCACAGCGGTTATGTATCTTGTAAATCTATTATCATAATATTATGACTGTAGAGGACTTCCCTTTTTGACTCCACATAACTTAACGCGAGACTAAAAAATGAAATTAAACCTTACTTCGAAAATACAACTGTACATAAAACCCAACTGATGATTGTTTGTCTTTGTTATTGGCATGGATTGACAAACTGCACAGGTTATAATTCCCGTGAGAAGCTTTTACTTGCGTCACTTTACTTATTGATATACAGAAGCCTGAGAATCACATAAAGTAGAGTCAAACACAAAAAAGTTGTTCATCCTTTATGGATGACAACGAAGTTGATAAGTTCTCAAACACAGCAGCTGACGTCATCATTCACTGCACTAAGGCCGATTGTTGAATTTTTTTTTAGTCGTAAAAACGTTTTCTCTCGTTTATTGTGGAGACTTCACTTTATTTAAATGAAATATCCTTCAGTGTTGTCTCTCAAGGATAGATGTTATATTTTACGCTCTTTTATGATCCCTTCCAGGTCAATTGCCTTGGTAATGAGACGCGACTGCACAATTGTCCGCATCCCGGGTGGGGCGAGCATTCTTGTGGTCACTTTGAAGATGCAGGGGTTCGCTGCGCGGGGCCTGATACTACACGGGAATGCACAGACCAGTGTGGAGACGGGTACTTTAAAATGAGGCTTCAAAATAAATGTGGAGTGTGCATGGCTTCTTGTTTAACTTGTGCCAAATCTGCAAGCAATTGTACATCTTGTGATAAACCCCACTTCTTGAAAGGTAAAGAATCTCTGGAGAAAAAAAATTCGAGCGGCTAGCATTGCAAAGCTAAAAATAAAGCGATGTTTTTGTTGGTGAAATGACACGTTTTGGCATCAGGTGAAAACCATCAAATGTGACGGCGACTAATAAGAAGTTGATTGAAAGTAGATGAATTCACCCCAGGTACCTTAATTCTAGAATTTTATCCTTTGAATTGGACAAGCTGATAACTCGCTTCCTTGATGAAAACGTCAGTTTTCAAGGAATCTACCGATCAGATTAGATTATTATCAACCAAGCGTTTCAGTTACTGTAAATGCAGCACTACGTAAGAAACTTGTAACTTTACCTCAAGAGAATTTTTGACCAGAACACATAAAACGATCATTTTTATCTTCGTTTTAGGGAACACTTGTACAACATATTGTGGAGATGGTTTCTATGGAGATCCCGCAGACCGAAAGTGCAAATTATGCAGTTCCAATTGCCGCACATGCGCCGATGGAACTTATCCTGACGTTTGCAAAAGCGAAGGTGCAACGCCTCACGACGTTTGCACTAGTTGTCATGACGACCGATACCTTAATGGAACTGACTGCGTAGGAAGTTGTGCAGAGCTCCACGTTGGGCAAAAGCGGCGAGTGCGTTTGGCAGGAAAGAGACCGACTGACCTAGAAGGTCGTGTCGAAGTATACCGTGCAGAAGCCTGGGTAACGATATGTGACCAGACTTTTGATTTCAGAGAGGCGACTGTTATTTGTCGCGAGCTCGGTCTGGGTCCGGCCCTAAAAGCTGTGAAGAGATCAGCATATGGTCGTGGATATGGACGAATATGGACGGACATTCTTAACTGCACTGGACGAGAAAGCACGATTTTTGATTGTCCGCTAGTCAAGCGAAGTTTTAGTTCTCGTTGCTACCATAGCAATGATGTCGGAGTGCAGTGTGCAGGGCCTATTGGAAAGCATGTCACAAATCGGTGCCAAAAAACGTGTGATGCGGGTTGGTTCAAAAATGACGTGGATGTTTGCACAATGTGTGCAGCTCAATGCTTGGAATGCATAGGTACAAATGTGCGCTGCACCAAGTGTGCAGCACCCAAATTTTTGAAAGATAATACTTGTGTAGATAAGTGTGGCGATGATGAGTTCGGATATACACCGAAACGTGTGTGCCGAAAGTGTAACACTCATATCTGTGTCACGTGTAGTGATGGATCTGATGACAAGAACTGTACCTCTTGCAAAGAGCCAAAAGCGCTCAAAAATGGCAAGTGTGAAGACGATTGTGGACCAAATATGTACAAGAAGAGTGGTCGCTGCGTTGAGGATTGTGGGATTTCCATGTTCAAAAATCCAAGTAATTATTCGTGCCTCCCTTGCCCCAGTGACTGCATCACTTGTGAATTCCGGTCAGGTAAAGCTATTTGCACAATCTGTCACCCTCCACTTGTTCTCGACGAGGTAAGGGGAGCATGCTTACATAACTGCACCTCAGGGATCGCTGTACCTTCCGTCAATTTCACGTTGAAAACCACACCAACAGTTAGGCTGTCCAACGGCAGAGATTACTTAGAGGGTCTGTTGGAAGTTTATCACATGGGCGTATGGGGAACTGTTTGTGATGATGGTTGGGACGTTTCTGAGTCGACTGTCATCTGCAGAGAGTTGTATCTTGGAGGCGTCGACACCTCTGTGTCTCTAGGCCATATTCCGAAGGGAACAGGTAAGATGTGGCTGGACGATGTCTTCTGTACTGGAAAGGAGAAATCATTAAATGATTGTCGCCATCGTCCGTGGGGACAAACAAACTGTCAACACAAAGAGGACACCGTCTTGCGCTGCAAGGGTCCAGGAGTGCGTACGTGCAAAGGCAGTTGCCCAGATGGCTTCTATCCGATGGGAAGCGAGTGCTTGCAGTGCAATGCCTCGTGCAAAACGTGCAACGAGACTGCTGATAAGTGTCTCACCTGTGCACCGGGTTTCTTCAAAAAGAACGACTCCTGCGTGAAGGATTGTGGCCGTGGTTATTACCTGGACAGTTTTTGTAAAAAGTGCAGCATAAATTGTGCCGACTGCCAAGGAAAAGCAGATGACTGTATTTCTTGTGCACCCCCATTGTTTAGGAAAGGATCATCTTGTGTTAAAAATTGCACCAATGGCTTTAAGCCCTCCTCAGTACCTCTGATCCGCCTTGTTGGAGGCAACACACCGTTGGAGGGCACAATTGAGGTAAGGCCGCTAACATTCCGCCAGGTTTAACCATCATTTTAAGTACTCAGTCATGTCGTAAGGAATTTTTTACATGTTAGCTGCTGTGTTTTGTTCCCCTTTGATCTTTGATCTTTTCTCCGTATGCTGAAAAATGTCTGAAGAACAGTAAACATGAGAGTCTATGTCAATGATATTATCTATCTATTTTCTGAAGCTTGCAGTTTGCTCGAGCTTCGGTGTGGAAAACCTGTGTCCGAAGCAGATTGTCTATTGGAAACAATGCAAGAACTATGGGGGGGGGGGGGGGAGGGGGGGGCGGCGGAGTTACTGTTTTTGTTGTTGGTGTTGATTTTTATTTTAACTCGTGTGCGTGGTTTTTGTAACAGATCCTTCATGATGGGAAATACGGTACAGTGTGTGATGACGCCTGGGACATTCGGAATGCTCACGTTGTGTGTAGGATGTTAAACATGGGAAATGCTTCTCGATCGGTCGAACGAGCTGGATTTGGAGCAGGGAAAGGCCGCATATGGTTGGATGAAGTTCAGTGCTTTGGTAAGTTATCCTCTTCTATTGAATTTCTTTTTAATGGCCATCATTTCCGGTGCCCAGGTCCTAAATCAAGACGTGCAAGTCTCTCTGTCTCTTTGTTTGGTGAACCCTGTTAGTTATGAGTTAGCTCTCGACCCTTTGATCCTGTTTCAGGGAATGAGTCATCGTTACTTGCTTGCAAGCATCTCGGCTGGGGACAGGAAAATTGTGACCACAGCGAAGACGCTGGTGTTGTCTGTAAGGGTCCTGATCACTCACGTGATTGCTTAGATAACTGCTCCTCAGGGTATTTCATAAACCCTCTGGATAAAAGTTGCGGTCGATGTAGTCCGAATTGCAAGGAATGCTTTGGAACGCCAGAAAACTGCTCGCGCTGCGATGAGGACAAGTTCCTTAATAGAACTGGAAACTTGAGTTCTTGTGTCTCTGATTGTAAAAGGGGACAATTTGGAGACCCCATTACTAGAATATGTCGGGACTGCTTGCCTGTCTGTTCGGACTGCATTGGAGAGCCGAACAAATGCACTGAATGCCCAGTCGGGAAACATCTCTTGGAAAATTCATGTGTGGAGAATTGCACACGGCTGGCAAATAAAATTGTCAGCGGTGTCCCAAACATAAGACTTGTAGGTGTCAACTCCTCAACAGAAGGGCGCGTAGAATTGTTCTATCAAGGAGAATGGGGAACAATATGTGATGATAACTTCGACCTAAAAGAAGCTATGGTGATATGTCGACAGCTCAAATTGGGAAAAGCCATTGCCGTCTACCACTCTGCAAAATACGGACAGGGGACCGGGAAAATATTAATGGATGATATACAGTGCACTGGGAACGAACGGAAACTTCAAGATTGTCCTTTTGACACTGGTAGGTTGAATCAGTTTGCACAGATGAACAAGAGAACTCGAGAACCATGTCATTACTCTAATAGTCGGTTGAATATCAGCCGCCATGGAAGAGTATGAACAGCTGACGGTTTATTTGTAGTTCTGCTAATTTGTAATTTACGTCTAATTGAGTAATTCGATTGATGTTTATTTCAAGGCGTTAAAAATAAGCGGAATGTTTCACTCGCCTTCCGACTCAACCAAACTTCACGGTGCGTACATCCACCGGAGAAATATCAATAAGTCGATCAAATGAAATATTTGAATGATAACACGCGTTGGATCAGCATACCTCCAAGGATAAAGTATTTTCCTGTTTGATCTGCAACAGAAACCAGCCCTAACAATTAGTTTTCATTAGAGTCCCATCCAATGGACGTTAACCTCAACTTTGTCTGCCCCTTCCCCCTCACCTGGCGGGTCTCCAACAAAATGGATCTTGCCGTGATTATCATAATAGTCCAGTACTTTTGTAACAGTGCTTGTTGTAGTAAACACGCCGCCAAAACTGTTTTCAGGTGGATTTGGGTCTCACAACTGTTATCACAGCGAAGACGCCGGAGTGAAATGCTCCGGTCCTGATCTGTCTACAAGGTGTGTATCCAATTGTGAACCAGGTTTCTATGATGACAAAAACACATGCAAACGCTGTCTTCCACAGTGTAAAGAGTGTCTTGGTAAGGCAGGGCGGTGCTCCAGCTGTAACCCGCCATATTTCCTGGAGTTTTCTGATTGCGTGAAGGAATGTCCGTTTAGTAAATTTGGCAACACAAAGAATCGGAAGTGTGAGCCGTGCGACAAACAGTGTCAGTCGTGCTACGATGGCGAAACCAACAACTTGTGCAAGTCTTGCCGTCAGGGGCTTTTCTTGAGTAAGTATTGAAACCGTTAATAACATCACTGTTTTTCATAACAAGAAAAACGCGGAGCCGAGGGCTCCATTAGTCTTGATGAACGAAAAGAAAAGAAAAACAAAAAGCTGCTGGAGGATTTAAGTTAGGGACAGAGAGAGAATCCCTATAGGGGGTTAAACTGATTTTCTTATCGAATGTAAAGAAGCCGTTTACGGGCAACTGACCTCTTTCCTTCACACAGAGTCGTCTTATTAACTCTATGTTCACGAAAATAATGTTCCCATTTTCGTCAGAGGGAATGCAATGCGTGGAGGATTGTCGTGAAATGAAACCCGTGTCTTCCCTGTTTCCGCCAAAGCTGAAAAAACCTTTGGTTCGTTTGGTGAATGGCAGTAGTAAACAAGAGGGAAGAGTTGAAGTTTTTTACGCCGGCATGTGGGGAACAGTTTGCGATGATGACTGGGACCTCAAAGAGGCGTCCATTGTTTGCAAAGAACTCGGCTTTGGAAAAGCGAAAGAGGCTCCCAAGCACTCGAAATTCGGGCAAGGTGAGTAGAAGATTCAGCAAGACTCTTTTGATCAATGTGGAACATAACATCAAGTTGGTAGGGGGGTTTTTGCCCTGTCCGAACTTCGAAGTCAATTACGACCCACGCCCTTCTTTTGGATTGTTTACTGCCTAGGTAAACCCTTTGCTGGAGGAAAATCAAAGTGCTCTATGAGCAAACTCGTGAATTGACACATGATTTTTGGATTATGTTTAATGTTATCTGGTTTAGGGAATTTTGTGGTTGATTGTCGTATCTAGAGTACAAGCAGTAGTTCAGTGTTCGCTAATGTAGCAAAAAAACAAAGTAATTGAAATTGAAATGATCATGCTATTACATTTGCCAAGGGTGGATGATGTCATGTGTTTTAAACGTATATCATTTTTGTTTCTGGTTCAAAAGAAAAGGTTGGAAGTAAATGTGGGTGAAAAGTGAAATTTACTGTCTATCATTGTAAAAATTAGAAAATCAAGGCAATACTGTCGTAATGAAAACATTAACGATTCCCTCTTTATCAAATGAGACAGAGGGGAACGAGTTTTGAGTGATATAACTAAGCCAAGACTGCCACCGTCATTTTGGATCTCCGTCTGGGTAGATTTTAGTCACGTGCTAGGCAACGTATAATCAATAACAAGATAGAATTTCATTTCAGGCCTATTTATCAATTTCGTGGTGTATAACTTTCACATTTTAGTACGTAATGCGTATTTTGAATTTCGCCGGCATCTTCTGTTGCTTCACACAGGAAAAACACACGATACGAAAAGTAATGATCGATTTTGTCCTCAATCTCACGCTATAACAGAAAAAAATTTGGGCATCTGTAAACTCTGTGCGCTTCGCAGTAAGTGATATTTTCAATTAATCTTCGGATTGTTTTCAAGTTCAAGGATTGTAAATTACAATTTTATGAAAAACGAAGGTTTTTCTGTTATTTCAGTGTGAATCCTTGCATGCCTGCCAGTCGCTGGCGCCGCTTGTCGAAACTAAAACGAAAAAAAAAACTCTTTTAAGATTATCATTGGCTTCTTTTTCACCCCACCACTATTCTTAGCAACAAAGGTCGCCATTTTGTTTGTTTATTGCTCGCCAAAAACTATCAAATGCACTCAAAAGCCTAAAATCGAAAAGAAGTTTACAGGAATCGACCAATCGAGCGAGCGAGCGAATACTATTCCCCACATCGTATCTATAACTCGCTCTTGCGCATGCGCGCAATTTACGAGTTAAAAAGGCGCTTCATATTGATTTGAATGAAAATAACACTTACCTTTCAGTTTATGCATTACGTACTTTGACGGTTGTGGTTTGATTTTTATGAAAATCAAAATAACTCATTTTGTGTTTGTAGGAAGTGGCATTATCTGGATGGATAACGTGAATTGTCTTGGTTATGAGACATCTCTTACCCAGTGTAGACAAATTGGCTGGGGTCTGACCAATTGTGACCCATTCCACGGAGAAGATGCCGGAGTAGTATGTGATAATACAACAGTAGAGGAAATTAGCAATAACTACTGTAGAAGGGTCAACGACGGAAAGTGTGAAGATAAAAAGGTGCAAGACACTTCTTATTTTCATAATATTCTCATTAAAACTTTCCGGTTGGTTAATCTTGTTCATGTATATGAACTCAAAATCATTGTAAATGTTCATTCTCTCTGTCTTCCAGGAGTGTGATTTGGTCAACGGTGTTACTTGCGTGAATCTTAATTTTCTCGACCAGAACGGTGTAGAGGAGTCAGTTTGTCTACAATGCCCTGATGGTACAGCTGGCGATGGCAGAGAATGTCGAGGTACGCAGCATTCCCTCGTCTTCCCCTCCATTCCTCACCTCCATCTCTCCCCTCTATCCCTCCCCTTATCCTTCCATCCCACCCTTTCCCTCCCCTCCATCCCTCCCCTTATCCTTCCATCCCACCCTTTCCCTCCCCTCCATCCCACCCCTTATCCTTCCATCCCACCCTTTCCCTCCCCTCCATCCCTCCCCTTATCCTTCCATTCCACCCTTTCCCTCCCCTCCATCCCTCCCCTTATCCTTCCATCCCACCCTTTCCCTCCCCTCCATCTCTCCCCTTATCCTTTCATCCCACCCTTCCCCTCCCCTCCATTCCAGCTACCCTCCCTAACCTTCCTCTCTCTCTATCCCTGCTACTCTTCCTTCATTTTTCCCTTAATGCCTTTCTTTTTCCATCCGTACTTACTACCTTCATGCCTCTCTCCGTCACCTTCTCTTACGTCGATCTCTTCGTTATCAGTTTCTCCTTTCATTACTCATGCATGTCTCCATCCGTGACCCTTATCCCCGTCCGTTCATTTATCACTCCATCCTTCCGCCTCCCCTTTCGTTAATAGCACAAGCAAGTGATGTATTTTTCTTCCACATTTAGCTATCGCGTCCAGTCCTCCAATATTCGAGGATTTTCCACCGAGTAGGAAAGAAGCCAATGCAGAGGATGTGATAAGCTTACCGTGTCGCTCGAAACCTCCTCGGGTTTATCCAACCGTGCGGGACTGGCGAAAAGACGGAAAGCCCCTCCTAGAAGAGGATACAACTTCTAATCGTATCACCTCGAGTGGTGGTCAGCTGCTAATTAAATCAGCCACAAGGGAAGATAGTGGAAATTACACGTGCAGTCTTGTTAACAGTGCAGGAAATGTTACCAGTAACAGCTCTCAAGTCATAGTCAAGGGCAAGTCTCATTTTACTGACTGATATTTGTTTGTTTACACTAAAGGTTTCTATTTTCGTCACGGGTAGTAAATACAACATAATTCTTTCTTCTTTTTGCTGTTGCTGTGGATCGAGATTTTTGACGAACGTATCTTTTATGTCCATTGATGATGTGGTGCTATATGGACAACAGTAAACAGTTTAATGATTTTAGATATATGAAATTCATATATTTGCACTGCGGTGAAGAAACGAATTTACGAGATCCTCGCAGCTAAGAACACTACTGAACTAGTAGTTGAAATAGGACCTGAAAAAAATTCAGGCCCGTACGGGATTTGAACCCATGACCTCTGCGATACCGGTGCAGCGCTCTACCAACTGAGCTAACAAGCCAACTGGTAGCTGGTCAATATGTAGGGTCCAAACAGTAAACAGTTTATTTGAATAGAATGCAGAAGTAAAATCAAAGAATGCATTCTCCCTCTTGGCCCCCTAGTATAAAGATGTCGCTTGAACGGCTTCTCGTTTTGAGTGCTTCTTCATCACCCAGCGAGAGATTCCTTTATTTTAACTCGTATATTGTTCTTCCTTAACAGAGGCACCGCGAATACTTGGAGTCGTGTCAACGGATGTCAGAAGGGGTGATGATGCGCTATTGGGCTGTGTCGTGTCCAGTTTTCCTCCAAGCAATATAACATGGACGTTAAAAGGAAAGACTCTGGAATCCTCAGATAAATACGAGTTTTTAGATGAAACCTATACTCTTAAAGTGAAGGAAGTGATGTTTGAAGATGCTGGTTTTTACGAATGTTCTCTTATGAATGAACTAGGAGAAGCCCGTGCTAATGCTACTCTCACTGTGGGGCGTAAGTATTATTGATGTGTTCACTGAATTGTTCTGATGGATTTTACTCTCTTAAATGCCAGTTTTTATTCAGCCAGCAGAAGTGAACAAGTGCATCAGAGGGTAGAAATCCTTCTTTTTAAAGCTCGTTAGCGAGTACAGATTTGATATGGGCATGCGAGTGAAACGTAGCAGTAATTTCTAAGTACACGCATTAAGGCAACATGAGGAAGCCTGATACAGCATCATTTACTCTCGATGGGTATTGTGGGAAAAACCCACTAAATACAAAGTGGCTTGCACCCTTTCATAATCCTTTAACAGTTTTTTCAAAACCTTCTCGAAGCAGGTAGCATTCTAGTAAGTTGAATTTTTCTCTGGTCAGTAGATCCTCGCATGTATCTTTCTGAGAACACTCACCAATAGATCGCTTAGTGTTCAACGGACTGTTTAAAAAAAAATATGGAGATTTAAGGTCATTTTCAATCCTTTGTAGTGACTGTCGAGTTCCAAGTCTTTCCAACAAACACTGTCGCGAAAGAAAAAGGAGAAACAGAAAATTTCGATTGTAAAGTGACTGGAGTTCCCATCCCTCAAATTGCTTGGAAGAAGGATGGTGAATTGTTAATGAATGACAGTAAACACGCCATCACTACAGATATCTTGGTCGAAAAGAATACTGTCACAAGCAGGTTATTAATAAAGGACTTGAGCGAGGAAGACATCGGGATTTATTATTGTATATCATGGAATCGTGGCGGTATTCGTCTCACCAAGGCGAGACTTTTGTTACCTGGTAAGTATCTTATGTTGGTGCTGGCAAAATGTATTATCTGTGATCATATGCATGTATCAAAAAGATAGAATGTACACCATTAATCTTCTTAACTCTCCCTCCCTTAAAGTGCAAGGATTACGTAACTGAAGGTAAGGTAAGGTAAGGTTGGAGCATTTTATTAACACCCTATGATTTAAGCAAGGCCGTTCGAATTTTTGAAATTCAGTGAAGGTTGTTAATACCTGAAGGATACTTTACCGAGCTTATACCACGTACTGTTGGTTGCAACGTGAACTGTATTTTGTCTTGTGCGAATCAGTATTTTCACAAACAATTCTCGAAGCGCGCGCCGGTAATGTTATTTGCTTGGTTACTTGTTTTTTATTTTAACATTTCTGTCTTGGCATATCCTCAGGTCCACCAATTATCACTATTCCTCCAGAGGACGTTCATATTCTCTCACGAGCTAACGCTTCTTTCTTTTGTGATGGTGTGGGTTTCCCAAATCCTTCGTTAACGTGGCTCAAGGATTCTAAACCTATTCAGCAGTCGAAGAGAGTTCTGATAACGGAGGAAAATGCACTCTGGGTACTTAGTGCTACTGTCGATGATGTTGGAATATACACCTGCGTGTATGAAAATAAGAATGGCGAAGTCAGCGCATCAGCTTCGCTTTTTGTAGATGGTATTGCACCAGGAAAACGTAAGTCTACAACTTGAGGGGTAGAATGAATTGAGTCGGGCTGGGTAGGGGTTAGATTTAAGGGTGGGAAGATAATTGAGTCGAGGTAGAGGGTGGAACTGGGCAAGTGGAAAAGATGGTATAGAATAGAATTGGCTGGGATGCGATGGAGAATGGAAGAGTAAGGTAAGGCCGCAGAGAAAAGTAAGTTGGGTTTGATTTGGGAACCGTGGACAGTGCAGATAGTGGTGACCAAAAAAAGGTTCTTGAAAAAGTTTGTTGTAGGGTCATAAGAAACTAGAAGACACTGGGTTTCTTACTTAATTTACCCAATCTTTTATCTTTTCAAACAGAATCCGTGTCGCCGCCTTTAGCATCCAAGCGACCGATCTCGACTGGGACAATAGTGGCTATTGTGGTGATTCTGGTTGTCGTTTTTGTTGTCATTGTTGGTATCGTGTTGTATCGCTACTGTCGAGCACGTGATCAGGCCTTCAAGTTTTCAGTGGATGATAGAAATCTGAAACCATCTCTTCGCTCACGGGTCAAAAAGGCCATGGGAAAGAACCACTCTGCCAATCTGTACTACAATCATAGCCAAGATGAAATTAATTTTGACGACAGTAGACCGTTTGCGGACCAGGACGAACTCTGATGAATTTAATTGGAAGAGTTTGACAGCTGTCACGCCAGAAGACTTACAAACAATATTTACGAATTGAAGTTGTGCTTACAGTCATCATGGAGAATGACAATAAGCAACTTTGTATATGAAATACTTGTTAATCAAACCCTGTTCATTAACTTTGTGTAAAATGTCTTAAATGTTTCGGATTTAGGGGTCACATTAACAAATACATTGTATACTTGGGATATGGTAAGATGTACCTTAGAGGTTACGATTTCTTTGCCCCCTGAGGTAAAATTGAACAACCTCAGGTTTTATCCCAAGTTGGGATAGACTAAATTTTATCCTTGGGGTTACAAACTGCACCTCATGGATATTACGAGGATTCGGGTTACTATGTGCTCAGGGTAGCAGACTAAACATTTAACCGGCCTAGTGAGGAAAGGGGTGAACCCTGGGAAGAAAAGTTTGGATGTAAGAGTTAGAGGTACAATGTCGCTCGTGTATAGGACAGAAATCACAGGGTATGGGATCACTGTGGTACGGCTAGTAAAGAGTGAAGACTGATATACGTTTATTCTTCGAGGATGAGGGTTTTCTTATGGATAAAGGTGTCTTGATTCCCATCAGGACAAGTTATCGATGGCAGGCAGATAATCGCATTATATCATGATTTATCGATACTAGTTACTAGTTATTAATCTATTGTTCTTTTAGTTGAAGATTCATAAATTTTCATTCAGAGACTCGCAGATCATATTTACAAATGCCCCTTCCCCCTCGATAATGTCGTATGCGCGGGATTTTTGGAGATTTTACAAAGGTTTACTGACTGCTTATTTAAAATTAATCATTTTTGTTTGTTTGTTTTTTAATGGCACCAGGCAACCAATTTACATTGTCACTGTACAAGTTGGCCGTAACAATAAATCTTCCGTGACGTACTGAAATCTCATATACATGTAAGCCGGAACTTAGCTTGAGAGCGACTCTGTCGTTAGGTGAATATCAAATGGCGGATATTTAAGTATTCTCTCTCGCAACTGCTCTGTATCGTGTCCCAAATGCACCCTGAAACACGTATAGGACCTACCATGTGAGGAGTAAGAACGCTTTCTTGTTCAGAGACTGAAAGCAATGCGTTTAATGATCAGCCTGGAGAACAAGTCGATTACAAGGAGTATAACAAGGTAATTTGGTATTATCAACAGAGTTGATAACGTAAATTGGCCACAGTTAAGACTTTAAAAGCTGACGCTTAGGGCGTTAGCCCTTCGTCAGAGCGAATGACGATGGGCTAACGCTCGAAACGTCAGCTTTGAAACTCCTAACTGTGGCCAATTTTGGTATTATCAATTCAGTTGATAATACCATATTACCTTGATATACTCCCACCGATGCAGCACCACAGTTTCTATAGAAAGTTATTCCCTTGATTACGAGGAGTAGTTTTGAATTAGAGATAAGATTCCACTGATGTAAAGTCCGCCTCCTCGTGGTTTATCTTCCCTCCGTCCTTTTAGTAAAAGGGTTGAAAGTCGCGCGGTAGTTTCCCTTTAAAGTCGAGCCCAGCACCATAACGAGCATTAATTATCTGATACACAAAGTATTCTGTAGCACTTTAACATTGTTCATACCATCAGAGATTATTTTTTCGTCCGACAATCCCGTTTGTTCTTTAATTGAACATATGACATAGTAATAGAAATGCTCAAGGTTTTAGGGAGAACTTGTTTAGAGAGAATCTCACAAGTCGAGAATATTGTATTGTTAGTTATGTCGTATTAGAATACAACTGTTGCAAAAATTTATCGTTGCAACTTTTGAAGAAAATAGACAGTTTTTGACATCATAACAAGTTTCATTTTGTTGTTGGATATTCAAGTGTCCCAAGGAGATCACAACCAACTCAGCCCTTAGTTTTAAATGGGTCGAAAAGTTTAATGGCTTTCAAGTTCGTTCGAAATTTTTTGTGCTCCATGTTTTCGGATTCTAATGGATATAGTGAGAATGCAGGCTAACAGAAGGCCTGGCTGCTCGTTTGTATGCTTTTGGAGCTTGGTGCCTGGGTTTGAGTGTGAATAAAAATGGCGGAAACTTCAATATTGAGATGAGTGACAATTGACTCTTACTTCATACTGATCGCATATTGCTTGATTTTTGTTCAAATTACTGTGTTTGTGATGAATTAAGAACATTTGACTTAAATGTCTCGCAATAAAGCAAAAAAATCGTCGAAGACAGGCGGGTTTGGATCAGTGCAGAAGAGAGTGAATTCCGTTTCTCGACGGGTAAGTTTGAGAAGATGTGATGGTCATTATGACTTTGATGTTTACTTGGTCCGATCTTACACTAAATTTAAAACGCAATAATTTATTGTTTTCCTTGTTCAGAATATAATCCACAATGTGTTAATTAAGGGGATTTGATTTAAGGTTGATGACTTCTACGATCGCCTGGATGTTTCGTCATCAATTACAGCACCAGAAAGAAAGGACAATTATGACAAGTGGGTAATACATTAAGGTTTTCAAATAATTAACTCATCATAACTTTGGACATTTCTCATTAAAAGCTCTTACAGTAGCTTGACCACTTGTCGAGTATGTCATAGCTATTGCTTAGAAGTTTTAGAGCTGTAGGTAGCAACTGAACTTTCTTTATAGTATGGTATAGTTCCTATCGAAGCTAACTGCAGAAATTATACATTTTCGTAACATGAGCTTCACTGTGGCATATTCTTGATAGTTTCGTGGAAAAGTTAGTGCATGGAAATTACTGTTTGAGATATGATACAAAAAAGGGTTTAGATTGTCATATGAAAGAAATTTCTAAATGATAAAGGAACCCATGAAATTGTTCATACATTACCCAATTTTTATGCAGCTAAAATGAAAATTTAAAAACTACCGGTACACATTCAAAGTTTGGATATTCTGTGTGATACATGAACTTTGCTATTATGTAACATGATATTTAATTCTGATTTTTGCATTAATTATTTTCTGTCAGCTGTGTAAAATTAAAGGATGAAATTGAACAACTGTCCAATGAGCTCTTCAGTCTCTCCAAGGTGTGGAATAAAAATTCTTTGGTTATATTATTATTATTGTTATTATTACTATTTATATATTTTTTATTGCAATGTTTGCCATGTTTATGTTGCTGAAAAAAGGTTTTTCAAAATGATTTACACTGTAATTATACACTATTATATGGCAACATGAAGAGGTTAGGTAATGACTATGTATGTTTTACTATTATTTAAACATCCTGAACCAGTCTAATTGAGTCTTTTCTTTGACATAAAGTCTATTGCTGCTATGCCAAAACAACAGTTTTAAGAACTAAACTGGTTCAAGACATATATGTTATTTGTTGGCTGGGAGGTCCGCATGGTGAAAAACTGTGACCGAGGTCTTGAAAATACTGCCCAAGGCTGTAGAGTGAGGGCACAATTCAAGACTGAGGTCACAGTTTTTCATCATATGGACCGACCAAGTTTAAAAAAATAATCAGTATGAAGTAAGATTATTTTTTTAAACTTGACAAAATTCTTTCCAAAAGAACCCTAATGATTACCAGTTACCAGTTGCAGTAAATATGGCAAGACCCTTCATAAGCTGAACAATTTTTGAGCGAGTAAATGGTAGTTAAAATAGAGGTGATGCAAATTAAAGAGAGATGCCTCACCGAAACATTTTCATTTCCGTAACGAAAAAGGTGATTTAAAAGGCTTCCAAACAAACTTTGAAACATTATTTTTACAAGTATCTGTCACAATCTGACACCTGTCAATTAGAGAGCACGTAAGAAAAAAAAAGCACAAGAAGATTTGAAAACTACAGAACTAGTTTGGCAAGGCTATCACGACAATGTTTTCTTCAGTAACAGTCAATGATCTAATGGGAAGTATTATCCACTCTCATCGACAATTCATTCATGTACAAAGATTTACTTCTGTTCATGAAGTAAATGGCAAGGAAAGTAATTATGAGTAAATTCAAATTTTTTATTTTGAAGTTGTGAGAGTTTGTTCATTTCTTTGCTGCAATGGCATGTGTAAATCTGGTCTTTCCTGCACAAAAACTCAATTCGAATGGCACACTCCAACAAAACACACAGGGATTTAATGCAGCCTTTTCTCATTAAATTCCTTCAGTTTTTGTTGTGCAATTTATGGTACAAATGTCCAAATTGAATGGAAAGACTCGCTGAGAGCATATATTTGTTGTAGAACTTAAATTAAAACTTCGCTTGCTCTTTCACTATGAACAAATTGTTTGAGAAAATTCAGATATTAAATGAATGAAAGTTCCATTGTTCAGTTTAACTGTTACCAAATACTTCACTTTTTTACTTTCTATGTACTTTTTGTGAACAATTTAAATTAATTGCAGAAGGTTTTCAGGCCGCTTGTCAACCAATGTAATGACACTATTGCTTATACAAATTAATTCTGAAACCAATATTTTTCTCTCAACCAAAGTGATTTGAGAGAGAGAAAAGAGAGGATTCATAAGTTATTTATTGGCTTGAGGTAGTGACCAACGTGTTTGCTTAAAAATACTGCCTGGCCAGAAAAAGTTGGGATGTACTCAGTAACTCACGAAAGCGTTACTGTGGCCCATGGGCAGAGATAGGAAAATTCTGACTGGGTAAAGAACCAATCAAGTTTAAGGATTTGTTACCATGCCCTCTAAAAAAAAATAATAATATAGATCATCAATAAACTGAGGCTAACAAATGCATTATATTCAGATACAGATAAGCTTTGGCCCAGTCTCCTTCTCCCCAGTTCTAGGTCTTATTGAAATTGTTAAAGGTTATGGGGTCATATTGTTAAGATATACTACTGTGATGAAATGTTATCATGTACTGTATTTCCTCAAATAAGTGCATGGGCACTTATTTCAAATCAAGGGTTAAAAAAAGGGGTGGTTATCAAAAGGAGGGCGCTTAATCAAAGGGAGTGCTTATTTCTCTCTTGTGTTGTTCTGGTTGGAGTTGAAGCTTAAAACGTTACAAATTAAGTGGCAATAGAAACAGGTGTTCCCTAAGAAAGTGAGTGAGGAGGGGGAGGCTTATTTGACAGGGACACTTGTTTGATTTTATGGCCTTAGGGGTGAGCACTCACTCAAGGGAGGGTACTTGTTGGAGCATGGGTGCTCATACAAGGAAATACAGTATCTCATGATGTTGTAACCTCAGATGTGAATTACAATAGAGTGATGACACACAACTAATCCTTCTTAGTGAATGACGTTCAATGGTTTAATCTTATTGTGCCCTGATCTGATTGATTGATTTTAAGAGCTGTGATTGCAGCATATGGACTATGTGTTCACCCATTGGTTTACTGCTGTTCAGCCCTGCTGTTGTTGTGTTTCATAATCATGGGCAACCATAATTCTGGGATTTATTATTGACTGTTTATTCATAATGATCTTGTATTGTGCAATGAGACCTGACAGAAGTTAAAAAAGAGGACTACTTTAAGCTTGGCTTGTTTCTGATATCAGTTTAGTTTGACTAATTGTCTCTTAATCATTGTGTTATCAGGCTGATAATGAAGGCTCCTCACAAGATTTTAATCTACAGAAAAGGAAAGAACAGCAAAAGTTGGAACATTTGAAGGTAATGAAAAACAAGATTGTTTTCAGAACATTACAGATCATATTAAGCTTGGGGTACTGTATTTGTAAAGTTATGCTTACAATAAAGTGTAGGCTAGGTGGGTCTTGTTAAACCTGTGATAGTTAACAATTATATGATATGCCCCTGAATGTGGTTGAGATGTTTCTTTGAATATGAAAGCAATCTCCACATGATGAACACTACTTACACAGTAGTGAAAATAAGGCCTGTACAGGATTTGAACCCATGACCTCCGAATCAATGACTGTGAATATATGAAAATCATTATGTGAACTGCAGATGAAGAAATGAATATGAAAGCGATCTTCACAGTAGCGATATGGCCTAAGATATTCCTTCATCAAGCACTCATGAAAAAAAAAACCAACAGCATTTTCATTCACAAAACAACTCGTCTTTATTTCAAGTGCCAAAATCCATTCACAATGGAATCTTTAATTTTATATTTTTTATATGTGGATAACAATAAAATTTTACATATGAATACGTTACTGATATGTTTGCCAAAGGAAAAAAAATCTGTTGATTTTGATTGAAATAGGTAAGATTTATATAGGCTAAAATATAGCAATAAAGAATTAAAGACTCATATTGAGAAATGTAATTAATTCATTTACAAATCATATTTTGTTCTTGATGTCATAGCGTTCTACTCATTTTGATATCAGTCAACTGTTATCTTTTGTCACTGTTCAAGGAAACATCTAGAACTTAAATTAAAGTAGTCGTTAACGTCATTTGATCAGCACGTGAAAACACATTTGAGGTAGTCGGGAGTGTTTTGTTTTTTTTCGTCGTATTTGATTGGTTGACAAATAAGCGCTTGTTTTCGGGACCAATCACAGCATAACTTATATCGCAAAGAAAGCTATTTTAAGTTACTTTCGACTACTCGAACATTCAATAAATCAAAAATCATTAACAATAATAAATTTCCTGAAGTGTTTGTTTGAAAACAGCTGCATATCCCTAAGACAACAACTTGAGCAAATCGCAATTTACATCCCAGACGGTAGTGGCACTTATTGTTTGCATTCGTCTTTACCAATGTTTTTTTTTAGTTCCGCCAGAAACACTCTAAGCTCCAGATCCTTTCTGATATCAAAGTGTTTGCATGGATTTAGCAAGAAGCAATATTTTCAAGTGATATCCCTTAGCTTTCAGCTGCGGTAGCTCAATTTTAAGGAGCTCTTACAACCACATGGAGTGAGGCATATTTGCTAGAAGAAGGATTATGCAAAAGTCTTTGTTTCACACTTACGAGGTTTGCAAGATTCAGTGTTAAAATTAATCCCACTGTTTTGAAGGTGTTCATTTTTAGATGCAAACTCAAACGACTTGCAAGATATTTTAATACTTAAAAGTGCATTCGTTCCATGCCTAGAGGAGATGATGTTTCCTTTTCCCCTTGCATTACGCCTTTCGATTAACCTGTGTCGAATATTTTGCGACAAGTAAAAACTCGAAACAATTAATTTATTCACGTATCGTTAAGTGTTAAGTTTAATTCTATTTGGTACAACAAACGTCTTTCACTAAACAACATAGAAATTTTCGCCAACAAACTCCTGCATCCGCCAAAACACTATCGTTTTTTGTCCGAATTATTTTATTCTTAATTCAAGTTAACTTCGTGACTGCTTTGTTTAGCGTTTACGTTTTCGTTGAAGAAATACGAGTGCACTTCGATATAATATTTTAGCGAAAATCTTCACGTTGAAAATAATCTGTTGTAATACGGTTCGTACCAGTCTAGTAAAATCTTTCAAATGTGGGAGGGGTTTCTTTAATTATAATATTTCACCAAATTTCATTTGTATGTTATTGTTGTTACCATAAAACCAACGAGTGCGGAAACTAGCACGGCCTTTGCATAATTACTATGCCTTGTTTAGCCTTTGTGTTTAATTAAACTGAGAAAAATACTAATTAGTAAACATAAAATAATCCGGCTTAAGGAAAACATTTGAAATAAATGTATTGATGGTGTATTGCTAATTAACACACAGCGGCGCAAGTTCGAATAGAACAAAGATGTTTACAACAAAGTTGTCATGCGTTACTAAGAAATGTGTTCATTGTTCTTCTGCCAGAGTGATATCCGCCAAAAACAGTGTAACATCTTCGGATGACGGATGAGTCTTTCAAGTAACTGAACTATTTTGATTCCTGTTTTTGTTTCATAGAGCAAACTGGACAGAATATCTGAACAGCTTGAACCCGATGAAATCGAAGAGGATTATTTCAGGTGTGGAAAACATGTCGATTTAGACGTGCAAATGAGTATATTCAAACACATGTTTATTTCTTTTATTCCCTCCTGCCAACTAAAGTCAGTCGACCGTAATAAGGATTTGTGAAATGCTTCGTCAGTTGAACTATGTTGGAGCAGTTTTAAGCTACGCTTGGCCGTCCGTATCATTCCTGGGGCATTATTGTGGTAGTCCGCTAATTCAAGTAAATGCTATGTGCGTACTAACTCGCGTCATTAACATTTTGAACGCTGAATAGGGTCTATTGTCATTGTGATATAGGAAAAGTAATTAGAATGATTTATTGTGGCATGCCTCAAGAACACAACTTTCCCTTAAGCGCGAAAAATCGCTAAAAGGGATTAACGGAATCGCGATTGGTTCTTGATTGTAATCCGCTCACCTTGAATAACTCGATGAATGTTTGTGTTCAATCGAGTTACGAAAAAATTGTTGTCGGTCTTTTTGAATCAAGTTTTTAGAACAACTTTCGAGTCATTGTTGGAAGATAAAAAATTGTTGGTGTTCATCCAGTGTCGATGATTGTAATGATGATGATGAAGATTTTTATGTTTTCAACTCCGCAGAAAGATGCAAGAAGGTGATGTTGGTGCCTCCAACAGTGATTTACTGACGGATAAAGCTGATGATGATGACACGCGCATGCCCGATAGGTGACTCTCAAAATAAAATATATTTTGTAATGCGCCTAGAAGGCGATATTTGTCAATATGACCAATAGTGACTGCATGAAAGTGGAATGCGGACTGAATCACTTGGAGATGTTCTGCTTGGATGGATCACTTTAAAATCTTCAAACAACGACTTGACCCAAATTTCAATTTCGCAATGAAATTTGGAATGTGTACTTAACTACTTGTTTTCATCGTCTTTTATCCCGTATTGTCCTTTTTTTTCTCACAATCTCAAGTGAAGACGACGATGAAGGTGAAGAAGGAGAAGACGAAGATGATGAAAGTGAAGAGGACACTTCCTCCAACATAGTAATGGTGAGCAGTGTTAGATCACCTTATCTGGCAGGAAATGGTAAGCAGCACTTTTTCGAGAAGAAATTATGAAACACGAATAGTCAGTGATCTATGCCGGCCTAAGGGCATTAGCCTGTGATAACATTTCTAAAGTCAGGAGGACACACAGATTTGTGCCCGTGAGAGGATGATCGAGTTAATGTACCGTTATGGTAAAACCCATCTAATCGTATCATTTCATCTGTCCTTAATTTGTTTCTCTACAATTCACACAGGTCCGCAAGGTCGAGGCTTTGAGTGATTTTACAGGGGAGCAGGATGGCGATCTCAGTTTTAAGAAGGGAGAGATTCTAACAGTCATCAAAACAAGGTACAGTTGAACTTCTCATAAGTTGTGCTCAATGCGCCCTGAGGTTTACAAGAGGAACATTTGACTTCAGGGGAGGGGAGGTGTATGGTGCCATGGCCTGATTGTGCTACAAATCTGTCCTTTTCATCAGATTTTCATGCGCACATAAAACTCGATAGAGTAAAAGTACAAATTGTTCCTTATTCGACTTGAGCGTAAATTCAGTGATTAATATGACGTATGCTTCCATCTTTGTCTCTTTTGTAAACGTCAGTGAAGATGGATGGTGGGAAGCAGAAAACACTGCCGGCAAACAAGGTGTTGTCCCTAAAACCCTTCTCAAGGTAATGAAATGTTTTCTTTTTCTGAGTAAACAACATCAGTAGTGGTAACAATGCATAAAAAACAAACATTGGCTTAAACAGTAAACAATCAAAACTGAAATCCAATTTGAAAATATCACGAACTTGTGGATCTACTCACGTCTTATTTTATGAATATTTTCTTGTTTTTTGCGTGTCTTTCACAAGGTTTCGCTTCGTTCAATTAAGTTCTCTTTTTTAGATTATCGAAGAAAACGAAGAAACCTCGCCAGTGAAACAAAGGGATGAGCAATCCGCTGAAATAAAGAAAGGTACGTTTGGTTTTGCAATAAAACCTTAGTTCTTCTATTCCTCAAAAGCAATCACAGTATCTAGTGTTTGCACACAAGTTTTTTTCCTCAACCCCTTGCCCTTTTATTTTGTAGGAAATGTTTGTTTAATTCATCCTTACAATTTTTAGCTGTAGGGGCACTTGTTAAAACCAGAATAACAACAATTCAGGTTTGATCATATTTTCTTTCCATCGTCGTTTGCAGAGTCAGCAGATAAAGTTCCGGAGCTTTCCACCAGAAAAAGGTGAAGAAATGATTATGGCCCTGAGAAGGATTTTGCTAACGAAATTTGATATAAATCATACGATTTTCGTTGATTAAAATGTCCTCGATGCTTTTAAAGATCTCGTCGGAAAACACAACCTCGTAGACTGCAAATTTGTCTCTTCCATGCAGGCGTTCATTTAAATAAGGAATTCCAATCCTCCGTCCTTTTTTGCCTTGCGCTGCTGTCGCGCTCAGTCTACTTATAAAACACCTAAGACAGGCTGAATGTAAATCAGTTACACCAGCAAAGACTTAGTGAGGTTAATGTTTTTTACACAACGTGAATTTTATTCTTTTGGAATTTTTTAGTGGATTGGATTTGTGGAAAAGTCTAGCCAAAAGTTCAACGCAACAGGTATTTATTCCGCCTTTACTGTAAAATATGAGCCGTGATGTTCGTTTGCTGTTTGTTTTGATCATCGTAGTATTGATGTCTGTTCTCTGAGAATTGACCTTAATAAGTCGCTTATTTGAAAAGAGCAACTTCATGCGAGCTTCATACCAGACGAACAACAATGACACTAGCTGATGTAATATTTGGACATCGAACACTCAAGGAGCGCTTAATTTTCAAACTGGTTCTTAGTTTAAGAGTTAGCTAAAATAAGAGTGATAGAATAACTAGTTTTTCAACTCATTTTTATCTTAGCTATCTCTAAGAACACGTAACGCCAAGATTCAGTTTGTAGAATAAGTGCTACTTAGTCTTCCCTTGACAAACAATTCCCAGTGTCTCTCTGTTTGGTATACCAGCTGGCCCTGATCAGTTACAACTGTATAAATACGAGGTCAAACTTTTTTAAAAGCTTCCGTTGTTCTTTTAGTGAGAAGAGATCATTTTTGTTTCCTTTAAAATGATGTGTCAATCGTCTAGGAAATTGTCGTAATGTTACTTCAAATAAAAGCTGATTTTTTAATTCAACGTCATGTCCATCTCGTTCAAAGAAATTACAGCTTTCCGCTTCTGTTTAATGTGCGCGCGACACGTTTAATTGTGACGTACACTTTTAAGCTCAATTTCAAAACAAAAGGTTTGTTTCTCTTCTCTCTTTTCGTCGGCTGCTTTTACGGAGCTAAACTTGGCTTTTCCTACAAGTATGGCAAATGGTGCTACAATTTATAAGTTTGAAGAGGTATTTAAACGCTCTTTGAATTGGTTTTGCGTTTTCTTCCGCTTAATTCAACCTCTCTGCTTTAGCGTAAAAGATTTAAATTTACGAGACGAACTAGATTGATTCTTTGGCTAATTGTAGTAAAATGAGTTTAGCTTTATTTTATTTACGAAGACGGCGATGTCGCTTTCTCTTTTTTTATTCTTCCTGGCCTTATCGTCTTGATATTTTCTATTAAATATCTCTAAAATTTAGCGCAATTTTCGTTTCGTTTGTTGTTATATTTTTGCTATGAATATGATCAGTAGACAAACGATGCAGTCTTCGCAGCAAAATGGGATATACTCTATTCGTTAGCGGACAGTACGACATTCAGCCAATAAAAGTAATGGCTTTTATATATTTCAAGCAAAAGATGTCTTCTGTAGTAGTGTCGGTTGCCCCACTGGAATAAAACGTCGGTAAAACAAACAATAAACGAAGTTAAACCTGTTTGAGACCCCAGTTCGGAATTCAAATCTTATTTAAAGGCATACTAAGAAAATGTCCCGTTATACGGAAAATAATTGTGTTAGTGGCTTTGCCTGGGCCGAAGTAACTACTAATCCTTAAAAATACAAAACAAAGTATTTTTTCAGTTCCAATTTAAACAACCCGTTGTCTTTACGTTGTCTCCGTGTAACTTTCTCTGCAATAATGCGTAGTACAATATTGTGATTTTTCTAATTTTGCCTATGGCCTTGGTGAATAAAATAATACAGGCGACTGATGTGATTAGTTTTTGAATTCCAAATCAGGGTTAGTGATATAAATAATGTTTCTGTATTCACAGATAGGCTTTGTTAATTGTTGCTTTCCCTGTCAATTATATTCAAGCGTTATTCGTTTAAATGTGTTAATTTATCACTCAAAAAACGATGAGTATCGAACTAGCAAAATTATCTTGCAAACTAATTGCGATATTTATGGAAATATTTTAATCTGCATTGATGACACTTGCAGGATAAAATGAAATTGGGTAAACTCATTATACTATGAAAGGGCTATTTCCAACGATTATTCCTGGTTGATTTTTTCTTGTTTTCGTAACAACAAAATGCAGAATTAATCTTGTCCAAGCTGACTTTCAAAGTCACGAGATGTTACAGACTCTACTTGAAGAAATTAGTCGATTCATACAACATAGAGTCTTTCTTTTTTATTTAAAAACGTTTGTGGCCTTTCTTTTAAATGTCGCGTTGCGTGACCGTTATGTCATACCTTACCGAGAAACCCTGAAACCCACACTCCAGCTCAACACCCATCGACACTCAACGTAACTAGTGTGTGACCTTCACGCAGGAAATGGAAAGAATATAGCACGGAAACTCCCTCCCGTATGAAGTAAAAAACATGAAAATGAATGTGGTGGTGAATTTGATTTCCTCTTCTCAGACTAGTGCCACAGACGTGTTGAAAGCTATGGGTGCCATGCCAAGTGGTTTCCGATCAACAACGCTTGGAAAACTGGCCAAAGAAGGCAAGCTGTTTTTAAGATTAATTCCCTGAGTTTAAATGTTGATTTCTGTTCGATTTTGCAGCACACGTCAAAAGTATCTAGTTTGTCACAGCGGAGCACTTACCTGAGGCTGTGGGGTTTTTTGATCTCTTACGTTATAAAAAACGTCGGAATGAATCAGATAAAGGACGAAGTAAACGAACGTAGCACTTACACTGTTGTTTACTCGCGTTTTATGTTTTTCTGGTGGATGGTTTTACTTCTAGTTACAAGGTAGGACTTTACTTTTGATCCCTCAGAAATCTGGCAAACAAGCTCTTGGGTGATGCCAAAACTAAGCCAGTCTAATGTAGCATTCAGAGACATAACTTGGGATCCCGTCAATAAACAGGTGAAAACGTAACTATTCCTCTGTTAAAGCTTGTAACTCTTCGAAGAAAGACGGCTAAAACGTAGGAATTGATGCAAAGATAGTGGTGTAAAGAAAGTACCCCCATATCTCCTGACTGATAGCCTTTCCGCTATCCAACTTCCAGGAGCTGAGTTATTGAACCCTCTCGAGAGGGTGAGATGGAGCTACTTTGATGGGGTGATCTGATTCTTGTTATCTCTCTTTCGTTTTCTTGATTTTTCTAGAGAAGGAAAGGTTTTGACTTCCTCGATACTAGTAATTCAACCTGGCTATTTTTTTACCCTTTACAGCTGCGACCACGAACGGCAAAAACCAACAGGGTTCTTCAAGTGTGCAGTGCACGAATGATACCATCAATAGGATCAGGTCAGTCCCAGGCCCACTATGACGACTTGATGATAGATCAGCAGTAGAACTTAGCTCATTTATGTCAAAAATATAAGATTTATTCTTACATTCAAAAACTAATATAATAAGCGTAAGTGAAAAACTGCAAGTTTGGACAGGGGTCAATCTGAATTTCTTTCCCAACCCTTTTCTTTAAACCTAGGAACTGTCTCCTCTAATGCATGTTCTATGTCTGCTAAGAGTACGGCTGCTTAGGTTGGACTCAAATTCAGTTATCCTCATCACTTGTAAATTGTACAAGGCTGCTCTATTTTTTTGAGCTGCAACAGTGTTTCTCAGTGGTACGTATTCAACTGTCTCAAAGAGTGAATGAGTAAACGTTTCAGTTGTCATTAAGGTGACTCACTGAATCTTCTTCTAAACTTTCCTCCATTCTGGTATCTTGATTCTAAGGTGTTGAAGTTATAAGCCAACATGTGAGGATTGTGATTTGGGATAACAGCAAGAAACAGGTATAAAATGCACTTAAACACGCGATGGTGCTATTTTTGATCTCGGTGCTGCCAAAACCGTTCACTTACTTTTGATATTTATCATCAGCCTCTTAGCAATGTTCATTCAGTCCGCGCAACTACGACGGAAAAAGATCCAGCGTCATGGAACTTTAACCCAAAGGTAATACGGGCAAACACCATTTGGTACAAGGTCACTCTTAAACCGTGTTTCAAGTTTTCTGATACTGTTTGAAGGTCTATTTTTCTATCTGATTTAACCTTGGATATATTTCCTCAAACCAAAGGCGATGCTTTCATGGATATTTTTATTACATTGCGCCAAAAAAAATCAGCTTAGAATGAAGAGAGATTATGAACTGGAAAAGAAAATGTATATATTTATATGAATGATCGGAGTCAAAACTTCTGTGTGGGCACATCTATTTAAGCGCTCATGTCGACCGCCATGCACTTTTCACTTTAAGACTGTGCAACTGCCCGCACCGTGTCACGTACACAACCTGTATGAAAGCTTTTCATTTGATTTTACATGCAGTGTTCTACCAGTGTCTACGACTCTGAGATTCTGGCTCGTATTAATTCTAATGACGATTCCCAAGGTAAGTTCACGCTACCGTGTTGGTCTTGTAACGTGCTAGTGAATAAAACAAGAAACTTTCCTTCTCCTCTGAATTAATGTTAATGTTTTTACCATTACATTGATCTATTTCCATCTCTGATTCTCATTACATTTCTTTTCTTGTAGTTATCCTTTTTGAATTGAACATACTTTATAGAAGAACGGTAAGTGTTTATCTGCTTGAGTTCCGTGCACATTTGAATAAACGCAAGAGATGACCTTTTAACCGTGAGTTTGATATATTTTATTGTTATAGTCCACTGGTGAGAAAGGTGAAGTGGCATGTGGTTGGTGTGCAATTAAACTGTTTGAAGAAAACGGAGCACCGGTGCCTAACAAGTAAGAGTCCATTCACGTAACGTGTAGCCATTACCTCTTTGAGAGTTTCCGTTACAACAAAGTGTAATACCTGTGCTTTTCTTTTCTTTTTTACAGGACTTACGAAATCCATCTTAATGGTGGAACACCGTTTGACATTGGGGTCGACCTGGATCCTTCAGTCAGTTTGAAAGGTAAAGTTTCTGACAGGCAGGCATTACAAGTCCAATTAAAATACATTTTTAAATCCCTCATTACTGCTTTGTATGTTTTAGCCCTGTCAGAACTGAACAGACATACTGACACTGAAAAGAATCCCTTCAATTAGGTTTTTATCAGTGATGTCATCATAGACCTTTTTTAAAATCCATCAATGAAACCTGATGGGCTATAAAAAGATATTTTTGCAACATGGCGCAGTTCTTCGTGCATTTGACTCAAAAGTATGCAGAAATAACCGGTGGTAACTATACTTTCGTCTTTATTTGCTTGTATTTATTGTTTCAGCCAGCACCAGTCGCTTCCAACAAGTTGTCCGAACCAATCGCCAGCCGAGGTTGACAGTGAAACTCGTTTCTTTTCCAAGTCAACGAAGAGACATATACGAGTAAGCACGAATTTTTTTTTTTTTTTTGTCCTCGGACAAATACCTTAACCCTAAGCATTTCGTGAATGTTTAGTTAAATGATAACTTAATTGTTGATGCCCAGATTTAGTCAAACTCAGTCACATGTTCAGTTCGGGTTTGAATCTCTTTGCAGCATGTTACCAGACACTTTATTGACATGTCACACATATGCTCAGTTCATTTCTTTGTACCGCCAATTGCTGACTGAGATTATCATGTACGAGTTGCGGGACAGTCAAGATGCAGGTATCTTGTGATGAATTGTTTGTACGTTAACTCATTGCCATCCTCTCCCAGACGGAGAAGACGTTAATCCGAGTATATAAGGCTTCTATAAGTAAAAAATGTTAATTTGAATTGAAATGGAAATCATAAGCTGCTGTAGTTCCCTCCACGCCTGACGTTTTAAAGCAAGAAGCTCTTTTGGGAAAAGTAACGGTATTACTTTCTTTCTTTCCTTTCCTTTCCTTTCTTCCATTATTCGTTTCAGGTTTTGTTATGGATCCTGTTATATCAACATTTCCAAAAATTCTCTATACTCATGATGTGATGGATGCTCTCAAGGTAAGCAACCTCCTAGACTTGATGTCAGCCCAAGTAAAGGACTTCAATGTGAGGTTTACTTGTTGACGAGTTCGAGTGGAAGCAATCAGTGTTAGGGTGCGCTGCTCCTTGTCGTCACAAGTGCCCACGTACTACCAGTTAGACACGATTCAATCGAAGCTCCCGCTTCTTCTGAGCATGTTGTAGCTTAAGACTTTTATCACGTTTAAATTCGTCTCTTAAATTATGCATCTGAACTATAAGTTGAATAATTTATTTTCTCGATATAGCGCTGCTGGGACGAGAAAAGCAAGCGAGCACTCAAGCGATCCCAACGAGTAAGTACTGAGTAACTACTCTCAAAAGGATCAACATTGGCTATAAAGAAATATCTTCATTTTTGTTGGTTTAACTCAAGTACCTTTAGTTATATTTACTCTATGAAGCTTGCAAGAGTAACGTTTTGTTCAACTGACGCACAAAAGCAAATCAACTAAAGCTTTGAAGCAAGCAATTCAACCGTTATCATGGATCAAGTGGATCAGGACCAGTGGTCTCTTAGAAGTGCACAGGTTCCTGTTTATCCCAAATGCTCCCAGATTTCCGATTTCCTGGCCAATATTCATTCCCACCTCTTTGATTGCCTTTTTCTATAGAGAGACGAAGCACACATGAGAAGATTCTTCAGGGAGGTCTACATGGACAGTGTATTTCCAATTTTAAACTCCACTGAATTACCGCCGTACATTTGGGGCAACGATGAGAGAGAAAAGGTCTAATTACACCAAATGTTTTATCACTCCTGTAATACTTTGTGAGCCTGTCTTCTCTACGTAGCTAAAACAGTTAAATAAAATCACAGGAATTCTAGTATTAAAGCTGGTATATTTTGTATATTTCAGGATAGACTTCAATGGATTATAGGCCACTGTGATAAACGAACAGCCGTGGAAAGTTTACTGTCACCAAACAGACTCTACAAACCGTTCAACGTGGACCGCTTTACTCTTGATATGTCTAAGCTAACGTGACACTGAAGTGTTTACCGAATCCTAACATGTTACAGTAAATTCAACTCTAAAAATATTTTCAGCGGTTGAAGCAGTATCTCCTTGGAAATAATTAACACTTATTTTCATATTAATTTATTGCCAAGTTAGGTGAATTTTTAAATTTGATGGAAACTGGACATAGCTAAATGAATATTATATTATTTACATATTAAAATATTAAAAGTTGTTGTTTGTTATTCAGTTGACTTGATATCCCTTCATGTAGAGAGAGATTACGGTTTGTTTTCTACCGGGAACTCAATGGCTCACTTCGAAACCAAGTCACCGAAGTCCATTTCTTTCCTGTTGAAGCAGTTGTCGAATTTCCTCTGTTGCGCAAACCTCGGTAATGGATATAGCTCTTAAGAGCAGTTTGGGTAACACGAGAGTAGAGTGTTCTGTGGAACCCACAGTAATACTACGAGACTCGTAACCTGGAACAAGAATAAGACATATCAGATAACAACACCGCTTGAAAAAAAAATCTAATTATTTACAGGAATATTTCATGGCTGTTCTGTTCTCTTTCCGCACTTACCAATGTCACGTCTTAATAACTGCATTAGGCAAACTTTCCTTAAGAACAAATCGCAACATGAGTTTCTCACCTTGTTCCGTGTTGTTAGCCCCATTCTTCTTAAAGCGAAACAATTTACAATACAGCACGACTCGCCGTGAGACTTGAGATGAAACACAATGATTCTCCCAGATCAATTTGGCTCCTGCTTCTCTGGACAAGCTTCCCTCATTGATCTTAAAATTGAGAAAACAACGCGAGTTAACCTTCTTCCAATTTGTCAATTGGTTTTTCGACGAATTAAACTAATTTACCTTCGCACGCCCGCGTGCACCATACCAATGTCGCTGGTACAGTAACTCGCCAGTGCGCATAGCCAAATCCTGAAGATGACGCCACTGCTGACTGGAAACTTTCAATAACGTGGGCACCAGGTCGTCATACACGTAAACCTGAGCTTCGCCTGTACCGTCTTCTACAACACATCTGTGAGAAAAACAAAGTTAGAATTTCAATCACTGAAATCCTCTTAATATCTTGGCTCGTCCTTCGGTGGACTAAACGCGTTACGTGATTGAAACATTACCTGGCTTCAGCACTGAGCCTAGATCCCGAGGAGCTGAAGCAACAGGCGGCACACTCGTTTCTAGCTACCAGTTCACCGCATCGTTTACAAAGCCATCGCAGGCTCGCCCTCTGCACAGCGATTACTTTGCAACATACACGTGAAATGGTCTGAACAAACCTCCCTTGTGCTTCGCTCTGAATGAGTCTGAAAAGACATTGATTTGGAAGTTCTTTGGTGCGCGCTTCACCAGATGCACATGCTGCAACGTTGAGTGAATAATGTGGGGTCGGCTGGATGCTGGTAACTGAGTTATTTGCTGCTCGTCTTTCCACGAAAATTGAAGAACAAGCCTCAAATGTGCAGTACATGTTTCTGGTTTGGGAGAATTTTCTCACCAACCTTCGGAATCGGACAACGGCGCCTGATGATAACAAGAAGAAAAACAAGATCTTCTAATTTTAAGCCAAAGATAGTGCAATGTCGCCGACAACTTCCAGGATTCGAAAATGTTGCGATTGCTATAAATACAAGTGTACAATACTTACCAGGTAAAATTCCATCAACGTAAGTGGTTCGTCTGAAGTCCAGGTAAACAGATATGGTATTTGATGACCGCAAGTCACGCACTCTCAGCTGTATGATCTTGTTTTCTAACAGAGTAAAGCCCAGCTGTAGATCTTTTATAGCTGACATCTTAACTGGACCAAACTTAGGCAGTTCCACCAGATCATTTGGAAGCCGCTGACTAGGACAGTCTGACTGGCGCAGATCTCGGCTAACAATCAGCCCATGGAAACTCACTTGTGTGCTGCAAGGAGATAGGGTAATTTGAGATTATCAGCTGAGTTGATAACGTAAATTAGCCCCTGTGAAGATTTTTACATCGGATCTTTCGAGCATTAGAGCTATGAAGAGAAACAGAAAGACAGAGTGCTAGAAAAAATAGAATTGGCGTTCCCTGTCTAAAAACCCATCACGTTGAACAGCATTCGAGAAACCATTGATGAAAATCACTAACACATTTACAGAGTTGATGTGCATGTGCTGAGACGAAGTACAGTAGCTAAGCTGCATAATTCATTCTTATACCTTTGCTTTAGAGACTTCTCGTTGCCATTCACTCCCGTAAAGGTTCCTTCACCAAGAACAGAATCCACACTAAGCAGAGTATCTTTCTTCAAGAAATCTTCCTTCAAACCATTAAGTGCCTTGATAATATCACAGCTGCTTTCTGTTTTCTTTGGCGAGTTAAAGTCACAACTTTCACACCAGCATATTCTCTCCAAAAGCATATCAGAGCTAACACTAATCAGTACTTCTACGTCTCCATTTTGTATCAAATGGGACTGTTTTTCGTCAAGGATTGTCTCAGTCAAGACGTAGAAACATCCTGGATGAAGAACGTGGGCTAAGTACAAGCTCTTCCTCTCAAGTTTTAGAGCTGCGTTCTTCTTTTGAAGCTTGAAGTCCGAGAGAAATTGAGTGAAATTTGAACAGCAGGGAACGGCTTTTTCTGTCTCAGACATGTCTTGAGTTCTTCTTTTACAAACGGCGACAACTTTTATTTCCACACCACAAGGATAGCAAACTTCCTCTCTCAATCGTCGGAGCACTGCCACTTCGCAGTTCCTAACCATAAAAATAACCTTGCATATAAAACAATCACTTTTACTTTCAAGATTTCTGTTGAGCTCCCTTTCTAAACTTGCATCCTTTGTGCCAGCTTCAAATGTGTTTGTCCTTTTTCCATAATATTTATTCGCCTTACCCTTGTCTTTAGGAATCAAGGTTTCTGTATCGTCAAAGGAGAACTGCACGTATAATCGATTTCGATCTTCACCCAAATCTTCCTGAACAAGACCTCTCGAATGAAATTTCTCCATAACTACCTCAAACATATTGATTTGAATCGCTGCATTTACACTCCAGATCTGTGAATAGGGACAACGTGAACACTGATCGTCGACAATAGATTTCTGGCAACAGTGTTTTGTGCAGTCATGTTCTGTGAGTTTTTCGTCTTTGGATGCAATCATGCAGTTGATTTCTCCCGTTTGATCAAGCAAGCGCAACCTGCCAGTTTTTGAAGAGTACCCAAGACAACCACCCAGAATCTACGAACAAAAAGAGAACTCTATTAGAGACAAAAAAGCAACCTTCCTCTTCAGATGGAAAGTGCACCCTGCAATACACAGGGGAAATTAATGCAAGCGAGGATGAATGGAAAATATCGGTTGAAGAAACGCCTGAAGTTTTAATCTTTACTGCACTCACTAACTGCCCTGCATCTCCATAAGTTCAAAAACGTGGAGAACGCGAAGCATCAAACAAGACTTTTCGCTTCTATAAACACTTTGTGTGGCGCTGCCAATGCAAAACTCAATTCCAGGTTAGAAAGGATTCCCAAGAAAATATATAAAATGATATCTCACACACTCCTAAAACGTTATCTTACCAACGGACGACTGAAGCTTTCTTGACTCAAAATTTTGTACGTCCATTCTTCCTTCTCGGCCTGTGTCGATGATGTTGTTCTGCCAGGCAATCCACTCAACCAAGGCTTCTTACTGCTTATCTGACTAACAGTGTCTAGGAACTCTTTGATTGTGGGGAGCCAGGGGAAAGTTAGTAGACTGCTATGATTTGGGTGACATTCATGCGGCACCTCAAAGAACTCATCATAAATGTTTCTTGAAGGAGCATTTGCAGTAACCGAGTTGCGTTTTACGAAGGAAAGCAACAATTCCAATACACTCTCTTTCGGGAAATCTTCTTTTTCTTTTCTGTAGATTGTATAGCATTACATAGCAGAGAAAAGAAAAAAGCATCGTCAAAAATATTATTCTGCAACAGAAGTAGCCTATACAAAATACATCCTTTATTATAATCTTTAAACATCTTAAACGCTGTCTGTGCACTCTTTCTCGATTGAAGTTCGAAGGTCGACTTTACATTCTACAGTTGTGAGCTACACAATAAATAGGTCACGCAATAACTAAAACAATCAAACATTAGGGGAAAAAGTTGCCTTTTATCGCAAAATCCTTTCTGACCCTGGTATAGTAGTCATATCGTCCTTACAGCTTACGGTATAAAATAAAATGGAAAATCCACCTACCTGCTCTGTTTAACAGAGTAAGCGACAAGCTGCCTAGTCCTACAAAAAGAGACGCAAAAGATTTTAACGTTCTTCTGAGCGATAACATTTATTACAAGTTTTGCTCGCATTATATTCTTAAATCTTAGCTTCGTGATTTCTTTCAGAAATATCGTCTCGTCGCATGCGATCACAATGAATTCTGGTCACTTGCCTTTCACTGCTGGACATTAAACTCTAACGTTTGATATGACATAGTATTACCTGTAGAGGGGAGAGAATTTATCCAAAACTTTTTGGCACATCTCGAGCAGGTCCACATAATCACCCAGAGTGAGATTTTGTCCAAGTAAAGCCAAGGGACTCTCACATGGGTTAAAAGGCTATATCACGAAGAAATATGAAATGTAAAGGATTATAAGTTTCCAGTTTGTGATACTGCGCATGGAAACTGCAGAACTCGATACGCTGCACACCCCACCCTACCCCCTCCCCCACTCTTCGTGCTCGCATTTTCTCAACCCAAGTAAAATCTTGTTCCTGAAAACTGCCCTCCATTCAGGTCTTAAGACGGGAAATTTGAAAGTAGATCTGAAACATATTCTTGTCTTCAGGTAAATTGAAGGGATATACGACTTATATATAATTCAGTCTTTAAATATATACATGTACCTTCCAAGGTGAAGCTAGAGGAGAGAACTTCACCACCCGCAAAGTACTCTGTGTGCAGCAGCACAGGCCAAGAGTTCTCTGGAACGATGAGAAAATTAGGGAAAATGCAGCTTAGCTACACCTTTTTAAACAAAGTTTACTGATGCCCTTTAATGTGAGACCTCCCTCTTTATAAAAAAAACCTTTGCAGTTTTTGTAATCAAATTTAATAAAATGTTACATAGCAAAATGAAACAGCCTACCTTCCCTTTCTTACACAAGTGTACATTGTAAGCTGTCACGTGAGCCCCAACACGCAAACCGCGACCAAGATTCATAGAAGGCTGGTGACTTATATACAGCCTACAAAACGAAGGACAATTTTAGCTAATTTTTTAGCAATTTTAGCTAATTTCAAATTACAACTTCATTACGCATAAACATGTATCGGTGTTTATGAAATTACACGGACATCACAGAAACGAAAGATAACAGGACTCGGTAAGCTGTCGAGCGCAATATTGTAACTCAAGTTGCTTTTCAAGAAGTTATGTAAAAGACCTTTTACCTTATTTTATTGTCCAGTTCAAAAACTCCAGCTTCACGGTTGATGCATCCTGTGATAACGCCCTAAAAGTGTTGAACAAGATCTTAAAGGAAATACGTCTTTTCAATGCAACTGCAGGGGGTATGAAGTACTGTATATGTATCTAAATTTCTTGAATGAAGAGCTTTCTTATTTTGCCCGACACATTTTATCTTTTTCCATTTATCTTTTGTCTGCTTCTTATATTCCTTTGAAGAGAACTAGAAATGACAAATTAAGAATGCCATAAAAATGTTCCCTTAGAAAATTCAAAGGGGCAACACCAGGGTACTACTTGCCGTGTACGTTATATTGACCGGTATCTTTGGTTTTTCTGGCTGTGAATTTCTTGCCTCAGCCGGGTTGGTTTCTGCTGACCTCATCGCGACGTTATGACTTGAAAATGTTCTACGGTTATTCGGGACCTCATCTTTTTCCTTTGAGATTCTTGGCCGCTTCGATGCTCTCTGAAAAGTTACCGTATTGGTGTTTATTATTCACATTAGCTTCGTTTATTGGTTTGGATGAATACCAGCTTTCAACTGTTAAAATCAAATATAATTTCTTTTACTTTTTACTTGCCATTCAGTTACTTTCACCTCTACAATTTTGTGCAGATTAAGTTTTAAGTGAAGCTTATTTGATTGTTCTTTAGTACCTGTTCGTCTTCGTGAGTTCGTTTCACGTTTCTTGGTCGGAATTTCCTCAAGTCTGAACGGCGTGTAGTGGCAAGGATCTTTCTTTCGTTTCGTGTTCCCTGTAGAAGACATACAGATCAGGCATCACGTTTCATAGTGAGACCTCTCCTTTTTAATATATTACCACGCTACTATTAATTCTATTCATAGGGCAACTTAGGAGGCAAAAATGTCAATTCCGATCGGAGAAAGTGGCTTCATCAACCTTTGTATTTGTTAACTATATTTAAGGAACACATCTGCTCAAGGGACACTTTTCGAGTCCCTCGGATCTCCCCTGAATTAATGTTACTCTGATGTACATTAAATGTACATGAAACAAACATGCACTTTTTTAAGTCCCTGGGATGCCCACGGAGTGAAAATTCTACTAATGTACAGTAAATGTACGTAAAACTTCTGTTTCTGAAACGTACTTTCCTATGTAATGAAGGAGACTTTCACGCACATGCATCAATTACAACAGTATTTTTCCAAGATCATTGATAAATCCCTTGGCATTGTATTACAAAAAACGTACTTAAAATACCTTGTTCATTGTAGTTTCTCTCAGGTTATGGAACACATACTGCTCATTGATTTGAAGGAAATTGTGCCACAACATAAACTGTTCACCCTAAAAGAAAATTCCTCGCCAAGTCAGCTCTGAACACCTCACTGCTTTCTTTATCAAGTCTGCAAAGAAAGCTTACATCATATCTTAATTATCAATATGGGAAGGAAGAAAAAGAGAGGAGACGGTCAAAAAAAAATATCAATAGTTGGGTGTAAATGAAGATAAAGGAAATTAATGGTAAAAAAAACTGAAAAATTACCAGTTACCCACATTTGTTAATCAAATGATAAAATCTTTGTTACCAGGCATAACTCTGCCTCCCCCTCCCCTCCCTCCATGGAAAAAAGAAAAAGGAAGGCTCACAGTACTTGAATCACCAAGGAAGTTGTCAGGCTTGTCTCAGTGCAGAAAATTTTGACCAAAAAGAAAGGCTTGCCAACACTCATGCTGTAAGGAAAGATTGATTATTAGTAACCAATATTAAAAATACATTTTATCAAGACAGAAAACAATCACTATCACAGACCATCAAATGCAAGTCAGTGGATAGAGAATTGAAGAGTGTGATGAGTGTCCAAGAAGACAACTTCACAATTTCATCACCTTTTTTGCTGACAATTTAACACCAACAAAAATTGCAATCTGGAACTAGGGTGGATAAAATTACCTGTGAATTGGGCTCAGTGCAAAAATGGATCCTTGTATATTCAAGTTGATTGTTGAGCTGTGGAGAAAAAGAAAAGCTGCTGCACAAATTGATGCAAAATAAATCAAAGTCCACCTTGGCTCAACTCCTTCCTTTCACAACCTCATATCAGGGCATCCATTATTCTACAGACTTAGTTTAAAAATGTTCTCCCTAATTAAATACTGATGCACAAATGGATCATTAACTACATGTATGGTCATTTTGATCAACACCTTATTTCAACTCCACCCATATAAAATAAGTAGATGAAATGTCTAAATTCTCTAAATGATCAAGGAATTGCCACCCTAATATACCATATGGTAAAGTACCTTCCTTGTTCCTGAAACTCTTTGACACTTAAAACATAACTTGTGGAGAGTTTGTTATCAGCTACATTTGTTTTAGTAACAACAATTGGTGTGCCTGTCTTGATGATCTCAAGGTAACCACCATGACCATTCTTTACATCTGACAATGAACATACAAGAATAAAGCAGAGTTAAAATCACCATTTCCACACATTAGTGACAAATAAGCAGCACCCTGTAATAGGCAGTTGGTTGGCGATGTCCCCAATTAATCACTGTAAGTTTCACTTCCATAAAGCAATCATCCATATCAAGCAGTCACATTCATCCTCTTCCAAGTCCCAAAGGCCTGTTTGTATTTCCATCCACCTCTATTGAATACCCTTTAAAGCCAAACCACTCAAAACAAAACTAATAACAATCTTGAGTAATTTTTAATCCATGTTTCTCTCTCAAACTCAAAGTTGTATTTTTGAGCTTGATTCTGCACAGTAAGTGGTCAGTTGTGGTATTGGTCTTTTATAATACCCCTAATCTGTGGAACCTGTATTAAGTAGTCACTCCACTATCCCAAGTGGGTAACCCTATAATACAAGTTTTGACTGTATGCACTTTTTCTTGCTTCTAATGCCTGTAGCTGTTCAGTGAGAGAATACACAGGTACACTGATGGTCAATCAACCCTCGGTCAATACTCAACTGATAGCCAGCTGCTATCCCAACCCAGATCTTGGCCAGCTACAGGAACATCAAGATATTGGTCAGCTTACATTTTAGTCGTCAACCAGCGATTGACTATGTGCCAGCTATTGGCAAAATATTGAATCACTACTGATCAACTATGAATCCACTGACTATCCCCCAACTGATTTTATTTCCATTAACTATGGGCTAAGATAGATTATACAGACCAATACATAAACCAAGGTCACCCATAGAACACATGATCTGCTACATGTAAATAAATCTGACCATATTGATTGGCTTCATGAAAAACCTCACCTTCCTTAACTGCTGATGAAGATGATGAGGGAACATAGTTCCAGTGAGGGATGAGTAAAAGTTTCTCAAGGTAATCTTCACTGGGATTTATTATCTGGAAGAATTCAAATTTAAAATGTCAATGAGAAGGAGCCATCAGCATAGGGTTTGTTAACTTTTGACATGTGATATTGATTATATACATTAATACTGCAATAATTAGAAAACCAAAAACAACTCCCACCTCGCAAACAACTGCAGTGAAGTTGTCCTCTACATACAAAGTGCCTGAAGCTTTTCTGGATTTTAAAGACTTGGGTTGTGAGGTTAAATATCCCAAGAGAATAAAAGGCAATTTAGAAGCAAACTTGTATTCTGCAATAAAGAATATGTATTTCTCATTACATATGCTACATATTACTAACTACATAATATTAATATCAAGAATTTCAGAATAAGTAGGTCATTAAACAGGAAAAAACGTAGGTCTCCATCCAAACAAGTTAAAGAAAAAAACAAAGGCATTTTCCATCACTGACAGTTTAATCTGACTACACACCAATATATATCCTTCTCATTCACCATGCAAAAACAAAAACTGTAAGAAGTATATGCTGCAATTGTAGGATATCAATTGACTGATTAGTATGCTCTCTAACAGTACTTTCGGTGATTTATAAGATGATAGAAAGTTATTTAGTTCCTTAATAACTTACGTAGCTTGACAAGTACAACTCATATACTTAAAGTGTGTCTTAATCAGTAAATAAAGAATGACTTACACCAATTGTACATTGTTGAACTACCCCCCCCCCCACTCCCCTTAGTATACAGTTGAAGTACATTTCACTTGCCTGATATTGAACATTCTTCAGCTAATAGACTACACAAAGAACCTCCACACACATCATTGCTAAATAGTGTATTAAGAGGTACAACTTGCTGACTGACAGGAAGCCAGTCTGGATAATCTTCTGCATCTCCAACACTGCGTAAATCTTTGATTTGACGCAGCACAGCCAGGCATACTTCGACGAACTCTGCTTCGCTTTCATTTTGTCGGATGCATTTTTCCACATCATAATAAAACGTCCGCAGCCATTCTTTTTCCTGTCATTTACAATGTTCAAGTACTTAGATTTGCAGAGATTTGTTATGACAACACCATGATCGAATCACCCAATACATTCATATCAAACAGTTAGAGTTCATGTTGTCACCATACCGTATATATTAAGATACCTACATTCTGTGTTAATCCAACCCGGTAATCATCCCTGCAGCGCGTTAAGAAATCATTCATTTAAAAATGAGTTGTTCTTGTGGGGATCAGAAAAAACGGTGACATACAACGCGGAGAATTTCACCAAGAAGCAACCGATTCAATTATAGCGCCTTTCAGCAATTTCTCGTCGTTTTTGTTTTCAATTGGAAAACCGCTGACCGTCGCAGGAGGAGTATTAGTAAATAAGAAAATTAATAGTACTTCATAGAAGAACGGAAAACACTCACTTTATCTGATACCTCATTTAAAAGCTGTGCTCAAATCTGATCAAATTGTGACTTAATATATTCCAAAATCAACCTGTCTAAAGTTGATAGTTAATCTACTCGTTCTTCAGTAGATACAGCCTTGTGCACCACTGCTCTCTCCTTTGTATATATACCTTAAATACAACTAGCAATACCTAGTAAAGATATTGTAGACAGCTGTATCTGCTCCAGACGACGTATGTGACTCTTTTACTTACTCTAGATAACGTGGATAACTGTATCTCGCATATGTAGAAAGAAATATCTGCTTTACGTCGCGTAGGTAGCCGAGCTGTGTGGAAAGTTGTATCTTCCGTAGGCTGTGACCATAACTGTGTGTAGTGTAGATAGCAGTATCTGATGTACAAGGAGTAGATGGCTGTATTCATTGTGATAACTGAATTTTTTAGATTGTTTTAATGGCTGTATATATCACAATCAGCGTAAATAGCTTTATCTATTGTAGACGGAGTCTAGATTGCTGTAGCTACGGGAGGCAGTGTCGGTATCTGTATCTTTTGTAGGTGATATGGTTTGTATGTGCTGTGGACAGTCCGACTGAGTGTACATGAATATGTTTGAGTATGGTCACGTATGAGTGTAGTATACATGGCTTATCTGAAACAGTCACTATATCATCGGCTGTTCCGGGCTTCCAGCATCAAACACGTATCAGTGAACGTCGTCAGTAGTTCTTTCCCGCCCATTGGATACTGTCTACAGCAGGGTTGCTGACCAATTTCCTTTCCGGTGGTTAAACTTAACATTAGCAGTAACATGGCACTGATTATTAATCTGGAGTCGAAAAGTTAAGCCCCGCATTTTGCATCTTTTCTCTCTGATCGTATTTCCTTTTGCCTTGCACCTCACCTCACCTTATTGTGTACATTTTTACCTTATCTCTCCCTTCCCTCTCATTTCGAACCAAACGCTCTTTAGAAACTTGCCTTTACCCTTTCAATTAAATAAAAAAAGGTATTTAAAAGCATTTTATTTGGGTCTCTCGCGATGCAATTGAAGCCTAACTGATGAAAGTTGTCTTGACTCTTGATTGTACTCCGGCGTTTAAAATAAAGGGAATCCTATGTTTTACTCTGGTGCTGCTAAGACTCCTACTTTGATCAATCTCTTGATCCTACAGACGAGCTGAAAACTGTTCAAGTATGCTAAGTTTTTCCTTTGGTGTGGTGATGAGCTAGCCCTAGTTATCAGAAGACACTTCACATAAAATAAGCGGAAATGGCTTAAATGTCGCGAGCGTGTTTCATTGTTTTATGTAAAGTTAGGCATACTGTTCACTCCAGAAGCTCATTTCTATTCTCTAAAAACCTAAGACCTTACTTGATGCCTATAATAAGCTGTTATTCTATCACTCTACTGTAAGGAACAGTTTCTAATTCACAGTGTTTTTGATGTAAAGTTTCCTAGTCCCTTTATAAATCAATGTCTTCCTCCTCTAAGGGCTCTGTTTTTGGTTCCTTGCCAAAAGATGATGCTACTCTCGTTTTAAAGTCAGAGAGCCATGTTGGTTTGCTCATCATAAGTCTGTCTCCTCTGTAATACGAAGTCTTTCGACACTTGAAGATGACTGCAACAACAACGAGGAGGCTGACAAGAACGAGGGGAACAATGATTCCCACCACTGCTCCAGTGCTGAGACCTTTCGATGCCTTCGTTTTTGATTCTAGAATATAAAACACAAGAATGTTGTTGAATACACTTCCCTGCTTCTTAAAAGCCTATGAAACATTTCTGATGTTTCTGGTTCTCACGACCAACAACTAAGAATTGGCGTACAACACTTTCTTTAACGACGTAATTGTTAATGGTTTTGGTGCCTTTCCAAATGGGAGAGTAACCACACGCTGCTGGTGCATTAATCAAGCCGCACTTCCGCTTCCACCCATCAACTTGTGGTAAACTCAGGAAACGCATGCTCAGTAGGCCCTCTGTCTCACTTTCTTCATTTTCAGACATCTCGCCCATGATCCACATCATTTTAAAATTTGCCAAAATCTCTCATACCTCACATGCACACACTAACCGAATGGTAAAATCGCTGTTGTTATGGCTGCCATTTTATTCACCTTAACTATAATAGCATGGAGATGTTTTCTTTATAAACATACTTTACTACTGACCTGTCCCTGTTTGCCCGTCCACCGTAAGCGACGCCTCTCTCCTGGCCTCACCAAAACTATTTCTATAAATGCATTCATACTTTCCCGCATCTTCGACAGTCACCGAAATAATCTGAAGCTCTCCTGATCCCTGGACGGGATCAATTTTTATTCTGTGTGAGGTCTCAACGTTCACGGAATTTTTTCGCCAGATAATCTTCGGAGGAGGATCACCATATCCTCCACAGTACAAAGATACATCGGCTCCGGAGAGAACATCCTGATCAACTGGAAAAATGTCTATTATTGGAGGCCCTAGAACAGTTTTTAATGAGTTGGATAATCAAATTAGATTTATGTTTGCTTTAAAAATAAGGCTTATAGCAATGTTTAAGAGTGATATAATATATTGCCACTCATCCGGAAAGTACAACAAGCTGGACTAATCGTTAAACCGCAGAGAACGAACAAAAAACTCTCGGGTCATCCTCGGAAAGTTTATTGTTTGAATTTCATATACTGACGATTTGTCACCACTCTTGAAACAACAGTTTAAGGGGTATCAGAAAGTTCCTTTTCAGGGGGGTTACTAGGGAATAGCCAGCTAGTCTACAAGTACCATTCAGGGCATTATATCATATTCCAAGTCGCTTCATATCATATGACAGTCGACTCTTGGCGTATCATGTGACGAGCCATGACCACCTAATGTCTCCGGCTCACGTCTTAGGCTTACTTTGCTGAACATTTTGCAGTGTCAAGCTGCAAGCTACTTTGTTCAAATCCCTACCTGTTACAAACAAGAGAACATCCCTGGCCTTTACACTTCGTTTATTCCAGGCTATACAGTAATATCTTCCCATGTCCGTTGAAGTAAGTTTACGTATTGTCAAATCTGTTTGAGTGACCACATGACGATCGTCATTCGTTACCAGTTCTCCATCCTTTTTCCATGCCATATTTGGAGAAGGGATAGCGCTTACAACGCATGATAGTGTGACATCTTGGCCCATTTTTTTGATCTTGGCCTCTGGTTCGAACTTGGTGTATCGAAGTGTCACTAAAAGAGGTGAAAATTAGAGACAAAACTTGTCATTTCTATCGACATTGGCTAAAGCAATGTGGCCATCATCAATTAGTACATCAATCAGATGCGTCAATCAATCAATTCAACAGACAGTCAGTTGGCATGGAAATGGTCAGTCAGTCAAATAGTCAGTAGGTCAATTAATCAACCAGTCAATGACACCTAAACACACACCATACCACTTACATCCCACTTCAAGTTTTGCATAAGCCACTGCTGATCCTAACTCATTCATAACTTCGCACTCGTAGTCCCCAGCGTCCTCAAATTTTACGTTTTTTATCTGAATAGAAAAGTTTCTATCATTGACGTTGTATCTAATGTTATCCGAGCCAATGATTTTGTCCTTGTATCGCCATGTGATGTTTGACGGCGGAAAGCTGGACACTAAACAAGCCAGAGTTGTACTGTCGCCCTTGGCAACGTCGGCTGATACGACGCCAGGGATCTGGGGAGGGACTAGAAGGAAAAAATGACATATGTTTTTCTTTTCTTTACTCCTCTTTTCTATTGTATTCCTAATACCTCATGTTTTTATCGTCACCTACACGCCTTTACTTAATTTTCTGTCAGGGTTCTATACTGTTCAAAACCCCACCTGAGCTTAAATTTTTGTTTCAGTTGATTGTGATTCTAACAACATGGCCGACAATTTGAACAAACCTTTTACAACAACCATCACCGGGTCACTCTCAACTGATCCGGCACTGTTCACTAACACGCATGTGTAGTTTCCAGTATCCTCTGCAGCAGCAGATCTCACTACCAAAGTCCCGGATATAGAAGTAATCCTCCTGGATCTTATGTCATTGACGGAGAGTGGCTTCCCATCTTTCCTCCAGTCCCACGCGGACGGATATACCACTGGAGGCAAAGAGGAACACTGTAGGCTAAATGCATCTTGAAATTTCACGTTTTCCAACTTGTTTGGCTTCTTGTCAAATATTGGGGGCTTGGAGGCAATAACTAGAATGTAATTATGACAAAAAAAGAGAAATTGATTTTAAAAGGTTTGTCTGAATCAGTGTTTACCAGTTTCAAATGTTGCATGACGTGCCTTCGAAAAAAACCAGAGCACAAACCACAATGGCCTCACCCATCCCACCTGCTTTATCTAATCATCACGTCAAATAACATTTTGAACAAATGCAAGACAAACATTAACATCTAACATAAGAAGATGATGATCGAACCTCTGCATTTCTGTCCGTCACCTGTGTAACCATTTGGACATCTCATACACACGGACTCTTCCTCTCCTTTTTGGTTGTAAAGGTCCAAGTCTACACACGTTACTCCCGCGTGACTGTCACACAGCTAACAATGAAGAATAGGAAAAAGAAGGAAATCACAGTCATCAATCAATGGTTTGCTTTTAATGTAAGAAGAGATCTTGTCGTTGTAAACGGAATGAGTGAGCTCCGTCAGAAGTTATGTCTTCAGTGGTTAAAGTTAAGTACCTGAAGATCAGCACATGAACCATCGTTGACCTTCCTACAAAAGTTATTGCTGAGTTCTTCTACAGTCGTGTTATCACAGATCACACCTGCATCTTCTGCGTGGTTTGGATCACAGTTACCTTCACCCCAGCCAACGTGACGACAGTGGGTAAGTGAGGACTCATAACCGAGACAGTTCACGTTATCCATCCAGATAATTCCGATTCCTTTGTGGAGGAAATCATGAAAAAGGCAGTTTTTATACCAAAGTCTAAATCAGGTTTTTCGAAGTGAAACACAGACTTACCCTTTCCAAAGCTAGAGTGTTTCGAAGCTTCTTTCGCCTTCCCAAAGCCAAGCTCTTTACAAACAACGCTAGCGTCGTTTATGTCCCAACCATCATCGCAGACAGTTCCCCATACGCCCTCATACAGCACTTCTACTCGCCCCTGCCCCCTGCTTCCTTCTTTATTTACTAATCTGACCACCGGCTCTTGTGGCCTTGGCAAGAATAATGATGACACGGAATGGAGGTCACCGCAGTCCTTGACACAGGCACTGCCATCTGAGAATACAAAACGATTGACGTTAGTGTGTTGTAAGGGAAGACTGTTCAATGCAGGGGCTGTCTTAACCTCGTAAATTCTATGACTGAATAAGATTTTATCGTGCCCGTCGAAATGATTGACAATCAAAAATACAATACGCTGTGTCAGCTTTATAAACGACTTCAATTTGTCCATCTTTACCAAAAAGGAGCCATACCGTAACAAGTTTGTTAAGTCACATATCTTGGGTAGGTTACCGAGTTACAGTTTTGTGAATTAACAAGTAGTTTAGCACTCACTGAGGAACAATCCGTTTGGACAAGACCGACATTTATCTCCAGTTTCGCCATCTGAGCACGTCTGGCACACTTTATCACAGGGCTTACACAAACGCTCTTTAGTGTCACCATACAAACCAGGCGGACATTTTCTGACACAATCTGAGGAAGCGTAGAAGTACGGAGAATCACAGCTAGTACAAGATGAGGCTGATCCATAACAATTTTTACATTTCATGGCGCATCGCTCGCATTTCTTTTTCTCTCCTTTGAAGAAACCAGAACCACATGATGTCACACATTTCTGGGACATGTCTGGACCTGAGCACTTGACTCCTGCGTCCTCAGTATGTCTGCAGTTATGACTTCCAATTCCCCCTGAAAAACAACAACGTAGAGACGACAACAATTACAAAATAAGGTATACTTGAATCTTCTTGAGTTAAATGCTGGCGAAAACAAATGAGTGTTCAACGAGAGTTCCGCCTAAAATACGGCCAGGCTATCTATGAACAGAGCTGCAGGGAGACTAAGACCGTTATTTCATTTTAATAAGCCATTTTTTGCATGAAACTGACTACTGTTTTTTTAGTTTGACTCGTTCTTTTCCGGAGGAATCCACCCAATCGGAAATCATAACCCTGTTAGTCTCTGAAAAGGGAAGCGTACTTATATCAGTTACTAAAATGAAAGGTGAATGTCCTTATTCTAACAAAATTTGGAATGTGCCTCTCTAAGATACATGTGCACTTACCAGCTTTCATCTTACAATGCCGGATATTTCTCTCCGTTCCAACACATCGTAAATCATCAATCCAAATCTGCCCGGTTCCCATACCATACTTCGCCCTCCCAAGAGCTTCGACTGCTTTTCCAAGTTTTAGCTGCCTGCAAATCACTTTAGCGTCCATCATATCGAACGAATCGTCACAGATGGTTCCCCATATTCCCTCATGAAGTACCTCCACTCTTCCTTCCACTGTTGAGTTTGCACCGGCTAAACGAATACCAGAGACACCTTTCACAGTCAACTCGTTCTCTGAACATTGATCAACACATTTTGAGTTATTAAGAAATTTCCCTGCACAGGCAGTACAGTTATCTTTACGACCTTCACAGTCTTGACAATTTATGCCACATGGCATGCAGTGTTGAGTGAGAGGATCTGCAAAGTAACGCTCTACGCATGAAGAGGCACAGTTGAACGTCATGTTGCCCGTCATATTGAGGAAGGTATTTTGTGGACATGTGGTGCAATTTTCGGGAGTACCCGAGCATGTTTTGCATTCACTGCTACATTTACCACACCCATTGTTTCCGTCCAAAAAGTATCCGTTACTGAGATTACAGCTTGAAAAACAGTCTTGATTGTTACCGGGACTCTGACAAATAACTCCTGCATCTTCAGAGTGAGTACAATCTTCAATTCCCCATCCATTGAATCCACATTCAATCAAAGAAAGTTCGTTCCCTAAAACCGGAACAAGATACCTTTTAATGTGATCTGGTTTCATGCTACAAAAACATTTTTTAAGCAACAAAGATATTTAACCGAAGACATGCGTGCTAAAACTGCTGCATGTGGCTAACTCTCTCGTTTATTCATAACGTCAACAATTGTGACAGCAAGATAATCAATTTTTACCAGTGCAATTAACATCGTCCATCCAAACTGGCCCGTCTTCTAATGATCCGTACTTTGCACGTTTTACAGCAGCTGTAGCATTTCCCATCCCTAACATTCTACACACAACGTTAGCATCTTTTATATCCCAGAAGTCATCACAAACGCTGCCATACCTGCCTCCGTGGTAAATCTGTAAGCAAAGAAATCAATCAGCAGTGAAACTTACATTACCAGCAGCTCTTGAAATGTGAATAAGACTGATACCTCAACGCGTCCTTCAAACGGTGTCGGTCCAACTAGACGCACAAATGGTATGGAGGATGGCTTGAACCCCGGCTCACAGTCAGTCACACATTTTGAGTCTTTCTTGTATCTAGACTTGGGACACGATGTACAGTTACTACGTGTCCCCTCACAGCTACTGCACGACTTATTACACTTCAAACATGTAATACCAGCAGGATAGAAGCCTCGACCACAATCAGCGACACATGTTTCATTCTTCTTGAAATAACCGGTCAGGCAGGTTTTACACTTATTAGGACCACCTTCGCAAGAGTTGCAGTTGATATTGCATGGGAAGCAAACTTTTCCCTTTTCGTAAAATTTGGCAGGACACTTCTGTTGACATTTGCGTATTCCTGGCCCTGTGCAACGGAGAACCGCATCTTCGTCGTGCCTGCAATTCGTTTTCCCCCAAGGACTATGTCGACATTCGTGCAAGGTTTTCTCGCTTCCCGTGCAGAAAACATCATCTAACCAAAGTTTGCCCTGCGCCTCCCTTGGCTGTTTTAGGATGTGGCCAAGGGATGCCGTTGTGTCAGCCTTGCCGAGGCCAAGCTCTCTACATACTACTGAGGTCTCTTTCGCGTCCCATCCATCATCACACACGGTTCCCCAAACTCCATCGTGAAATATCTCCAGCACACCCTCAAGATAGTCGGAACCGTTACTCAGTCGAACCAGCGCTGAATTCGGATATGAATTATTCAGAGCTCTTATTGGTACGGCCACCTTTGAGCCAGAACAGTTGATATGACAAACGTTGTTGTCGAACACAAGGGGTGGAGCACATATTGTACAATGAGGTAGACCCTTCACACTGTTGAATACGCATTGCAAACATTCAGGTGGACAGGGGAGACAAGAATAATTTCCAGCAAACTCATAAAATAAATCACCACATTTACTGACACAGACTCCACTCTTATGATACATGTCAGGCCCACAACTCTCCGCACAGGTGCCATTCTTCAGCGCTTTAGGAGATGTACATGACTTACAGTCATTTTCATCGTTTCCATCTGCGCACGTCACACATTTTTCTGTGTTACACTTTCGGCATTCTCGCGAAGGAATGTGTCCATATTCTCCATCGTTGCATTTATCAACGCACGTATTGTCTTTTAAGAATTTAGGTTCCTTACATTTAGTACAGCGGAAGCTATTGCCTGAACATTCAGCACACTGTGATGCGCACAAACTACAGACATCAAAGTCATTCTTGTACCAGCCAGGGTTGCATCGCTTCAAGCACTGGTTAATCGGTGGCTCGCCACGCACTGGTCCAGAACAAACAACTCCTACGTCGCTGCTATGGTAACAACCCGAACGTGCGCGAGGCGTAGTTTTGCACTCGAACAGACTTAGTTCTCTTCCAGTGCATTTTACGTCTCTGGACCATATTGGACCGCTTCCAAGTCCGTACACAGTCTTCTTGACAGCTTTTACGGCGGATCCAAGCCTAAGCTGCCGACATACGACACTTGCCTCAGGAAAATTAAAGGTCTTGTCACAAACCGTGCTCCAGGCGCCGTTTACAAAAATTTCCAAACGACCTTCCAGCTCGGTGGAATTTTTCCCTGCTAGGCGCATGCGTCGTCTTTGACCGACAAGCGAAGGTGCGCAGCTCACGACACACTCGTCTCCTTTTAAGTATCGATCATCTGGGCAAGTTGTACAAGCGGTGGACGAGGTTCCGTCTGCGCATGTGCGACATCCTGGATCACATGGTTTGCATTGTCGATCAGAGGTATCACCATAGAAACCCTGTCCACATGATGTAACGCAGCTTTTACCTGTTTAAATGAAAGATATTTGGAATCGATAGGTACCAGGTCCACTCATTATAAGCTTTAGTTTTACGTTTACTGCAGAATAATTGTTCCCAATTTTGGTTTTGGAGATTTAAGGTAGAAAAAATGAAGCAAAGTAAAAATCTATCCATAGCATTTACTAAGATCAATTCCGCCCTCCAATCCTACTATCTTCTCCCCTGAATAAGTAGCTTTCTTTCTCTAAAAGCCTCATTCTCTTGTGTCCTTGTCACATTCGGTGGGTTCTGAGAAGTGCCGCCCACTGATGTCCTCAATCAACCAGCGGGCGAATTAATTGCACCACTAACACCCTCTCCTAAACTGTACCTTTACGAAATCGGAAAGCGTCACAACTGGTACAGACTGTAGAGGAGCCTTCACAGGTAAGACAGCTCGTAGAGCATACACCACACTGTTTCTTTCCTTTCTTGCGGTAATATCCATCTCCACAGGAGCTGACGCATTCTCTGGATGTATCAGGTCCTTTGCATCGGACACCAGCATCTTCAAAATGGCTGCATGAGTGATTGCCCCACCCATGGTGTTGGCATCGCTCCAAGCGTGTCTCATTTCCACTACACTGTACCTTTCAGAGATCAAATATAGGATACTCTCAGGGTATGAGGATAGGAATAGATTTCCACACTCCCCCCCCCCTGTCTCCCTTTACACCTGGTGAGACTAACAGGTGCCAAAGTAATACAGAGATAATTACTGTACACAAATATTGACTACTGTACTTGCTGCTGAAGAAAATATAGCCACTCAAATTAAACAAAAATAATCAACCAAACCTTTGAGAGCCAAATTGGCTGTGAATCTTGTCCTCTACCCAGTCTTCCAAAAGATACAGCCTCTTGGGCCTTTCCTAGCAACAGTTCACGGCAAACAACATCCGCGTCACTAATATCCCACAAGTCATCACAAATGGTGCCCCAGATCCCACGGTGATTAATTTCAACGCGGCCTTCAAGATGACTACTTCCACCAACGAGTCTAATCTCTGTCTCAGGAGGACCCTTGGTAAGATAATTATCACAAGTCTGGACACATGTTGCTTCTATAAATAGAATTAAGCATAAAGATTAACGTTTGAATATAAAATGAAGAGCAGCATGCAATTGTTCTCGCAACCGCTGTCGGCCGGTACGTTGGGAAATCGGTTAAGAAATCGCTTAAATATTATGTTAGTTGGGTGGTGAGTTATGCAGTCTGTCACTTAGTCATCCTTTAGTCAGTCAGTCAGTCAGCCAATCAATCGGCTAGCCTCTAAGTCAGCCAGTCAGTCAATCAGTGAGCCAGCTATGCTGTCAGTCAGCCAGTCAGTTAGTCAGCTAGCCAGCCTGTCAGTCAGTCAGCCAGCCAGCCGGTCAGTCAGTCAGTCAGTCAGCCAGCCAGTCAGCCAGTCAGTCAGCCAGAGTGTCAGTCAGTCAGTCAGCCGGCCTGTCAGTCAGTCAGTCAGGGAGCCAGCTTGTCAGTCAGGGAGCCAGTCTGTCAGTCAGTCAGCCAGCCAGTCGGTCAGCAAGTTAACTAGTCAGCCAATCAGTCAACTTGCCTATCAGTCAATCAGTTAGTCGGTCAGCTAACTAGTTATACCTTTAAAAAGTTGGTCAGTCACTTAGTCAAAATCACCCTGTCAATCAACTGATGTATCAAATAATTCGGAAAGTTCAGGTGAAGCTTGACCGCGGCTAAGAAGGTGCGCTGTCTCATCCACTTGTCGGTCGTCAAACGAGGGAAAATTCTGATACGATGAGGCTGCCGAAACATGACAAAATTCCCACATCTATTCAATCGAGCGTTATATATATGTACATACATATATTATGTATGAATAGTATGCATACTTTTCAGATACCAAGGAGGATTGCAACTGGAACATCTGTCGTTTCTATCACCATTCAAACAAGTTCTACAATTTGAGGAGCATTTTTGGCAGGTTCCCGTAAGTGTATCACCATAGTATCCCGTAGCACATTCTGGTACACAGATCCGCGCAATATTTGCGAACTTTCCTTCAGGGCACAAAGATTCTGAAATATAAAGAGAAGATTAAAAGGGTTCATATTAGTGTTTGGTGTTTCTAGGGGTCACCTTCATGAGACAGACGCAGGCTCGGCACGGATTAAAGCGAAAGTCACTAATTAAGCGGGCACTATTAAGATTCATTTGGGTGTTCGCTGAATACAAATATCACCGTATGGTTGACGATTTAGGAGAAGCGGGTGAGTTAAGAAAAATACCATTTTCTCAGAAAAATCCCGTCTGCAAAAAAATAATATATATATATATATATATTGCACTGTGGTACGTTTGTTAGTTCTCGCAGTCAGCTCAGAGAAAACTCCCTAACGAAGGCACAATATGATCATGATAATAATCTGGAGAACCTGTTGTTTTTAGGTACATTAGTTACCCGACTAAGCCTTATTCCAAAAGCTCCATTCATGACACTTTGGTTTAACAATGAAGTAGGTCACGAGATTTCTAACTGCTAAATATATCTTGGAGTGGAGCATAGCTGGGATTTAAGATGTCTGTGAAGAGGTCTTGGAGGTTGAAAATTTATTCCGCTTACGATTTTGCGGCCAGAGTTGTGCTGTTATTTAGATTATATTCTCATATTACATGCTATAATATAAATAACATAACTAAAGTGGATCCGAGGTTATCTTGCTTTTTGAAAATTGTTTACTTCAGATCAAGACAGTCACACGTGAGTTAACACGCACAGACACAATAAAGAAGTTAACTATCGAGCTTAGGATTCTGTTATCATCTTTGTCGCTATATATTCAAGAGGTATTAACGAGTGCTTTTTTCGGATTTTTACAGATTTCCTTGTAATTTTCAAACTTTTAATTGCTTCTGATTATTTTGGATGTAATTCACATTTGCGATATTTTTCTTTTTGCTCCCATTTTTGCATAAGTTCGTTTTGCATGATCAACTCTATTCCACTCGATTATAATACTGCTTGCTTGAATTTCATCTGTAACTCTAGATCTCATAGAGTTGTACATCTGCTATTCTTTTTTGATGGCTTTTATTTCCCAGACCTTTATCAGTTTGAGCTGAGTTAAAAAGGCGGTTTCCCATCAGAAACGAAGTTTTAACTTGTTCTGCTGATTTCGAAAATATAACTCCTCCCGAGATGCAAACAAACATAAGACAATTATGTAAAGGAATAATGGACTTGTTCTATGTGCGGATAGCAACACATACAGGTCAAATAGAGTTAATACTTACCTGAATGACTTGAAGCAACAGAGTAAACCGAGAAAAGCAAAACTGCTTTACTAAGCAATGCTATCAGCCTAGCTCTTACCGCCATCAGGGTGTCGTTTCTGGTTGATGGGCTCGATCTCATAAATGTTGCATACAAATTATGTGCTTTTTACCACAACAAAGAATTCTTCCCTGAGGGGCCCCTATAGGGCTTTGTGTTGTGGTCATAATGCGTTTTAACTTGTGAGCTTACGAACTAATAATACTTAAGAAAAAACAAATACCTAATTTCCTTATACACTTCTGTCGAGTTTCCAAGTTTTTTCAGTTTCCTAAAGTGATATTCACGTAAAGAATTTTGGGAAATACTGTATACGCCGATATTTTTTCCACTAACTTCTTCCTGTCGACGGTAAAAATACAGAACAACAAGAAAGTATCAAAGACGAAAGCCCTAATTTAGTCTACAATTTTTTTCGAAACAACCAACTAATTTTCACAGATTATTCAGGAGGTCACAAGGTGAAAAAATGCTTAGGTATCATAACGGAAGACATATCATCCAGTCATCCTAGGTACGTCATGTATAGGGAATTATTTAATGTAGAGTATAGAACGTTATATGTGTGTGTAAAGTATAAGACATAATATGTATAGGGGATAATAATTCCCTATACATGACATAGTTACCTAGATCATTGTCTCCTCCGCTGACCTGAAACACTTGTTATTACCAATCAAGCATGGCTGACGGTGTTACGTCAGAGCATGTTCTCGTTTTCCTTGAAGCGATTGGCTTTTTTTAGCATGGGATGTCCACTATATGCTCCGAAATTTTTGCTTTTTAACGTGTCGTCGAGTTCTTCACATCATGAGCGACAAATCGGTGGCAAAACAAACCGTACGCATCGCTACTTTTAATGTCCTAGCTCCATGTTACAATTGGTTAAGGTAAGCTCATCTTTTTATTGCAACATAATGCCCACATCGTGGAATAACACAATTTAAGGTTTCTTTTGTACTAGTTCTTCGCCTACATCATATGTTAACGCAGGAAGACTACACTTTATGTTTGTGGTTAATTATTGTTGACATTAGAGGAACAAAATCTAAGAAGGTTATAAATAAAGCTTTTAATATTGCATATCTAACTCACATCTTGGTCTGAATATCTCTATGAAGTTAGATCGAATGTTTATCGATGCTTATGTGGTATTTTTTGCGCCCTCCTGAGCTGTTTGAAGTGTCTTTTTGCATATGTTAGACAATAGAACTCGCATAGCCTTCTACAATGGGCTAGTGCTGCCACACCTAGACTATGCCGACACAGTGTGGGGAGATCAACCCGGTCTAAAATCAGAAATGGAAAAATTGCAAAGTTTTCAGAACAAATTTGCGAAGAAAATTAAGTTAGGCAAGATGTCTTCTTCAGAAGCTCTGAAGTGTCTGAATTGGCTCCCTCTGGCTGGAAGACGTCTATTTCATCGTTGTACCACCGTAGAAAATGCAATCAAAGGAGACATTCCGCAACATTTTGAAAGTTTTAAATCGACATTGAGAAGTTTGCATGGCTACAACACTAGAAATGGCTACTTACCTAGACTGCCTAAACCCAAAACGGAATTTGGAAAGAGGGTGTCCTACTTCCGTTTTACAAATGACTGGATGTTCCTCCCAGTATTTTTAAGAAGGCCAATGCCATGCTCAATTTTTAAGGAAAAAAAAAATCTTACAAGATTCTTAATGGATAAATATTTTAAATGATGGATAAAAATGTTTAGATATACACCGTATATTTTATATTTCCTCCCTGAAAACCATGTATTTACGTGACGGGTGCTTCCTCCTTAAAGATTGTTTATTATTATTATTATTATAATTACTTTTGGCTGGAGGCCGTTTATAGTAATTTAGTAAAAAGACACTTCAAACGGCCCAAGAAGGCGAAAAAATACCACAAATACATCGGTTATAATTTCATTTAATGATAATGAGATATTTAAACTGAGATGTAATTTTGATATGCAATTTCAGAGCTTTATTTGTAACCCTCATAAATTTTGTTTGTCTCATGTCAACAATAACGAACCATGAACACATAGTGTGGTCTGCCTGTGGTGTTAATAATACTGTTTACTTACTTTGGAATAAAATGGCTAGTGTGTGATCATGGTTAGCAAATGGAATTCTGTCATGAACAGACTTACAGGCACGAAAATTCATTTATCACAGAGCTTTTGAAAAATGGGACATCATGAGCTTAGGATAATGCACATGATGGAGACTGCTATGATTATGTTAAGTGTATAATTATTTGTCTTGTAACATTTCAGTGGCTGGTGGGATCGCAGTGAAAGCAGTAATCCCAACCTATACATACCAAGATTCCGCGCCATTATTGATCTTATATCTAAACAGAAGCCTAGTGTGGACATTATTTGTCTTCAAGAATTTTGGTTTCATGGTGATGTCATGGAACTTTTTGATACACAGTTTGAAGAAAAGTAAGATTTGTTTCTTATAGGTTGTCCAACAAATTCATGTCTTTGATCTTCACTCATGTCCAAGATAATGTCACCCCATTCCTTAAAACATGTAAACCTTGAGGATTACAACTCATTATGCAATATGCATTCTACAGCAGTCCTGTTGCTAACCTCCTGAAAAAATTTCAAGCTGAATTAGACCCACTTAAATGTTATAGTTTTCATTTATTTTGTAAGTTTCATAATAACCATAATGAGTTACAACTGGGTAAAATGTGAGTTTGAGCCTGGCTTTGAATCTCAAAGTTCATGTGTCATAAGGTATTATTATTAAAGTGTACCAGCTTAGATTTGATATAAATAATTTTTCATTGGTATTGGGTCAAGATGAGTTCAAATCATGTATAATATGCTTAATGTAACCATATTCATTTTACTTTGCTGTTGTAGATACAGAATAATAAAACTAAAGAGGACCGGTTTTAAGACAGATGGCCTCGCATTATTGATTGATCGCTCAATTAGGTAAGTTCTCTTATTATTATGTGGCTTCTTTATGATGCAAGAAAAAGTATAACTGTTACAAAGCATAGAAGGAGTTCCATTTTTAGGCTGAATACATATTGATTGTTACATAGAGACATTTGCTACAAGTTAATGTCTTCAAACTGAATGATTTTCCACTTTTTTCTCTTTCTTTTCCTGTCTTGTCTCTTTCTTTTTACTTTCTTTTTCCTTTTTTTGCAGCATACTGTCTATATGTCCTATTCGTTTCAATGATATGAATCGCAGAGTAGCTTTACTAGTCCACCTTCTGTTGCCAAATGAGCAAGAGGTATTGTGCTCTGTGAATGATCTGTATCTTGAAGTATATATCCAGTTAAATCTGTTGTCACTAAAACCTGTTATTGGTTAAAAACAAGCACTGAGAGTTAGTTTAACAGTAACAATTTTATTATCTTATCACATTAGATTGTGCTTATGACAACACATCTGACATATTGCTCAAACTTCATTGACCAATTGCTACGAATGGTGAGCACACAAAAAATTTATGAATATTTGTTTGATAGTTAACTAGATTGCATGGTAAAACATTTAGTGAAGTCAAGCTTAACCCCATCATACTTTTCTCAATTTGAATATTTGTGGGCTATAATCATACTTAAATTATGAATTGGTTGTAAATGGAAGCTTATTATGTTGTCAGAATTTAAATTGTTGTTTGATTATTTTCTTTACAGTCTCAAATAAAGAAAGTGAAAAACGAAATTGAATCATATCAGCAGAAGTAAGTGTATTTTACTGTAGAAACCTAAAGCTTCAGTTGATAAACAACAGCTTTTACACTCACAAGTATGATGATTTAATATGTCTAACATTTAAGTCTGGATATTTTCACAGAAATAATGTAGAAAACATACCTGTGGTGTTAGCAGGAGATTTTAATGGCTGCCCAGAAGATGAGGTGTATGGCTTTGTGATTGAAAATGGTTTTGTGTCATCATACAAAACTGTGCACTGCAGAGAACCTCGTGTAACACACAGACTTTATAGCGGTGAAGAGATACTTGTAGATTATATATTTTACAGGTGAGAGTTCACATTTTAAGATTTTAGTTTGAAGGTCAGAGTGTGCCCAACAAATTTTAATTACATCACTAGAAAAGCTTCGCTGTGGTTAAGTTCTGAAATTAGAATGACAAGGCTTTTAATGATGGCCTTGTTTTGATTATAACATTGAAAATGATACATGGCCTTTTACATTAAGTGAAATTGTTAGCACGTGTATTTTGAAACTCTTCAGCTACTTTTTTATTTATTTGCATTGAAAGATGAGTTGTGTCAGTGAGATGACAGAAGCAAACTGTCAGACCTGACTCTATCCACTAAATTGTTTTTCTTCACATTCATTTTCTTTGTTTTTTGCAGAAATCCACCTCAATCTCAACTTGTTCCTATAAAATCCATAGTGTTGCCGGCAGAATTCACTGATGAAGTAACGTTTACTTTGCTACTATTCAGGGCTTTGTTAACCTTTTAGTTTTTAATTATTATGATACCACAGGAGTTGGTAGTGAGAAAAGTTTAATGAAAATACATGTAAACACAGTATATGGCCGGCCTACCTACCTGTAGTTCCCAAACAAATAACGTGAAGTTCATTTTGTCTGTAGAGTAACTGATTGTGAAATCAAATGATCAAAGGATATGTAAAGCTGATACTAGTTTCTGCTTTGGGGTTCTCTGATCGAGTTAGTATAATGAAGGTTCGATTGACATTTCAGCTGCTGATGTACATTACTTACAAAGATCCTCTTTCTTTGTTGATAGGAGTGGCCCAAGGAGTTCACTTTGTCTGATCACAGGATGATAATGACGGAATTTGAGCTTGAGACTAAACAGGATAATCAACCTGATAGTCAGAAGAGCAGTGAGCAGTTGGATCAAAGAAAAGTGATGTGTCATGACTATGACAGAGTTTAAGGATTAGAGGGTCTAAAAATTCAATTTGTCTTTCAGCCAATTGGTCGAACTGTGAGACAGTCAGACTGATTGGCAGTCAGACAGTCGGACACTACGATGCCTGCATTTACGCAGAATTTGTTTTTTTAGTGTAGTGTGCTGCAAGCACTTTGCTCTTGAGGATTCCCAGACCCAGTAACCTTAGCGTGCTATTCAAATGGGAATAATAATGTTACGTTAGTACGACACCGCGTTTCAAACTGTAAATTTC